AAAATGATGATGTGCAGTGTTGGACATATTTTAATTTTTTTTTTGTTTTTTTTTTTTTTTTATTTTGTTTTGTTTGCGATTGGAGAACACGATCCAGATAATTTTTTTATTGGAGATTCTGTCCAACATTGCCAGAACTGTTCAAAGGGTTGTTCTCGCATCTTGAAGTGTTGCCATCCAGACAGCACGTTTGGCGTCTTTGTATACTTCTGTCGATGGAACTGCCTTGTCGAGTATCTAACCAACAAACGAGAGAAATGGACTCAATGGTGCGAAGCGAACACCGGTATCTCCAGCAGGGCAACGATAGATATCGACGATAATGCGATGTCAACAACTACATCACCACCCATCCCAGCACCCAGCCCAGCAGCACCAAGCCCAGCAATAACCAAACCAGTGTCTAAATCAAAGGCCAAGAAAGCAGCTGCAACACCAACACCAACAACAACAACAACAACAACAACAACAACAAGGAGGAACAATAAGAGGAAGAACAATACCCTTGAAGAAGGTGAAGAATAAATATGCTGCCAGCAAGCTAAGTCCATTAACTGACAAATGCCATACCCTCAACTCTGCACTTACAGATCAATGGTTCAACCAAGATGAAGAGTACACAAGTTACTTCAAGCTCTCCCATAGTCAAGTGTCTCAGCTCTGTGAGAAGCACTCTTTTGAACACAAGGACATGCTCGTCTTCCTCATGAGGTGCCGCCACAACCTTCCCTGGTACATGATGGAGCGTGTGTTCCTATATCAATTGACAATCGCTCAGCTCAGGTACTCATTCACCAAGGTGTTCGATAGATTGAAGTCGTACTGCCATGGGTACTTCCAGGATGTGGTTCACAATGGAGAGCTTCGAGACAATCATGCAGAAATATGGAAAGATGGTATTAAGCACAATGTTCATCTCATTGTGGACGGGTCAGAGCAGAGGATTCAAGTGCCGCCACACAAGACGATCAAGGATCTTGTTTATTCTGGCAAGAAATCAATGTATTCTTTGGCAGTGTTGGTCATTTGCGATATACGTGGCAAGATCGTGTATGTAGGTAAGACAGAGGGAGGCGCCCAGCCTGACGTCTCGCTCTACAAGGATGCTGCACCTAGACTACAGGCTCTGTTCGATGAAGATATTGTCATTCTCGGTGACAAAGGATTCAAAGGAGGTCAGAAGTACTACACCAACACCATCACCCCCAAGATCAAGTCGGCTTCATTGATCGATCATATGGAGTACACAGACAAGATGATCAGAAAACGCACGCTCGATGAGCATCGCCTGCGTCAAGGAAAGGAGGCGACCAAGGTATCTAAGAAGTTGAAGGCATTGGAAGCCAAGGTCACCAAAGAAGGATTCGATGCCGAGCGTATCCTGAGAGAGAAAGATGAGAGCAATCGAATCAAGAAGGTGAGGATCATCATTGAGAATGTCTTTGGAGAGATGAAGAAATGGAACATATTGTCAGACACAATCAGATCACTTGGCGACCTTTCTGACAACATTCAACGACACAACGCACTCTGGACAATTATCGCATATTTGACCAATATGTTCCACTCCTTTGGACGAGACGACGATTTCTTTAAGGTCTAATTTATCATACAACAACAACAACAACCACAACAACAACTACAACAACAACAATAAAAATATAAATATTTAATTAACATCAGATAAGGTTTGAAAGGGTTCCCCTTGCTGTTCCAAGGGTTGTCCAGGGTCGAACCAGCTCGAACCCAAGGATTGAGACCGCTGAAAAATGAATTCTCTGCGTAACCTTGACTATCCCCTGCAGAACCTTAGCAGCAACCAACTTCAAATTCGAGCTTTCACACAAATAAAATGAAGACCTTGCGTGTGTTGTGCATGAATGATCATGCGCGACTATGAATGGTGATGAACTCATAACCTTGGCTACTTCTTACCTCTATCTTATACATATACATACATATATACAATGTTTCAACTGCTAGCCAATGGCTCAAGGAGATTGAGCAGGAACAGCAGGGTCGTCCAAACCCTGTTCCGCAGCAACACAACCTTCATCAACACCGCAAGATCCTTCACGACCAAGTATGATTGATTGATAGAGTCATGAATGAATGAATGATTGAATGAATGAACTGACATGAACATGAACACGAACAACTACGCGAACAACCAAACAGCAATACAGATATGTCAGATCAATTATACTTGACACCTGTTAACCCAGCAACAGGACAGGTTATCTCTGATATTAAGATTGATACAAGATCGACATTGGAGGAGAAGTATAATAGAGTGTCAAACTTTAAGGAGACATGGAGGAATACATCACAGAAGGATAGAGCCACGAGCATCATCAAGTTTAGAGACATGCTCACCGACAGGATCGATTCGCTGGCCACCGACCTCACCAACGAGACGGGCAAGCCCATCGTGCAGGCAAAGAACGAGATCAAGGCGGTGATCGAGCGCATCAACTTCTTCCTGTTCAACTTCTCCGAGTGTCTGCAGGAGCGCGTCGTGCGCACCACTGAGAAGTTCCGCGAGTCGCTTGTCTACGAGCCATTGGGCGTCGTCGGCAACATCTCGGCGTGGAACTACCCGTACTTCATTGGCCTCAATGTCATTGTACCCGCTTTGCTCACTGGCAACTGTGTGCTGTACAAGCCATCCGAGTACTCTAGCATCACAGGCATCAACATCATGTCGATGCTGCACGAGGCTGGCATCCCCCAGGACGCCTTCCAGGTCGTGCTGGGCAAGGCCCTGATCAGCAAGTCGATGCTGGCGCTGCCCCTCGATGGTCTGTTCTTCACGGGCTCATACCAGACGGGCAAGAGCATCTCAGAGACGCTGGCCGGTCGCATGGTCAAGACACAGTTGGAGCTTGGTGGCAAGGATGCCGCCTACGTCAACAACGACGCCGACATTGGCCACGCCATTGCCTCGCTGGCAGACGGCGCCATGTACAACACGGGCCAGTCGTGCTGCTCGGTCGAGCGCATCTACGTGCACCAAGACGTCTACAAGAACTTTGTCGAGGGACTCGTCAAGGAGATCAGCACCTACTTCCTTGGCTTTGATCCCAAGACCCCAGCCACCTACTTTGGACCACTGACGCGTGGACAGCCACAGGTCGAGCACCTGCAGCGTCTGATCGCCAACGCCACCACACGTGGCGCCACCATTGCCCTCGGAGGTAACGCCGTCCCCAACGCACCAGGCTCCTTCTTCTCGCCAACAGTGCTGACAGACGTGCATCACGGCATGGACATCCAGAAGGAAGAGCTCTTTGGACCAGTGGTCACCGTGCAATCGGTCACCGGTCCCGAGGAGGCCGTCCAACTCATGAACGACACCCCATTCGGCCTGACGGGTTCGGTCTACACAAAGGATCAGGACGTGGCCAGCTACATTGCCGACAACTCCAACACTGGAACCGTGTACTGGAATGCCTGCGACCGTGTCTCGCCCTATCTGCCATGGTCTGGTCGCGGACACAGTGGCATCGGATCGACTCTGGGCGTTGAGGGTATCCTCACCTTCCTGAAGCCCAAGGCACGTCACTACATTTCGCCACAGCCCAACAACTTCTTTGGACAAGCATCAAACAGTGGCATCGTACCAACCGCAACACCCAGCCAAGACAACATCGAACAGTTTGTTCAGGATACACATGATAACATGGACACACTAGAGAATGCCGAGGAGAAGAAGTAAATGGTGGAGTGAAGCATTGCCCAATCAATCCATACCCTTTAATTAAACCAATCGACCTTTATAACCCTTACCTCGTCCTTGTCTCAATCAAACCCTAACCCTTACCCTAACCCTTGCCCTCACCCACCCCATTCTTCTTTTCAACAATGTTCGTGAATGAACATCATCATTGTTATAAATAAAACATAAGAAAGATATAGTTATAATATATATACATATAGATATAGTATAGTTGTGTATATAGTGAGAGAGAATAGATAACAGTTCAAATCGAGTTTACAACTCAATTGCAATCAATCAATCATTCATCCAATCATTCATTCAATCAATCAATAGAGGATGAGCAACAACAACAACAACAACAACAACAGCAACAATAGTAGTAGTGGCGATACTGGTCATGATGTCAATGTCGATGAATCGAGTGCAAGTGCAGCGGGCACACTCGACGAATACTTTAGATCAGACAAGCAGTATTACAAACAATGGCAGAGTAATGCTAGTCCCAATAATAATAACAATAATAACGATCAATCACAACAACAACAACAACAAGTCAACATTGTATCCAATCTTACATTCATTATGTCAACCCAAATCAACAACCTATTATCATTGCTTTCAAAGAAGTCTTATAAACAAGTATACTCTGATATAACACAGGTAGGTAGTGCTCTGTCCGAGACAAGACGACGACGATGGACTGACACCAAACAGATCACAAATCAATACGGCAATCAAGCTGAGGTCTACCTGTTCCGAATACTGGTGGATAGCATCGACTTCAAAGACTCGACAAAGAATCAACAAAGAGATCAATTCAAGATACAGCTGTTGAGAGATGAGTTCTCTCGATTGATGAAGCAGCCCAACTTCACTTCGATCTTGTGCAAGGCATTGGAGGGCGTCGATAGTCTCACTCTCGAATTCCTCACCCAATTCTCGCAGACCATCAAGTTGGCACCGGCACAAGAGATACTCCTTGGACTGGCCATATCACAATCACTCAACGCACATACCCGCGATCAAGGTATGTTTGTTTGTTGTTGCTTATTGTGCATTACAACGAATACTAACAATCAATCAACAGGAGAGAAGTATCTATTGAACATACTATCCCAAGCGAATATCAAATCACTCCCAGAGAATGTGTTGCATCAACTTCTCTACAAGGTTAAGATGCAGGAGATCACCAATCAAACGCCTCAGAATGCAGAGATACTCAAGTACATCCAGCCACTGTACCCTCCAAACCCATCGCGTGTCCTCTCGCCCTACCTCCACAATGACATTGCATCACCCAACTCCAAACGATCACAGGACGCGCTGGTCAGCAAGCTGATGGCCACGTCCAATGGCGCCTTCCCACTGCCCTTCCAGCTGCTGCAGAGCTTCATGGGTGTGGCGTCGTCCCCCGCCATTCTGAAGGAGCTGCTGCAGCCCTACCCCAAGCTGGTCGAGTCTGACATTGCCCAGATCGTTGGTATGATGGCAGAGACCGTATCGCAGCCCAGCTTGAGTGCCGAGGCCACTGTGCCACTGATGACATTCAGTGGCTCGCTCTCGACATCACCCATTGCCGTGCCCTCGCAGGACGATTCTGATTCGGCACACAAGTCTCAGGCGACATGGAACTTCTCAGTGTTTGTCGACGTCATCAAGGAGCTCTACCCGGCCATCGACTGGTCGCTGGTGATCAAGGAACTTGACTATTCGCAGTTTGTCCTGCACGATCAGCGTGGCCTCAACCTCATCCTGTCGATATTCAAGAAGGCGTCTGCCAGTGACGCCAAGTTCCCTGTGCACTATCTCTTGGACCACGTGTGGAGCAACTCGCTGGGACAGCTGTCGTTCCTCAAGGTGGCTCTTCAGTCTGACTTCCCCTTCCAGCTGTCATCCAAAAGACGTCTCGAGCAGAGTGCTCTCGGCAAGGTGTCGCAGACCGTCGCCCACTGGAACTCGCTCTCTCTGATCGACACCCTTCTAGAACTGTCCGACATTGACGAGGAGCACTACTCCCGTGCCCGTTCACTCTTTGACTATCCCCTCAAGCACTGTCCCGACTTCCTACTCATGGGTCTGTCTAGTCTTGCTGTAAGTAGACTTTAATTGATTGATCGATGGGCACATCCACTCACTCACTAACTCAATCATGCTACAGGATAAGATGGACAACAGATTGTTCAGAGAATTGATTGTATTGTTGTTCCAAACGTTGTTGTTCAATCACAACTATCAAGTTCTCATATTCCAATTGTGGAAGGAGCATCCTGACATTGTAGTCAATGGCATGTCAGACATCTACCTCAAGGATCCAAGCTATCTATCACGATTCCTCGATGTATCCCAGGAGTTAAAGGTATGTGATTGATTGAATTGTTTGATCGTTTCACAAACAATATTGACATCACAACTTAACTCAATCTTTTAGATCTTAACTCAAATGTTGACATTCAAACAATATCCATTCGTTATTGAGTTGGCAGTGTTGGCATCACAACGCGAGTTCTTGTTCTTGGAGAGATGGCTTCAGGAACGAATGAAGGATGATATACAATTTGTTAGACAATGTGTATTGTACCTGGCCGAGAGGATAAATGGCGACTCCACTCATATCTCGATATCACCAACGATATTGATGTCCCTCTACAAGACTCTGTTGGAGAGGATCGATACATTCCCCACGGACATTGCCAACGACATCAGGGCCATCAGTCCACGATTCTCCGAGATGGACTTGGCCGCCAGCCATCCCAATCCCATGCCCAACATGGCAGCGACAGCTGCTGCTCCCGAGAGCACCGATCGACGATTCCCCGAGGACATTGAAGAGGAGACGAACCTCTACCTCCTCAAGCTCTACAAGGAGCAGATATCGGTCGATCAGATCATCATCACCTTGAAGGACTACAAGAACTCTGGGCAGAACACAAGGGAGAACGAGATATACAAGTGCTTGCTGTTCAATCTCTTTGATGAGTACAAGTTCTTGCCAGACTATCCAGACAAGGAGCTCAAGATCACCGCATATCTATTTGGATCGATGATCAAGAACCAGCTGATTACCTCGGAGCCATTGCGAATCGCACTCAAGTATGTGCTGGACGCGCTCAAGCATCCTCAGGACACCAACATGTTCAACTTTGGTGTCACTGCTTTGATATCGTTTGCCAGTCGCCTGGTCGAGTGGCCGGCATACTGGAGCCAGATCTGTGCGATTGAGAACTTCCAGACATTCTCCAATGGCGACTTGATCAAACAGATCAACGCGGTGATCGACTCATCAGAGATGCCCGTTCATGGTGCCAGCAGCGACTTCCAGCGCATCCCATCTGGCAGCAACATTTCATTCAGCGACGCACTGAATGCACAGCATGCCAACGACAGGCGCCAAGAGGCTGAAGCCAAAGCATCCCTCACACAACAACAACAAGCTGCGGCTGTACCAGCTCCAACATCACCAACTCGATCAGACAATGCTGGTGATGTGACCGACAACAAGAAGTCGACAGCCACTGCAACAACACCAAAGAAGCAGTCCGAGCAGCATCCCACCGAGGAGTACTCTTCGATGCCCATTGGCACGCTGGTCCAGGCATCGGAGGACATCGTGCAGCCAGAGGAAGCTGTGAAGGACAAGATGTTCTTCATCATCAACAACATCTCCATGTACAACATGGATGCCAAGGTCAAGGAGATGAAGGATGTGCTCAAGGCCGAGTTCTACGAGTTCCTCGCCCAGTACTTTGTTGTGAAGCGTGTCAGCATCGAGCCAAACTTCCACAACCTCTATGTGACATTCATCGACCGCATGAATATACCCGAGCTCACGCAGAAGGTACTGCAGTTCACGCAGCAAAACGTCACAACTCTACTCAAGTCGGACAAGATCAAGTCCAAGACCGATCTGTCCGAGCGCACACTGCTCAAGAACCTTGGTGGCTTCCTCGGCCTGATCACTCTGGCCAAGAACAAGCCTCTGCTCCAAAAAACCCTGTCGCCAAAGGACCTCCTGTTGGCAGCCGTAGACAATGGAATGCCTGCAAGTAGTTGTACCGTTCGTGTGCAAGCTGCTCGACTGTGGATGCGCCACTTCCACGGTGTTCCGCCCACCCAACCCCTGGTTGATGGCCATCATTCGTCTGTTGGTTGAGATCTACCATCTTGAAGATGCCCGCAATCATACCAAGTTTGAGGTGGAACTGTTACTCACCAACCTCAAGCTAAACATCGACGACGTCACACCTGGCACATTGATCCGCGACCGTCGCGAGGAGCAGCAGCGCCAGGAGGAGAAGCCATCAGCCATCGAGCTGATGCAGAACCTCGCGCAGTACATCCAGTACAACCCAAGCCTTCTGGGCAACTTGCCCATCCTCAAGAAGGTCGTGCCCATGGCCTTTGAGCGTGCAATCAAGGAGATCATCAACCCGGTGGTCGAGCGATCTGTGGCCATTGCCGTCGTCACAGCCAAGGAGCTGGTCAGCAAGGACTTTGCCACCGAGCCAGACGAGAAGAAGATGCGCAAGGCTGCGCACCTGATGGTGCAGAGTCTGGCCGGCAGTCTGGCTCTCGTCACGTGCAAGGACCCATTGCGCGTGGGCATGGCCACCCATCTCCGATCATTCTTCCCCAACAACAATGATATGCACCTCGATCACGCCATCTCCAATGTCTGCGCTGACAACCTGGATTTTGCCTGTTCGATTGTTGAGCGTGCCGCCACCGAGAAGGCCATCGTTGACATTGACAATGTACTGTCTTCAAGCTTCAAGGACCGCCAACGCCACAAGGATACGGCCGGCAACCAGCCCTTCTTTGACATGGGCTATCTCACGTCCACGATCTACAACAGCTTGCCCGAGCCTCTGAGACCAAAGCCCGGCGGAATCCAGCCCGAGCAATTCAGAGTGTACGAGGACTTTACAAACCTTTCACATCACGCCAATGTTGCCGCATTGTCCGCACAGGCATCGGGTGGCAGCGACTCGTTGCAGCAGGTTCCATCGGGCCTGCCCATGCAAGGAGTACCGCAACAACAGTCCTTGCTGCAACAACAACAATTGCAACAACAGCAACAACTACAGCAACAGCAACACGTGCCACAGACCCAAGGTCTTGCACCTGGCGGTGTGGTACAGCCCGAGTCCAATGTCGAGCTGTTGGAGAAGTTCAACCTGCTACTCAACGAAGTGGACAGCATCATTCTGCGACTGCTGGCATCCAACACGACTATTGAGTTTGAGCTGCTGTACAATGTGGCGCAACAGATGGGTGCACTGATGCTGCACTCGACAGGTCGCCTGGAACTGGCACAGAACTTTGCTCAGAAGCTGTTCAATCGATTGTGCGACCCAGACAAGAAGCCGATGTACGAGTTCTACTTTGAGCTGCTCGAGGTCATCCGCGACTGGGACCAAAAGATCGTCAGCACTCTCACCTCGCTGCTGCTCTACACACAGCCCGACAAGAAGCTCAATCGTATTCTCATCGCTGGCCTGATCATTCATCAGTTGATCAATGTCAATGAGTACGACCAACAGTTGGCACACATGCTGATAGACCCCGCCAAGGCAGGCCAGGCCATCGAGTTTGCCGTCAACCTTCTTCGCTTCACCGTGCTTGAGAACCACTACGCCGTGCCCAGTGAGTTTGTCTACACAGTCGACATCCTGACCAAGATGGTGCAGCGTGCCGGCCCCACCGCATCCTCGGACATCCTTCTCAAGACGCTGGAGGACATCAAGAACCGTCCAAAGGACGAGAAGAAGAGACCAAGGATCTCCCGCGTCAAGCACGAGGAGATCAACCGCGACCCACCCGGTCTGAAAGACGCCACCATCCTGCTGTTGCAAGAGTGGATCGTCTACTCGTCGTCCAACTACGAGATGTCGTTGCTGATCCAGTACGTGGGCCAAGTGCTCAATCTCAACATGATGAAGAACGACATCTACTTCCAAAAGTTCATCCGCATTGCCCTCGAGTGGTCGATCGAGCGATACAACGCCAACCAGATGGAGCCCGCACAGCTGGGCGCGCCATACATCGAGATCGACGCACTCTGCCGATTCATCGTGCTGCTCGTCAAGCATGGCGATCCCACGCACATTGCCACGCTGACCAAGGTGTTGAATCTGGCCATTCGCGTCATCACCAAGGACTATGAGACCAACTTCACGCGATTCAATCAGCGTCCATACCTGCGCATCTTTGAGAACCTAATCACAGACTTTAACGCACCCGACCCCATGCTGGAGCACGTGTCCAATCACATCCACTACCTCTTTGTCAACACGTTGCTCACTCTGCAGCCGGCCAAGTTCCCAGCATTCTGCTTTGCTTGGCTCGACCTGATCTCTCATCGTTCATTCCTGCCCCACTTGTTGAGCAAGCCACAGTGCAAGCCATGGTATCACGACCTGCTCATCACTCACTTCAAGTTCATGGAGCCATTCTTGCGCAACGTAGATGTGAGCGAGCCCACGCGTCTGCTCTACAAGGGCACTCTCAAGATCTTGTTGGTCCTGCTGCATGACTTCCCCGAGTTCCTGTGCGAGTACCACCAGAGTCTGTGCGACGTCATCCCTAACACGTGCATTCAGCTTCGCAACATTGTCCTGTCGGCATACCCCAGGAACATGCGCCTGCCAGACCCCTTCACGCCCAACCTCAAGGTGGACGTGCTGCCAGAGATCAACCAGCCACCCAAGATATCGTCCAACTTTATCGACAACCTCAAGGGTCTCAAGAACGAGATCGACACGTACATCAAGAGTCGCGAACCATTCTCCTTCCTCGCCGACCTCAAGAACAAGTACTTGTACTTGCCCGAGAATGAGGACGTTGCTGCCGGAACTCGATACAACCTGCCACTGCTCAACTCGTTGGTACTCTATGTTGGCACCCTGGCCATCCCACAGATCCAGAGAAAGCCTGGCAATGCCGCTCCCACCGCCTCACAGAGCGCACCGATGGACATCTTCCATCGTCTGGCCATGGACCTGGACGCAGAGGGTCGCTACCACTTCTTCAACGCCATCACCAACCAACTCAGGTATCCCAACAATCAAACACATTACTTTAGCTGTGTATTGTTGTATCTGTTTGCCGAGGCCACCCAAGAGATCATCAAGGAGCAGATCACACGCGTATTGCTCGAGCGATTAATATCAAACAAACCACATCCATGGGGCATGTTGATCACATTCTTGGAGCTGATCAAGAATCCTAGATACGACTTTTGGAGCCATTCGTTCACTAGACAGGCGCCAGAGATTGAGCAACTGTTTGACTCTGTTGCCAAGAGTTGCAAGAGTAGAGAGACATCACAGATGCCAACAATAGGAGGAGTTGGTGGTCAACAAGTTCCACCACTTCAACAACAGCTTCAACAATCAGGTCTTGGTGGTCTTACAGGTCAACAACAAGTTCCACAACAGCAGCATCCAAAATAAAGTAGTGATTGATTATTTAGTTATCCCATCCATTCCCGTCACAGTCCTAGGAAGCTGGAACTTGAGGAAATCGCAATTTAGGGGTTGCAACCACACATTTTCTGCAATTTATTGATTCAATCGAGGTGGTGTTGAGGAGAAGAGTGTGAAGGAAGGAGTAGACGTGTCATTCGACAATCTTGAAGATACAGATTTATATTAATTGTTTGATATAAATATTTATATATATATATATATATAGGATAGCATGGGAGCATTGTTTTCAATGTGTCGCAGTGGAGGCGATAGAGAGAATCAAATTAGTGCAACAGATAAAGCTGTACTTGATCTTAAAGTTCAACGCGACAAGTTAAAGCAATATCAACAACAGGTATAGTGTTCAATGATTGAATGATTGAATGATTGAATGAATGAACACATATGATTGACATTTGAATGAACTATGATATATGATATATAGATCAATGTAGTTATACAAAAGGAGATCAATATAGCAAAGGAATGTACAAAGAATAATAAGAAGAAACAGGCATTGTTGGCATTGAAGAAGAAGAAGTATCAGGAGAAGTTGTTGGAGGAGACTGATCAGAATCTGTTGAACATACAAGAGATGATATCAAAGATAGAGCAGGCAGAGTTCCAGGCAAAGATATTCGAGAGTCTTCAAAAAGGAAACGCTGCACTCAAACAACTCCAAAAGGAGCTGTCTCTCGAGGACGTCGAGAACATCATGGCCGAGACAGAGGAGGCTATCGAATATCAGAACGTATGTATAGTCGTAGGAGTATTGGCTTTGCATGGTATGGGACATCTCTAACGCAACACATACATGTACAGGAAATATCAAAGGCGATGAGTGGACAATTCTCATCAGAAGAGGAGGATGAGTTGTTGGCAGAGTTGGAGGAGATTGAGAAGCAGCAGTTACAATATCCAGAGGTACCAAACAATGATATCAAGATTGATCTGGATCATATATTGCCTGGTATGTATCCAATCACACCTTGTACACATAATTACTACTGGACATTATTCATTAACAACTGGGCGGAACGACTAACATTAGTTAAATTACCAACGTCTGATAAAGAGCCTGCATCATCATCGTCAAACTCAACGGCCAAGGCCGAGAAGGCGCGTCAAGAGCCACAATTAGCAATGTAATGTAGTTTATAAGATTAATGGTTAAGCCATACATCAGTAACCTTGATGTGGACAGGACATTAATAAAGGTGACTGAAGTTTACTTCAATTATCTTTTTCCAGTCATAACCTCATTTATATTTATCCAACCGCCCATTATGTATATTCCGACAACAATCGATGGTCTGATCAAGTCCGAATAATATATTACACTTTTTTATTTACAGTGGAACAATTTAATTTCCAACTGGTATAAATATTGGTGGAATCAGTCAAGTGGAGTCAAGTTGGAAATAAAAACAATTTTTTTCGGTTCGACAATGATTCCAAATGATAGATTATGGTCGTTATTCCAGCTTTGGGATCAAGGTCCAAATTACTAATTTAATTAAAGCATCAATCAATCAATTTAATTGTCATTGACTATTAGTAGATCAACAAAACAAGTAAACAATGATATGTGTTGTTGATGTAATAGCGATTGCTATTCATAGTTTATTTGGTTTTGTTGATCTGTTGATTGTCAACAGATAGGTGACCTAAGCTTAGTCAGAGGTCGAGGTGGTGCTGGTGGTGCTGGTGGTGCTGGTGCTGGTGGTGCTCGTAGTGGTGCCATCATCTTGCTGAGTTTGGTTATCCTTGGAGAGGCTGATCTCCTCATCAGTAGGTAGACTTGCACGTAGGCCAAAGTCAAAGAACTCATTCAGTTGATTATACAGAGACAGCTCCATGTCAGAAGTGAGATTGTGGTGCTTCAAGGCCCACTTGAGGGTCACAATCTCGTTTAACACCCACGCCCTCTGTTCTTCAAGACGGGCGAGGTAGTCTCCAAGGTTAGAGGCGTTGGTGATGGCCTTCATACGCTTGACGATTGGATCAACGTCCTCATCGTCAGAGATGACGACAGTCTCATCACGTTCACGCTTGAGCTCTGGTTTGACCTGCTTATCTGTTGGGGCGGGCAGATTAGCTACAGAGTTGCTCAAGATGAGCTTGTTGACGCTGAGGAGAGGAGAGAAGAAAGAAGAGGAAGAGGAAGAATAAGATGAAGCATTAGTACTCATACATCTTATTGAAATAGTTGACCCCAGATACTACAATTTGATTATACATACGTGTCAGTGCCAGGGCGGATATTGTCCAGTGCCAACTTCAATTTGGACCTTGATCCCAAATTTGGAATAACAAGAAGAACAAGAAGAACAAGAAGAACAAGAGTGGCTCTAAGAACACCGGCACCACCTCCACCTTGACCTCATCCACAAAGACATCCGCTGCCGCCGATGACCAAGTTGGCGATGAAGGCGAAGATGTGGAGGAGGTGTTGGAAGAAGAGGAAGAGGAGGAGGACGAGGATGAGATGTTGTTCTTGCCTCAAGGCCTTGCGTCAAAGGTCAAGAGCATTTCTGCACAGCCAACACCTCAACTCAGAACTGGAAAGAATGTTGTTACAAAAGAATTAGTTTCTAATATAATATCTAAATCAATTAGTTTAGGAGAAGTTATCAAAGATCTTTCTATTTTATCAGATAAACTCAACAAAGAAATCTTGCTCATCGCGAACGATAATCTTCCTGAATACGGTTTCTATCCCTATTATGTATAAACAAAACTAACCATTTGCAAATTACCTGTCAATTATTATATCATACAGTCTTTCATGAATACATCGTTTACAATAAACTTCATGTCTTTCCAAAAAAGAACATATATAATCCAAGATAAATTCAATGATATTGTTTTGGAATCACTAAAACTATATTCTGAAGTCCTCACGATAATCAATGTACCTCTTTCACGTACTCTTTTGTGAATCAATCATTGCTGCTTTGGTATCAGGTCGACAACAGTGATCTCTGGATCGCAAAAGAGTCGCATGGGAGGATGTGTTGCCAATCCTCGGTTGACATAGAGATGCATTGGTCGTTGTGGATTCTTGGGTGGCTCCAACTGTGCTCCATTCAGAATATGATGTCCACGACACCATTTCCAATTCTTTACAACCTTGCGTGGATAGCTAATGCCTGCTAACAATGCGCGTGGCAACAACAGGAATATGTTGTCCAACACTGGAATGATTGGTGAGCCATTCGGGAAACAGATCTGGCCACCATGTGTATGTCCAGAGAGTACCAGGTCAATGTCGTAGGGTTCCAACTCGCGTGCACTGTCTGGATTGTGTGATAGTACTACTCGTGCTGTGTTCTTCATTGCAAGGTCGGCTGCAACACAGTCCAATCTAAAGTTGGCACGCTTCCTACTATAATCTCCAAGTCCAACCAATTGCAATTTACCCTGTCCCTTTCCCATCGGATACACAGTCTCATTGACCAACATTGTAATATTACTATCCTTAAGTGCTCCAACAATAGTCTCTGGCCCATGATCAGTCTTATAATCATGATTACCAAGTATACAATATACTCCATGTCTTGCCTTTTTTGATTGATTGATTGATTGAGTGAGTGATTGGAATCATTCCAAAGGGGGAGGTCAGTGGATGAGGTAACATACTGATAACTTTGAGAGATGCTTCTTGAGTAACTCATGGATGGGCTCTGGCTTGAATTGTACAAGATCACCTGTTATGACGATGATGTCGGGATCTTGTGCATTGACAGTCTTGATGACTTTGTCCATGAACTCATCATGTATTCTAATAGGATATTCATCATAATGTATATCTGATATCTGTACCAATTTGACTGGATTATCTAAATACATCACAGGTATATCCAATCTCTCCAATGCCAGATGTGCAGGGAACAATCTCCTAAGCAACATTGCAAAAGAGAATATACAATATCTCAAAATATTACGTATTATTGTTATTATCTTCTTCATCTTTTATCTATCTATCTATATCTATATCTATATCTATATGTTTGATCAACATTATAACATGTATATGTGTCATTCAACAATGAATGAATGAAAGAGGAATGACTCATTGTCCACACTTCTCACGAATTTTGAAGATCTGCCGCCAACACGTCATCTCAATGACTCACTCATTCATTCATTCGTATCACGATAAACATATATATAAACAAATAATAATACAAAGATGATGATGCAGCCAGGCAGAAGACCGCCATCAGGTGGATTGAACTTGGATAGTAGTGACGACGATGATGATGACAAGAGAAAGAAGAAGGATGGTGCAAAGAAGCCACCACCATTGATGCCCCCAATGAAGGAGATGCCTCCACTGCCTACAATAGACTCAACTACATATACATTGTTTACACTGATGATACAGCTCAAACAACGAATGAAGTACTCACCATACAATCTAAAGAGTAGTAAAGATGTTGTCAAAGGTATGTTCGATCAATCAATCATTCAATCAATCAAGTGAATACATTGAAGGAACTAACGGACACTTGACACTTGGTACAATGGTACAGACAAGATAGAAAGATACTCAAACAAGTATAAAGGAGATATAACACAACAATCATCTATTGAACATTCACTGCCAATACATCTTGGATACTTTCCACTGGAACTTACTACTACACGAAAGAGAAAGAAGAGAAGAAACAAGGGTCAGTCAGCATTGAAGACTCTAGATGGCATGAAAGAGGATGAAGAAGGCGAGGACGATGAGAACAAGGTAAGGAAGAGTTACATCACATGGTCCCTGTCAATCACTAACTCAATCATTCAATCATTGATACAATGTAGAAGAAAGAAGGCGATGAGATGGATGGCGATGCAGATGAAGATGAATCAGATATGGAGGATGATGAATATGAGAACCAGAATAATGATGTTGATGATGATGATGAGGGTGGAGCATCGTCTGATGAAGGTGGAGACGAAGCCAATTTCAACTAGTGATCTCAACAGACAGAAACACATGGTGGCGAACTTCCCAACAACCCATCACACTGCCACATCATCATCATCACAATGAACAACATTGTTGTGAAAATTAAACAAAGCGATCATTATCACTTGGACACTTGTATCTCTCTCAATCAATCAAACAGGCTCATTCATTCATACATTCAATCAATCAATTCAATCAATTCAATCAATCATTCAATCATTCATTAATTAGTAAAGCGATACAGACAGATGCACGCCGCCGGTTTGGGCAAACAATCATTGTTGATACCCAAGCAGCCGCTGTTGCTGCTGCACGGTCTGTTTGGATTCAGGGAACTGGGACCCTTTGTGTACTTTCATGGTATAACAGAGCCGCTCAAATCACTTGGCGCCAAGGTGGTCGCGACGCGCGTGCATCCTACAGACTCTATAGCCAACAGAGCAGCTCAGTTGCAGACGCAGTTGAGTCAAGTGCTCAAACAGTACAATACGGACAAGGTGCATGTCATTGCACACAGCATGGGAGGATTGGACGCTCGATACCTAATCAACAAGCTTGATTGGGAGCGAAACATTATGTCATTGGTAAGCAGGTTGAGTTGGTTGGTTGGTTGGGGACACTACTAACCTTGCGCGAATGATGGCGTAGACTACACTCGCAACACCACACAGAGGCAGTTACATTGCCGACTGGTCTGTGCTCAACATCAAACAGAAGCTGAAGATTGAGAGTCTGTTCAAGGTGCTGGACATACCTCTGTTGGCAATCGACCAGCTGACACCACAGTACATCAATGAATGCTTTAACCCTGAGATCACCGACGTGCCCGACGTCCAATACAAGAGCTATGGAGCATGGAAGCAGTTTGAAAGCAAGTTCTCCTATCTCTACTACTTTGGACAACTGCTTGCCGAGCGTGAGGGTCGCAATGATGGACTGGTCAGCATGGATTCGGCGCGATGGGGACAGAGCTTCAACGAGATACCCAACTGCGATCACATCAATATCATCAATTGGAGCGAGAGCAAGTTTGACATCATGCCCACCTACCAGAAGATACTTAGTGATCTCTATCATCTGGAGCAACAAAGAGAACTAAAATGGAGTATTCGTTGATGACCTTGTGTCGCGAGAACTATAATGTAACATGTATATCTCTTTCTTAAGACATGGCGAGTGGAAATCACTTTCCCTCACGATGTAGTGTATTAGATTGAATTGGATTGGTTGAGTATGATTGATTGAGTGTGATTGATTGAGTGTGATTGATTGAGTGTGATTGATTGAGTGGATGGATGGATGGATGTATGTTGGGTGTGGATGCTATAGAGTCTATTATGCTGGGTATCCTACCGTAGGTTCAGCATTGAGTTAAGGATTGTTATACTATTCTTGTATCTAGACCTTCGCTTCTTGTAGTTATTTTGGAAGCTATGTTTGTGATTGCGGCGTTAGTATTTGTAGATGATCCAGGTGTCCCGGGTCAAGGACAAGCATGACCTTACCTCTTCTTTACAGCTTTAAAATTGGACATGTGCTCCGCCAGCAGTGACTCACTGGATGGCTGCTGGACGTCATTGTTGTTGTCAATGAAGTTGTTATTGTTATTGTTATTGTTATTATTGTTGTTGTTGATGTTGTTGGTATAGCCGCCAAAGTGCAACTGCTGTTGTTGTTGTTGTTGTCTGATCAATGCCTGGATATTGATGGGTTAATATGGTTATCTTGATCTGCACATCCAGGGCTGTGTATACTTACATCAAACTCGGATGGTGCAGTACATGGTCGTGGTTGGATCGGCTGAGATGTCTCTTCCTCTACATCTGGCGAGTCGGGTAGAGGTGGTGGAAGAGTGAACGAGTTGTTTTCTTCTTGCATCTATTTAATGTTGGAGAGGTTAGAAGGGTGGCCGAGCAGATCATTGATCATCCATGGTATACGTTACATTTAATAATAGTGATTCTGGTGATGGCGCCACATCATTGATCCACATTCGAAGTAGTCGGTAGAGTGATGGCTGTGATTGTGGCCGTGGTCTGCTGATATCAACATCGTAGCCAATCGGTGGCGAACGAGATGGTGTGGAGACCTCGGGTATGAGCTTGCCAATGTCAATAGGGTTGTCCAATACATGAATGATATTGTCGTTGCCAACACCGCTGCCATCTCCTGGCGACGCCATATTTTTGATATCCAATAATCCAACATGTTCGTGTTGCTGATGATGATGATGATGTTGGATACCAGACATGTCAACATATTGTTGGTGTTGTTGTAGTTGTTGTTGTTGTTGTTGGAACATTGGTACTGATGGTGGAACAAGCTCCATATGTGTGATTGGCTGTGGATGTGACGCTGTTGATGCCGTGACTGCATCCTCCATGTGCTGGTATGGCATTGGCATTGGAATGGATGAGGATCCATTCATACTACTATTATTATTATTACTACTATTATGTACATTGTTGTTGATGCTGTGACTTGGTGTGGATGCAGAGTGCAGGGAGACGGGGTGGGGCGGACTCATGAATGACATGGCGTTGTAGATGTCCACGTTGTTGTTGTGGGCCGACTTGACTGGCGTGGACACCACTTTGAAGGGCGAGGGGAATCCAAAGTAATCATCGCCGAATGGGTATGGAATGGACGAGCTATGTGAGGCTGGTGGAGGTGTCGATATATTGGTAATGAATGGATTCTCATCATCTGACAGCTTGCCTCTCCGCTTGGTAATTGGTGAATCTGCAAAGCCATGATATGACTCTATTTGGTTGTTTGATTGATTGATTGATAGTGGATGGTTGGATGGATGATGGTTGGTTTGGATGATCACTCAATCATTGGCGCCACAGATGACAACTTACTCAAGCGTGCCGGACTTGCCTCTAAGCTTAGAAATGAGTCAGATATTGACTCGGACAATGGTGGATCCAGTTTGTGATTGGTATGTGTGTATATGTGATGGACAAGGTGAGTGCCAATGGCAGGCAGTTATGTGTTTGTGTTGTTGATTGATGATGATGATGTGGTATGAAGTGTCTTTGTCGTTGTCGTCGTCACGGGAGCTGGTCGACCAATGTCCCGTCAGTCAGTCAGTATCCTTGTACTCGCGAGATAACCTAAACCTGTTGCTGTATGGTATTGATGATATTGATGATGTTGATGATGGTGTAGTTTAATAAATAAATAGTCTAGTCCTAGCTCTCTCGATTAATGAATGATGATGAGATGGTATGATATGATTGTTGTTGATACTAAAGCTTTGTGAACAACATCAACATCATGGATATGGCGCCTTCCAAGTTCAAAGTATGTACATACTTTGGTGACAATCACAACACCTTGATCGCTCACAATCACCAGCATGGCCTGGCCTGCACACACCCCAAAGGCTTGCTGTTGTTGTTGTTTGTTGTTGAAGTTGTTGTTGTTTTGTGTGTGTTGTTGTATGTTCTTCGCGCCAAATGACAACGACTTCAACAGTTTCCTTAGATTTGATCATTTGCGCGCAATCATTCTTCATCATTCAAAAAATGAGTGAGTGTTCAGATCTACCAATCAATCGTACTTGACTTGGTCAACTTTTATAACCTGGTGATTATTATTATTATTCACTAATTCATCCATTCTATTTATTAATCATAATTGTTTACTAGAGTTATAAGTTTTGGTTTCAAGATTAAGATATATGCCATGTAATGATTACAGTGCTTATTTTAAATCTTGGTCCCATAAACAGGAACATAATTGATCGTTTGGTGTGGTTGGTCTGTTTGCTCTCTTCTCGAGGAGAAAGAGAGAATGGATGATGGTGGTGTGTGGGAAGGTAGGATCGAAATGGGAAGTGTTTGGAGTTAATCATTCTTGGTTCTCAATTACACAATGGTTGGTTGGGTGAGAGCACCTTCCACCTTTTTTCACATTACTTGCGAGTCATTAGTGTGTGTTGATATTGGAGAGATACACCTAAATTCGCATTTTGGAAACGATTTATAACAACTCAAACCCCACTCATCTTATCATTTCAATTACAAAACAAATACAAACAGATACTTTATTTATTATTATAATATATATTAAGAAACAGATAAATCACATACATATAGTTATTACACATACAACAACAAATATACAAGAATGAATATTAGTAGGTTGATTAAAACAAGTACTTATAGATGTCAATCAATCAATTAAATAATCAAATATACTAACATAACATTATAATGTTGTTTAGGAGACAGGAAATCAAATCATAGAGCTGTAACAAACAAGTTCGACTCTGATGTATTATCTAATGAGCTAAGCTACTTTGCACCATTGCTCAAGGAGAAGAAGACTACAATCAGAGTTAATGCTCTCAAGAACATCATTGATATTTGCACACATCAAGAGAGAATTGAACAGATACATGAACTGTATGTACATATACTACTTAACAACAACTAATAGTGTGATTAGATACTAACATTGAATGAATGAATGAATAGGGATGTTGAACTAGCCAACTCCATTTGTGATATAATTGCAGCACCAAACAGAGAACAGGAAGAGGTTACTCTGGCTGCTCGTGCACTAAAGGTTATTGCTGTACAGAATGGACTGAGTCGTTATGACTTCCACAAGACCATCAAGGGTGGTCTGTCATCTGTGATCAATGACACTGAGGACCATGTGAGTCCGGCCACCATCTCCAGTGCTCTGGACGCCGTGTCATTCTCATGCTTCATGAACACATCCTACTCGGACTCCTACGAGAACACCATCGAGATGTTTGCCGACATCATCCAGACACAGAAGAACAAGACCGTTCTCAACAGCGCTCTAAAGGGCTGGCTTCTAATGCTCACAAGACTGGATAAATCAAAGATCTCCAAACATATGAAGTATGTATCATTGTTGTCAAACAGAACAACATCCGCAAAGTGCACACAAGGTCTAACAACACATCAACATTACAATAGCATGTTGGACAAGATCATCGAGTTGACTTCATCATCATTCACCGCATTGACAAATACTGCTGGCACTGCCATGGCCTTTTTGATTAGTGAGATGGATGATAATATGCTGGAAGATAATGAGGATGATGAGGAGGATGTAGAGAATGACGACGAAGAGGCCGAGTCTGTCAATGATTATGATGATGTCGAGGATGAGGACTACTCCAAATATCAAGACAGAAACGCAAGATCACAAGATGATGATGACAACACTGACGACGATGACAATGAACATGACGACGACGATGAAGACTACGAGGACGACGAAGAAAATGAAATTGTATCAATGGTCGAGAACCTTATCCTATCCAACAACGAGAAGGGCAAGAAGAAGGCACAGTCAAAGACCCTGCTGAGGAAGATTGTCAAGACCCTGAAGGAGGGCGACTCACCCCGCGAGACTCTCAAGATTGACAACCAACCATTCTACTTCCAAGGCTGGCGCAAGTACATCCAACTGCATGAGATCAAGAGTGTCCTGAAGAACAGCGCCTCCTTCCACTGGACCCAGAACGAAGACCTGCGCAAGCTGATTGGCATCGAGATGCGTTCCGCCTCTGACAACAACCAATTCCTGTTGGAGCAGCGCCACATCAGCAACGTTCGATCCAAGCTCAGAACCAAGGGTCTGACCAAGGAGCGTCGTGATACTTCAGGTGTCTATTCCTATCATCATGGAGAGAATGATCAATAAACACTCATCATAATGTCCAATAATAATAATGTAACTCTCACTCTATCTCTTTACCCTTGCCCTGACACTGGGTATTTTGTTATTATTTGCGGGACCATCGATCTTTTTTGGGAACTGATCAGTCGGTTGGGGTAGTGGCCCTTTACCACCTTTTTTTATTGATTTGCGTGAGACACGACAAATCGTTTGTTGGATAACGACAGTAGGGGCTGTCTCTCTTTGACATGGGGGTGTTGTCTCATTGCTTCCCAAACTTACACCTTTATCGGGAACAAGGTGATCACACAAACACACACACCTTGTCGGCTTTATTATGACACAGGTCTCTAGCACCAGGAGGTGTTTGTTCGTCTTTGTTGTCATAGATACATACACTCATAAGTTAAGTTGGGTAATGAAGAGTGTCCCATCACACACTATTTTGAGAAAAAATAGGTAGTAGTAGGTTGTTAGTTCTGGTTGGGTTCCAAGTTACGACCTACCTATGATCATTATCTATCTATCTACATTATATAATAATAATAATACTAATAATACATAACTATTTATAAATATATCAGTAGCTTGTAATAATCAGACAAACTACATTGAGATTTTATCGATTGCCTGGTGGTAATTAATCATACACTCCACTCACACACCCAAACACACACACAATCAATCAAAACAGAACGTTCTGATTCGTGGTTGTGATTGATCCAAGGTTCCACCCTTTCACCTCATCCACCAATCTTAAACATACTACATTATCATTCATGATACCTTCACAAGTATACTCCATCCAACAACTACAACTACAACTACGATAACAATAGCAACGACAAAGATGAATGGATTATGGGACAAGATAACTGCACCCTTTGTAAGTAAAGTGATTGATTGGTGGCTAGCCTACCAGGCCTTGGTCCACGAGATGTAGCTTAGGCTAATATCAATCCAATCACTCATGATCAACATGTACAGGCAGAGATACAGAAACAAAGATCAGAGGATAAAGCTACACATGCGTTCTTGAAAGCGACAACTTCCAGCTTGGCACCTCCAAATGAACTGGTGGTCGATATATTCCAGCTGAGGGATCGTGAACTCCAGTTGGAGAGTCAACTAATCAAACAACAACAACAGACACAACAACAACAACTACAACTACAGCAACTACAGCAGCAACAACAACAACTGTATGATCAATTTGTGCACAGTCCTGAGGTGGTGGACTTGACCTCCCCAAATATAGTGCGCCAGTCACAGTCGATGGATGCACCCAAGCTTGCCAATGTGAATGTGGTCGCTGTGCCTGCTCAGGTCTCGGACATCACAGCTATCCCACTGAGTTCATCAACGGGCTTGCTGACCACTATGCAGGTGCCAACACTGGTACCGCCTGGCTTTGGTTCAGGCGCGGGTGGTTCGCCGCGCAATCAGTTCAAACTGTCTGCGGGAAACCCTCTGGCTCAGACATTGAACCCCTCCATCAGCAATGTATATATCAACAATCCCGCAAACAGTCCACTCAAGAATATCACCGAGATGTCTCCAGTCCGACCCTTCATATCAAAGTCAATGGGCGGTGGTGGCGGCGAAGACTCAACATCAATAGAGATGTGCGATATGTATGTTTGATCGATCACGTGTGGCTACCATCCCAGTCTAACACCCTCACCTGACATCACCCAATCAAGCAATAGGAGCAACCAAACTATAATCAATATACCTTCACATATTGCTGCTAATCAAAACCAGCATGCAACACATGGCGCGGATGGAGTGTCACAGAAGCCAGAGGCGAGCCCACTGGTGCTGAGTGAGCCAATGGGCAAGGAGTCAAAGGAGAAGACCGTCAAGACCAAGCGCAAGAATCGCTTCAGTAAGGAGAAGATGGAGAGGTTCAAGAACAGTGTATACCAGATACTGGTGCCTCAGACAAAGCTGCCCATCCATGTGGTGGACGCGGAGCAGCTCGAGACGTACGTCGTCCCATTCCTCATGGAGCTGGGCCGCGCATTGCTCATGTCGGGCGTGCCCGTACATCGACTCGAGTACGAGCTGACACTGATCAGCTCCACATTTGGTCTGGACGGTAACTTCTTCTCAACACCCACTGGCATCTTCTTCTCATTTGGTTCGCCGCATTCCATTCTCTCACCATACACTCATCTCTTGCGAATACAATCGACCGATTACAACATGGAGCGTCTTGTCCTTCTCGAGGCACTAGCCGACGATGTAATCTACGGAAGGAAATCATGTCAAGAGGTGAGTGATCATGAGGGTCTGGGATAGTCCCAGCCCCAGCCCAAGCCCCAGCCTCTGCCTCAGTCCCCCGCTAACACCAACCACACAAACACCCATTAGGCGCTCATTGACTTGAAGGACATCCTCAAGAGTCCACCATTATATAATATTCGTGTCACTGTACTTAGCTTTGTAGTATCATCCTTTGCCTTCTCCTTCTTCCTGCAATGTGGATGGGTGGAGGTTGGCGCTTGCTCACTGGTCGGCCTGTACGTGGGCCTGCTCTACGCAGCTGCCTGTCAATGGCCTGCGATTGGTCGTGTGCTCGAGGTGCTGAGTGCATTTGGCGGAGCATTCCTGGCGGGATTGTTCAACGCGTTCATTTACCCCGTTCCCCGTTTCCTTGCGACACTTGGCGGAATCATTGCGCTTGCGCCTGGCCTGTCGCTCACACTGGCCGTGGCAGAGATCGCCACTCGAAACCTCGTGTCTGGAAATGCTCGACTCATGGGCGCATTCTCTTGTCTGCTTCAGCTGTCATTTGGCATTGCCATGGGCACCAGGTTCGCCGAGAAGGTCCTGCCGCTGCAGACCGAGATTGTGCCGTCTGCATTCCCCAGCTGGACGATGTTCCTGGCGGTGCCACTGGCGGCCATCTCCTTTGCCATCCAGATGAAGGCGTCGCCGCGTCAAATGTGGATCATCATTCTTACCAGTGTGCTGGGCATCCTGGGCGGCAACTGGGGCAATCGTTACTTTGGCACAGACGTCGGATCTTTCTTTGGCGCCTGTCTGATCTGTATCACTGGCAACCTGTATGCGCGATTCACCAATGGCACATCAGTGGTGCCCATCCTGTCTGGCATTATCCTGCTGGTGCCTGGGTCGATGGGCGTAAAAGGCCTGCTCTCGGTGTCCAATGGCAACGTGGACAGTGGCATCGAGCTAATAGGTGGCATGTTCATGATTGCCACATCTCTCACCATTGGTCTTCTCGTGGCCAATCTTCTGGTTAAGCCTCACAAGGCACTTTAAGTTATAAGTTATATATATATAAGTTATTTAATTAATCAATTAAAGTAACGTTCGCAGTCGTCGTCGCGTCGTCGCCTGGTACATCCACCGCGAGGTGGATCCAGTCAGTCATATCCAATATCAACTATCGCATGAATGTGTGCTGATCGTGTCACCATGATTGATTGATTACTCGTCCTCCAAGTCGTCGGGGATATCCTCTTCCTCTTCCTTGCTAAACAAACTCCAATTTACAGGTGCTGCCGTCGCGGCAGCCTTTGACTTGTTATGTGGAGCTGGCTTTGAAGGTCCAATAATCATTTCCTTAAACTTGTCCAAGTCAGAGTCTGCTGATTTAGTTGTTGTCTTTGAAGATTTCGATGTCGATGTCGATGTCGATGTAGTTGTAGTAGTACTTGTTGTTGTTGCTGTTGTTGGTGTATTTGATATTGCTGAGTCTACAGAGACAGGACATGTTAGCATTCATTCGTTCAGAGTTGGCCTCGAGAAGGGGATAGTTACTGATTGCTTCGAGAACAGCCTTGTCTTTCTCTGCCTTTTCCAATTGCCTTTGTTTACATGGTGCTTTGTGTTCACTCCAGTGATCCAGTTGACATTGACGACAGCAGTAGGAGATTGATGTGCATGCTCCACAGAGTGAGAGCTGTTTCGTTGTGGTTGTGTCTTTGTCTTGAGTGCAGACGGGGTTCCCGCACTTGGACGTCAGGGCCAGACGAGCAGCCTCTTGCTCGGCGGCATTCTTCAACTTTAACTGTTGCTGTTGCTGTTCCTTCATCCAAGCGGGCATCTCTGGTGCCACTGTAGCCTTGGTCGTTGCCTTTAGCTTATTGTTCAACTTGTTGGCGGCATTGTTATTGGCATCCTTTCGCAGACCCAACTTTGCTTTCTTTGTCTTTCCTCTCTTTGTTGTGTATACTGATGCCATCCTCTAGTAGTAGTAGTATCTATATAACTAAATATTGTTATTTCTATCTCTTTGGAACACAAGAACTAATGTTCATTTCACTTTCAGACGTCTGAAAGATTCATTTCGGTCGGTTTCAAAAGTTTTGGTACCCCACTTAGGTCAATTATTAATATCATTATATATAAGTAGGAAAGTAATATTTATTTACAGATGATTACTAAAATGGTACCATTGTTGGTAGCTTGGTATCAATCAGACCCTGAAGTTCCAGGTAATGTTTGGAGCACCAGCGTTGAGGGTATCACTTCTGCGAACAGAATACATGTCCGCAATTGGAGTAGCGGGAATATTGAAGGGAGGTAATTGAAAGGCTTGGATGGCACCGTGGACGGTCCAATGATGCAATGTCTTCAATTGGTCGAGACAGTCATTCATCAGCTCTGTTTGGAACTTGAAGATACTCTGGGATCCTAGATGTGTTCCATTGTGACTGGTAATAAAGTTGTAAATGGTAGTCTTGATCAAGTCAATGGAGCCCCTCTGTGCATCTCCATTCACAACTCTGGCAGCTAGACCAACTTGATCCCAACAGAGCACCAGAACCGGGTCTTCAGGGTCCTGGTTGCGAACCTCAAACTTGATGATCTCCAATGCACCTGGCGGAAGATCTACAGTTTTGAAAGCATCTTCAATGCTCTTGTCAAGTGGGTCTGTTTCCATTGCAGTTTTCTCTTGCTTTGGCAGTGTCAGTTTTGAATTATCATTTCTCTTTGGGCAATACTTACATTCTTTGCCAGGGCTGGGCGAGAAGCTCTGACTTTTGTGGGCTTTCTCTTCTTGACTGGCTCTACCTCCTCTTGGACCCTCTTGGTTTTTCTGGTGCTCATTGTCAATGTTGTTGAAAGGTAAAGGTAAGTTGATATATTTGTTAGTTCTATCTGTGGAAGTTATGTAAACAATGACTACGAACCTTTAGTTTTATTGGTGTATCGAAACAGTGAAACGAGTAGCCTAATTAAACAAAGCTACAAGCTATCAATTATTATAGTTGACAGGTTGTCTTTGATTGACATAAGGTGGGTTGCCGAATGAATGATTACTCCTCAGTGGTGTCACCTTGAGACAGCATGTATTGCAAATGAAGTTTTAAGGTGCTTGACTGGTGGGGGAGTCACCAGTTGGTTGCTGCTAAGGTTCTGCAGGGGATAGTCAAGGTTACGCAGAGAATTCATTTTTCAGCGGTCTCAATCCTTGGGTTCGAGCTGGTTCGACCCTGGACAACCCTTGGAACAGCAAGGGGAACCCTTTCAAACCTTATCTGATGTTAATTAAATATTTATATTTTTATTGTTGTTGTTGTAGTTGTTGTTGTGGTTGTTGTTGTTGTATGATAAATTAGACCTTAAAGAAATCGTCGTCTCGTCCAAAGGAGTGGAACATATTGGTCAAATATGCGATAATTGTCCAGAGTGCGTTGTGTCGTTGAATGTTGTCAGAAAGGTCGCCAAGTGATCTGATTGTGTCTGACAATATGTTCCATTTCTTCATCTCTCCAAAGACATTCTCAATGATGATCCTCACCTTCTTGATTCGATTGCTCTCATCTTTCTCTCTCAGGATACGCTCGGCATCGAATCCTTCTTTGGTGACCTTGGCTTCCAATGCCTTCAACTTCTTAGATACCTTGGTCGCCTCCTTTCCTTGACGCAGGCGATGCTCATCGAGCGTGCGTTTTCTGATCATCTTGTCTGTGTACTCCATATGATCGATCAATGAAGCCGACTTGATCTTGGGGGTGATGGTGTTGGTGTAGTACTTCTGACCTCCTTTGAATCCTTTGTCACCGAGAATGACAATATCTTCATCGAACAGAGCCTGTAGTCTAGGTGCAGCATCCTTGTAGAGCGAGACGTCAGGCTGGGCGCCTCCCTCTGTCTTACCTACATACACGATCTTGCCACGTATATCGCAAATGACCAACACTGCCAAAGAATACATTGATTTCTTGCCAGAATAAACAAGATCCTTGATCGTCTTGTGTGGCGGCACTTGAATCCTCTGCTCTGACCCGTCCACAATGAGATGAACATTGTGCTTAATACCATCTTTCCATATTTCTGCATGATTGTCTCGAAGCTCTCCATTGTGAACCACATCCTGGAAGTACCCATGGCAGTACGACTTCAATCTATCGAACACCTTGGTGAATGAGTACCTGAGCTGAGCGATTGTCAATTGATATAGGAACACACGCTCCATCATGTACCAGGGAAGGTTGTGGCGGCACCTCATGAGGAAGACGAGCATGTCCTTGTGTTCAAAAGAGTGCTTCTCACAGAGCTGAGACACTTGACTATGGGAGAGCTTGAAGTAACTTGTGTACTCTTCATCTTGGTTGAACCATTGATCTGTAAGTGCAGAGTTGAGGGTATGGCATTTGTCAGTTAATGGACTTAGCTTGCTGGCAGCATATTTATTCTTCACCTTCTTCAAGGGTATTGTTCTTCCTCTTATTGTTCCTCCTTGTTGTTGTTGTTGTTGTTGTTGTTGTTGTTGGTGTTGGTGTTGCAGCTGCTTTCTTGGCCTTTGATTTAGACACTGGTTTGGTTATTGCTGGGCTTGGTGCTGCTGGGCTGGGTGCTGGGATGGGTGGTGATGTAGTTGTTGACATCGCATTATCGTCGATATCTATCGTTGCCCTGCTGGAGATACCGGTGTTCGCTTCGCACCATTGAGTCCATTTCTCTCGTTTGTTGGTTAGATACTCGACAAGGCAGTTCCATCGACAGAAGTATACAAAGACGCCAAACGTGCTGTCTGGATGGCAACACTTCAAGATGCGAGAACAACCCTTTGAACAGTTCTGGCAATGTTGGACAGAATCTCCAATGATAGGCTTCTCTGGATCGTGTTCTCCAATCGCAGGTACAGCAAGCTTCAAATAGGGCATTGACCTGGTATGGTTTGTAATATNTCCAACACTGCACATCATCATTTTTTGGTCGCCATAGTAGACAATGATCTTCTTCTCGATCTTGTTCTCTGGTGAATTGCAAGTCGCCTCTACTATAATCCGGTTGGGATTGGTTGGGTCTCGAACGTTGGAATGCAGGAAGCACTTGGTTTGTTTGCTAGTCTCTCCATCCATCAACTTCTTGGTATGTGTGATATTCATCAGCTCTCTATTGTTCTCTGCCGCACCTTGTTTGGTTGGCGTCTTCATTTGCTGAAGCGTGAGTGTTGATGACAACGATGTTGGTTGTGGCTGTTGTTGTTGTGGCTGTTGTTGTTGTGGCTGTGGTTGTTGTTGTTGTTGTTGCGATAATGACTTGATGATTCCCTCTAACTCCTCTATACGCAGCCTCAACGTGTGAGTCTCCTCCTGTGATTCTTTAGTCTGGAACATTACAATATCATCAGGTGGCAGGTGTTTGCCCAAGACCCAGATATCCAACTCAGTACCGCAGAAGAAGCATTTGACACCTGCTTGCTTAACTCTGGTGACTATTAACTGGGTTAGCTCCTCAGACATCAGATGTTGTATTATATATATGTATTAATTGGTCGCTATTACTATGTTGGAGGTTGCAAAGGGTCATCACGGGTCGGACCTTGGATTCCAAAACAAATATTTGAAGAATCCACCCACAACACCCGTTGAACCCTGCAGAACCCAAGCTAACCTTAGCAGCAATCAAGTGATGGCAACTCGCCAGTTTCCCCCAGCCCATAATCATTGAGAAGTTCGAGGGGGAACAGATGGTGGTGTGCCAGTGTTTAGTGATCTTCTTGTAATTGTTCAACATTGGAATTAATGCTTGTTGTTCTGTGACCTGTGGATGTATGTATAGTTGGGTTCATCCTTAGCTACAAGAATACTGCGACGACAATATAGGTGAATATTGTAAGTATAACCATCAATCAAGAATTGAACTCCTCCTTTGATCCATTTGACCATCTAATCTTGTTGGAATTCAATAGTAGTTGGGACTTGTTCTCAATCACAAATTTTGGAGCAAAGTGTGTGAGCCGTGTCCTCCTGTCATTCAAAAGAATGGAGTTATGTAGTTCTGTTGGAAAGTATGCAACATCAGGTCCGCTATTAACAAGTAGCCTAGTAATTGTTAACAGAAGGAATGAAAGTTTAACTTACAAAATTGGACGGCCGTCTGTTGCCAGAAAGAACCTTGAGTCCATAACCAAAGTTGACCTAAAACTTCTAGATTCTGAGCAATTTGGATGTAACTCCTTGACCTCACATATATGGTCAAATCTCTCATAAACTCCACCCGGGTAGCAGTATTGAGTAATACCAGATCTTCTCGATCGTCGTCAGTGTATGTTTGGGTACAAGGAAAGAAGTAATCTAAGTCTAAGACAGTACCTAATGGAATTGATATAGTGTGTTCATCAATATAAATGGTTGAGGGATTGTTGTTGTGCTCTATAAACAAAGAGTATCTCTCTGATGATATTCTCCAAGGGAACTTTATAATAGTATTGTTGTTGATGTTAGACATTGTGACAAGGTATTAATTTATGTGATTAATTGTTATTAAATAAATAGGAGTTAGACATCATCAAGTTAATGTGTATTTTAATATTTATTTAATACGAAATTTCCAATTCATTTGGTTACACCTTTGTACATGTATTATTGTTTAAGTAGTTGTTTGACCAATGTCTTCTCAAAGTCTACATCAATGAATTGGTATCCACTATCMAATCAATCTGGTGGATTAAATAGATGAATGATTGCAATAAGTTAGTTTGTGTCTGATTGATGATGAATGAAGCCATGCCATGCCATTTACATACTTGTTTGGTAAACACTCGCTGACTGCTTAGTATTGTCTCACCAGCCATCTCGCGACCGAATACAGTGTTGATGACAAACTCTGGAATCCAGAATATTGTCGGACGGTTCAGGACACTTCCCAACTTCTTGGTGAACTCTGTGTTGGTCACTGGATTGGGACTGGTGACATTGATCGGTCCCGATACATTATCATGATCGATGGCGAACTTGGACCACATTGATGACGTCGTCCATGCTGACCCATGGCAGCCACTGTGTGCCACTGCCCATCMACGCCACCTAGTCCAAAGAGGAATGGATAGTAGGCCATTCCAAGGAGGCCTCCACTTGGGTCCATTACAATGCCGATGCGCATGTTGACCACGCGTGACTTTGCTCGGATGGCTTCGCAAGCGCCTTCCCATTTCTCGATGACGTCAGTGAAGAAGCCGTGGCCCTTGGGTGCAGTCTCGTCCAGGGGTTCATGAACTTGCGTGCCATAGTATGTGCAGCCACTGGCGCTGATGAATAGGGGAGGCTTGACCATTGCCGCAGCAGTCTCTGATAGTAAACGAGTGCCCTTCACTCTGCTCTCGAGGATACGCTGCTTCTTCTGTTCGTTCCATAGACCGATGGCATTCTCGCCTGCCAGATGGACGACAACGTCTGGCGCGACATTGTTGAATGCTTCAGTGTCGATTGATGATCTCTCAGGGTCCCATTGTATCTCTGATGAGTTTCCAGGTGCTCTTCTTACCAATGAGTACACATCATACACTCCAGATGCCTTGAGTGATTGTGACAATGCCTTGCCAACGAAGCCTGATGCTCCACTGATCACTACTTTCTTTAAAGTTTGCATTGTTGATTGATTGATTATTTGTAAGTTATAACTATGTTGTTATTATATGTATGTATGATTAATGATCACTCAATCTTCTATCTATGCTATTAATATAAATTGATTGGATGAGTGGACAAGTTCAAGGAGAGGGTCCATTACAAGCCCACCCACCTGATCAAAACACACATCAGTAGCGCGTCACCTTCAACCAGTGATGCGGATGAGTGTGATTGATAAGTGGGTCACATGAGACCACCTAGCTCATTGTTTGAATCATTCATTCAATCAACCAATCGATCAGCCATTATCAGCCATTGTTGTTGCATGCATGCATTGTTGGATGTACACACACCTCGAGCTGCGTCATTGGAATGATTCCAAACACATAGTAACTGATTAGGTTGCTCTATCTCTATCTCTATCTCTCGATCGATCTCTAGGGTTTATTGCTGTTGTGGCTGTTGCTTGGCCTTGCGTCGCTGCAGCACATCGTAATTGTAAACTCTTGAAATGTTGACGTCTGTGGTAGTGATCTGATCCTTGATGAAGCCTAGATCCTGTACTGTGTCTCTGAGCTGCTTGTCCACTGATTTCTTGTTGTTGCTCAACACCTGCTTGGCCTCGTCGAACGAGTACTCCAACATCACATTAGCGCCCAGCCACAAGTACACAGACTTTGGCTTTGATACCTCTGCTGAAGAGTACACTCCTTCAGACAGTTCATAGTTCATCGAGAATGTATCATCCTGTTGTGATTGATTGATTGAGTGAATGAATGAGTGAGATTGCTCGTGTCTCTCTCTTCTCACTGTCTTGATGATGACATACCTGCTTTGACTCTAGCTTGTTTACTATATCGATTGTTTCATCCAATTGCTTGGCTCTGTTGGTGAGGATACTGACGTTGTTTGTCAGCTTTGATTCAAAGTACTTGTATTTGTTGTGACCTTCTTGTAGTATCTTGAATACATCCTCCATCTCTTTGCCCTTCATATATTCCTCTACATTGTCCTATATATGCACCAACAACATCATTCATTGATTGATTAGTCTCCAGAGTCATTGACTGTCAATTGATTGATTGATCATCAACACATACAATGAATGAAACAGCAGGTATATTTGATGCACTCTTCACCTCGCGTTGAAATAACACCTTGTATGGATTGTCTGTTGTTGTCGTTGTTGTAGCTGCCATGACTTAAATAAATATATATCTTTGTCAATGATTGTGAATCGTCTGTTTGATTTTATGTGATTGAAGTTAGACTTGTTGAAAAGTATTCAAAAACAAGTCATTTCAGCAACTTGAGCCATTCTCAACTTAAGGAGGACCATCAAGCACATAATATTCAATCAATCAATGATCATGTCTTCATGATCCATTGTTTTAAGTATATTGATGAAGTACTTGATATATATACATCAAGTACAAAGTTCAATCAATAACCTATTAATCAAAACAACTAATAAATGAATTAAAGGACTATTCGAATCATACTAAGGTACATACATCAATAACCTTTTAATCATTCAATCAATCAAGAAACTGATCAATAAGATTATAATACCAGGGAGGATCATCATGTATGATTTACTTTTATGTCAAGGTGGTCAGTGCAATGTCATCGTCATCTGACGACAATGCAAAGATCATTCATGTAAGATAGTTTTGTTGGTGGTGCAAAAACGACGAAACGTTGGTATCTCATCAGAACAGTCACACAACTTATATTCCCCTTTCGCATTCATTCATTCATCATATTATCATTGTACAGTCGACTGACTGATTCATTGATTGACACCAACAGTGAGTCACTTGTTAATTATTATTATTATTTATTACAACACATCATTTGCAGAGACAGACACAGTATCTGAACAGCTCAGATCCCACCACTCAAACACACACACTCAGCTGACTGTGAACACAACACTCGGATAAACAACAGCAACAACTTTAGCATTGGCCAACACACCACCACTCCTCTTTGCCCATCCCTTTATCCCTCCATCAATCTCTCACTCGACCATTACAATTGTAGTTGTAGTGCACATTACTACTTAAAAGAAAGGTCATATTCATTCATTCATTCTACATTCATTCATTCAATTCAATTCACAAATGGCCGAAATACATTATCCAGTACTAGCAATTATCTTGTCAATACTTGGCAATTGCCTAAGTTCATTCGTTGCCCTTTCACCATTGTAAGTTGTTATGTTCAAGATTAGTGGATGGACCAAAAAAGACAGATACTTATTTAAGAATATACCAGACCTAGATTCTTTAAATTGGACAAAGAGCGTGATCCAGGTCCTTACAGTATATATCCTATGGTTGCACTATGCGGCAACTCTTACATGTGGGTCATCTATGGAATGATTACAAAGACATTTGCCGTTCTCCCTGTCAATATGATTGGCCTATTCTCAACAATCTACTTCATTGTTGTCCATATCAGTACTCTAAAGGAACTTAAAGAGGTATGATGTCGAAACAATCAGATATATATACACACTGGAATAGACACTCACTCCATCAATCAACCTCAATCAATCATGTAGAGAAGGATTATAACTGGAATATCAATGGGCATGGCTATTATCCTCTCATTGTTCACAGAGGTTGTGATCCTATCGACAAGTGATGTAAACTTACAAACAAATATTATGGGATATGCATGTAATGCTATTCTGTTCTGTTTCTTTGGTGCACCTTTGATGGCATTGTACGGTGTTATCAAGAGTAAAGACACATCATCAATGAACCTGCTACTATTAATATGTTCAGGTGTGGCTGCCATTGTCTGGACTGGCTATGGATTACTTGTCCATGACCTATTCATCACAGTTCCAAATGCTGTTGGTATGTTACATCTCGCGCCATTAGGATCAATCAATCATTCTCTAATCCATCCATTGATGATCCATCTTTAGGCGCAACATTGACAATGTCCCAACTGGCAATATATAAGGCGATTAATATATTCTATCCACATGGTAATCTACGGTCTGGTGAAATGAACATCATGGACATCGATAAGGAGACTCCACTTAATGGTGCTGACGACGATTCAACTGCAGATGAACCATCTGCAGTAGTATATTAATATAATAGTAATATAGAGGATGTATACATTCATTTATTTATTAATCTAACAATACTTTGTATATGTTGGGATATCAAAGATCCATCTTCCAACTTCCACAGGTAGTCTACCAGGTTGAGAGGATGAGGAGCAAGAGTGTTGTGAAGACAACTAGCAACGTGGTAGCAAGGTTGATGGATGATATGGCGCAACCAGTACCAGTGGTGGACGTGAGTGCTGGAGTTGACTCGGTCGTGGAACCGGTAGAGATCTGCTCACCAGGGATGGATACCTCGCCAGTTGTGGTCTTGGAAGCTGGACCAGTAGTTGTCACCTTGGAGGTAGAGTTGGTGGTAAGTGATGAGTTGCCAGTGGTCAATGGTTTGATACCGGTTGTCGTAGAGTTGAGGGCAGAGGTTGTGGCAGCGTGTCCAGTAGTGGATGTTGGGCTCGATGTCGTTGTTGTGACATTGGTCGTGCCAAGAGCAGTGAGCGAACCATTGAATGAGGCAGTATTGTTGGTGAGGAAGACATCAGCGCAGGAGTAGTAGATTGCTCCACCACCATTCCTAGCATCAAATACTAGTTGGTAGTAGGCACGGACCTGCTTGGAGAAGTCGATGGCAGAGAGGAGCTTGCCAGTAGCTGGAGGAACCGGGATGGAGAACTCACCCTCATCAGTGCGGGCAGAGTTCTCGTTGAGTGTTGCCACGCTGTAGCCAACACCACCAATGAACAACTGGAGTGCATAAGTGTTGGTCTGAGCATCCTTGTTATACCAACTCTTGCGTTGGTACACCAGGAATGAATTGGTCTTGAGAACGTCGATGTTACTATTGATTGAAAGGAGAGAATGACAGTGAGTTAGTGATTGAATGAATGATGGATTGAGTTGTGAGAGCAAGGGATGAGGTTATACATACACTCTGTTGGCTTCCACGGGGGAGGATAGGGCACAGGATTGTTCGTTGCCACAGCCAGAGTTGTCAGAGGGGTTGCAAGGTTGACGGGGAGTTGGTGACTCCAATCCAGCTTTACCTTCAACATGGTAACTGGAACACAGGAGGAGAATGATCAATGAAATTAATAATAATGGTAATTTGGACATTGTGATAGATAGATTACTAGTAATAATAAAGATATATAGTTGTTATAGAGATATTATAATGATGATGTTGTAGGAGTTTAAGATAACAAGACTGCGGTAGCTGTTGGATATCTGTTGCTTAAGTACCCATTCACACACTCAATGATGAAGCCGATGAACATGTTGACTTGTAAGATGTAGTTGGTAGTAGGAGTCAAGAATGGTATCCACTACCATCTTTAGGACCATCAGTGACCAAATCAATTGTTTCCACCTCATACACACACAACCATCAATCAATCAATCGATCACTCGTCTGACCGTTTTGAGGAGCAATGTGTGTGTGGATGTTGATTAGATGACAACGACAATGTGCCATTGATTGGATAAGATGTTTCATTGTCTCCTACGTTGGTTCCTGTTGGGTGCGGGTGGTCGTTGATCATCGTCACCATCCTCAAGAATTAGATCATCGACATAATCATCCAAGAATCCTCTTGCTGCTTGTTGTAGCTGTTGTTGTTGCTGTTGCTGTCCTCCTTCGCCAGCCCATGGCATCAATGTGTGGAAGAAATGCAACAAGGCATTTGGTGCGCCATTCTCTGGGAACAATGGTTCTGGTTGCTGCTGCTGCAACTGTTGCATCTGTTGTTGTATTTGCTGCTGCAGTTGTCTCTGTTGAACGAATCGTGGCTGTCGGTAGACTTGGTAGCCTGCGCCAATGCCTCGTCTTGGGTCCACGCCTCTGGGTGGCTCAATGTTGTTGAATCCATCGGCACGCATCATCTCAATGACATCGGGCGGCAGTCTCTGCACGACGTCCGAGTACTCTGAGAGGAACAGATGATCGAATATCGATTGATCAATGACACTGTACTCCTTGAGGATCAGCAGTTGATCGTCCACGATGGCCTGATCGCCTGCATCCACCATCGCAATGACCTTTTGCACGTTCCTCTTGATCCATGCGATGATCTGTGGTTGCTGCCACAGTTGATGATTCCTCTCGACAAAGAGATTGATGAGATGCTCCACTGGCTTGAGCTGATCGGTGTTCTTGAAGAATGCGTGCTCCTCCAACTGAACGGGTCGACCACCGCCCTCGGGTATCAGAGTCAGGTTGGCCTTAGTCTTCTCGAGAAGAGGACGCAGCATCATTGGGAAGCGGATCAATGCCTTTATCAAGAGCTTGTCTGCAGCGTCGACGTTGGCCGGTGTATCGCTGTCCAACAGGAACTGGGCAAGTGCTGCCGAGTAACAAAAGTTTGGCAGGAGGTCCAATGCCTGAGTGTTTGGAGTCAATCGCTGGGCTCGCGTGTATAGATCGACCAAGAAACCATACTGCTTGGACTTGAGTGCATAATAATCGATGATCAATCGTACAAACAATGGGTCGCTATAGTCGAATGACAACAATATCTTACTATATTATTGTTTGTTATGTTAGTTAGAATGATTGATTGATTGATAGATCGAGTCAATGATCGAACATACCAATACTCCAATGCAGTCCTTGGACAACCTCTACGACCAAGGATCTGAATGTGTCTGAACATCGCCAAGAAACATGTCCTACAAGATTGATTGATTGATTGATTGAGTAAGTTGTTAGGTTGTGCTCACTTAAGTTGGATTGGCTACTCGCGGACACTCACTTGTTCTCGGGTATCTTGTACTCCAGCCTCGAGTTACCGAGTGTTGGATTGAACTGATGATGCCAGCTGCATTCGAATGCAAAGACGGCGCGCTCAACAAAGTCTCCGGCATGCTGGAAGTCCGATGTCTGCAAACACACCTGGCTCAGCTGTAGCAGCGAGTCGATGTGATAGGGATGATACCTGAGCAGCTCGCCAATGTTCATTGGGTCGTGAGTGCCCAGCACATGATAGAACTCCTCCTGTATGCTCTTGTATGTGTCGCTCCAACGGATTTTGAAGTAGTTGACGTCGCCTTCGCTCCTGTCCAGCTCCATCACCATCGAGCTCATGATCTCTGGCCAATCCTGCTGAGGCTGTACAAAGAGCCAGCTCCTCTTCTTTGACAGATTGAGATTGGAGTGTACATTGTTGTTCTTCTTCTTCATCTCTTTCATGTCGCTCTGTGTTGTATGTGTGTCATGGACATATGAGTGATTGAGCGATTGAGTACAACATCATGAGAGGAGAATGATACTTACGACCTTGCATCCGAATAGCTTCTTCAGTTCGAATGATGGGTTCAAGTGTTTGTTGTCAATGGACAACATCTCTTTGTATATTGAACTACTGGATGTTGATGATGAGGAGGTGGTTGAGGTCGTGCTGGTAGTTGATGTTGTATTGTTGTTGTTTGTCAACTCGGCAAGAATGTCGTCATCCTTATTGTTGGCAGCTGCGGTCTTCTTCTTTTGTTGTTTCTTCTTGTTGTTCTTCTTCTTTGAAGTGGCCTTGGATGGTGCTGGTGGAGAAGTGACAGCCTTCTTCTTGTTCTTTGACGATGCAACTACAACCTCATCCTCATCTTCATCATCATCATTGTTATCAACATCGTTGTCATTGTCATTGTCATCATCATCATCAGTCAACAACAATGTAGCAAACTTTGTAGTTGTTTTCTTGGTGACCTGACTATCGACGATATCATCAATGTCATCATCACTGTCATCTGAATGGTCGTCAACCACCACATTATTGGTATCTGTGTTCTTTAGCTTTCTCAATGCTCTCGATGACATTTCTCTATCTGTCTCTCTTTGTTGTCTATCTAACTAAATAGTTAATGAATGAATTATGTTTTCCTTTTGGATTTATGACCAAACAAGGGAAAAACTAAAGAAATTGTTTGGTTTGTTGATTTCCGTTGATCATCACAACACTTATTACCAATATTAGAATACTTTATCATTTATTAATCTAGACCTTTCCCAATTAATATGGACCATGGTACAGCGTGAGAAAATTCTTTTTATCATTAGCTTTGGAGATATTCGGAACTTCCGATTTAGTATGTAGTAGAAAATTATCCTCCCCTTCCGGGAATTGAACCCGGGCCTTTCGCGTGACAGGCGAAAATCCTCACCACTAGACCAAAGGGGATTGATTAAGGTCCAGACTAAATCAAACGTTTTTCACAACAAAAAATTACACAGATTTTTTAATTTGAGTTAAGAAACTTCAATTTAAACAACTTTAAATACTTATTTGTCATCAATTCTTTATTTATAGCTATTAATGAAAGATCTTAACCGAGGAACTCTAGACAATTCTAGAATAGTGGTCAATATCAGATTGTTTTAGTCCACTCAAAACAATGAAGGTCACTTTGTCACTTCAGGATCACCAAAAAAACTACTTATAAATACACATAAATACCAATGACTTCGACATCTACAGACGTTGAGGTGTCCGACGCCAACGATAGCATGAATACAACATCAACAATAACAACTACAGCTGCACCTGCAAAGGATGACTTCTATCTTCGTTATTAGTAGGTTCAACTTCACAGATAGTTTGGCACTTGAATGAATGAACATAACTTGCTAACATGACACTCTTGACGACGATGACAACTGTAGTATTGGACACAAAGGCAAGTTTGGTCATGAGTTCCTCGAGTTTGAGCTCAGGTCAGGCAACAAGCTGAGATACGCCAACAACTCAAAGTACAAGAGCGAAACAATCATCAGGAAAGAAGGTAGCGTAGTGCAGTGCAGCAACTGCAGCAATCAGCAAGCAAGCAACAACATGAGTGACTTACAACCTGACCAATCAATCAAACAATCAATCGATCAATAGTAAGCGTTAGTGATTCAGTAACAGGTGTAATAAAGAAGATCGTCAAGGACTCTGGCATCATGATGGAAGAGGACACGAATTGGCCAGAGCCTGATGTTGTCGGCAAGCAAGAGCTTGAGGTTGTATATAACGACGAGCATATTTCATTCACTGTATGTATCATCATCATCATCATCGTCATCATCTCATCAATAACATGATACTAATGTGAACATCAATCAACAACACAACAGACAACAAAGATTGGATCACTGCTAGAGGTTGAGAAGAGCAAGGACCCAGAGGGATTGAAGGTGTTCTTTTACTTGATACAGGACTTGAAGTGTTTAGTCTTCTCTCTGATTGGACTGCACTTTAAGGTAAGATTGAATCTGAAGCGACAAAACGATTCGATGTCACTGACCTCTACTACTCATTCATCACATCAATCAGATCAAACCAATCCAGAATTAGACAAGATGCGACATTACACACAATCAATCAATCATTCAATCAAATGATCGATCAATCAATCATTCAATCAAATGATCGATCAATCCAATCAATCAATCAATACATTCGATCATCAGTTGGCTGTTTGTTATCTATCTCTACACACTTTATACATTCATTTGTTTATTACTGCTATGCTGCTGGATATACACTCTGGCACTTCTTGCGATTGTTACCACTACAAACTTCATCTATTGGGTCGGCTTCTTCTTCAACATATGGCGGAAATCTACTTGTTGTGGCTCGGAGGCTGGTGCCTGAGAGGGCTGCTCGGGCTTGGCTGCAGCCTGCTTCTTTAGTTTAACGGCAGTCAGATCGATGCCACCTGGAATCATTGCGACACCTCCATACTTTCTCACATTGTTGCTTGGTCCTGTTGGTGTAGGTGTGGCTGATGGTTCCTCGTCTGCAGCGGCTGTTGATGTAGTGGACACTGATGTGTCTTCCTTTGAGTAGGAGACAACCTCCTTGATGGCTGGGTGTTGGGACAATCTGTTCTGGGGCTTCTTCCTTCCCTTCTTGGATGGTCTCTCGAGTGTCAGCTGATTTATTGAATCATGTCAGTAGTCAGATACATGTACTATGTGTCATTGTGATTGCATCCCCAAGGGTAACTTACATGTATAAGCTTATTGGTATCAGGGGAGGACCTTTCATATGACTCTGTATCCTCCTCTCTTGTCCTCTTATCGCTTAGTTTCCTCTTCTCCTCGTCCTCTTGTGCCTGGCGCTTGCGTTCAGCCTCGGCATCGGCCACTCTCTTTTGTTCAGCCTCCTTCTCTAGTCTCTCCTTCTCCTGTGCTGCCTTCTGTCTCTCTTGTTCCTTGATCTGTCTTTGTTGTTCGGCCTCATCAGCCAATCGTTTTTGCTCAGCCTCCTTGGCCAATCTCTGTTGCTCAGCCTCTTGAGCCAATCTCTGTTTCTCAGCCTCTTGAGCCAATCTCTTTTGTTCAGCCTCCTGAGCCAATCTCTGTTTCTCAGCCTCCTGTTCCAATCTCTTTTGTTCCGCTTCCTTTGCCAATCTTTGTTGCTCGGCCTCCTGGGCAATGCGCTTCTGTTCAGCCTCTTTGGCCAATCTTTGTTGCTCGGCCTCTTGTGCCAGTCTCTTTTGTTCATCCTCCTTGGCCTTTCTCTCTTTCTCCTGAGCCACTCGTTTGTCCTCAGCTTCCTTGGCCAATCTCTGTTGCTCGGCCTCCTGAGCGATGCGCTTCTGCTCAGCCTCTTGTGCCTGTCGTTTCTGTTCAGCTTCCTTGGCCAATCTCTGGTTCTCAGCCTCCTTGGCCAACCTCTGTTGCTCGGCCTCCTTGGCCAATCTCTGGTTCTCAGCCTCCTGAGCAAGTCGCTTCTTCTCGACCTCTGCAGCCTCTTGGGCCAAACGCTTCTGCTCTGCCTCTTTGGCCAATCTTTGTTGCTCGGCCTCCTGGGCAATGCGCTTCTGCTCTGCTTCCTTGGCCAGTCTTTGTTGCTCAGCCTCCTTAGCCAGTCTCTTCTGTTCAGCTTCTTTGGCCAGTCGCTCCTTCTCCTGTGCAGCCTTAAGTTTCTCTTGCTCCTGGATTAATCGTTGTTGTTCGGCTTGTTGTGCAACCTTCTTCTGTTCAGCTTCCTTTGCCAGTCTCTGTTGCTCGGCTTCATGCGCTACACGTTTCTGCTCAGCCTCCTTTGCCAGTCTCAGTTGCTCTGCTTCCTGTGCCATGCGCTTTTGCTCACTCTCTTTGGCCAGACGTTGCTTCTCAGATTCATCAACCAACCTCTTACGCTCAGTCTCAATGTCAGCCAAACGTTTCTTCTCAGCAGCTTCCACTTGGGCCAATCTCTGTTGTTCAGAGTTATCTTGTTTAGGTGCATCTTGGGTGACATTGGAAGTATATGGAATCGTGAATGTTTGATCTGGATTATAATGATTAGTATCCATGTGATTGATTGATTGATTGATTGATTGAATGTTTGATAATTGTACTTACTTTTGGCAAAGACAACAGTGGACTCGTTTGTTCTGATAATGGATTGTCCAGATGGTGTTGTGAATGATATGTTCAAAGGTCTATGAATTTGTCAACATTGATTAGTCGGACGATCCATCAGAAGGTGTGTCATATGACACATGATATGATAAACATACAGGTCGGCTAAAGTGAATAATACCATTCCAGTCAGTTTACCAGCTCTCTGTTCTTCATTGGCATAGCTTATTATCATGGGGTCTTCAATTAGTTCATCGGGATTGGCAAGCATTGATTGTTCTCTCTTTATGGCAACAGGATCATTTGGTAGCACTCTCTCTGAGAAGTACATGCTCTTCCTATTATTCCTCTTATCATCATTGGTTGAAGCTGTATTATTATTGTTGTTGTTGTTGTTGTTGTTATTGTTTGATTGTTGTGGTACCTGTTGTTGTTGGAGTTCTACAACAGGCTCAACAGCCACAAAGAATGACTTTATGTAATTATAAATTGAATATAACATTGTTAGTTGGTTGTTATATTCTTTGTTGTCTCTATTATTAGTATGATTGTTGTGTGTTGTATGTATATGTATCTCTTTCACTAATTAATTAAGTAATATATATTGTTAACAAAGATGAACTGTTTCAAAGTGAATGAACAAGTAGTGTAGGTGGATGGAACACTTAAAGACTCAATTTAGCCCAAAATGGAGCTTTTGCCCTCCAATTTCACACGATGCTTACTTGAATTCAAACAACCAAGGGTGGGGTTCAATGAATCCGATCTTAAGATTCACCTGATGGTTGAGTTTGGATCAATGAATGAATGAACGAATGAATATGACTTACAATCTTAGTCAATCAAACATGTAATCATAATATTATATTATTATTTATTTAGTGTATGAATGATGGATCGCAGTAATACTTGATTGCACCACCTGGTTGAGTGGCGAATGATACAAGACGATAGCCTGAACTACATTTTGGAGACTTGACTGCATTGAGTAACTGTTTGGCACAGCCATCTGACACAAGACATCGATTTACATCACGTTTGTATACTTGTACATGTGATGCAGCACATGCTATCTTCTCAACAGACTTGCATGATGACGCCACGGTGTCTTCCAACTTCATGTAGATACCCTTGACGAATGATTGACCTTTGCTATTGACATCTGCGCGCACCAGAGCATTGCCACTGAGTATACGGGCATTCAACCATGCGTTGTCAAGCAATAATGAGGAGTAGCTCGACATGTTCAATCCCTGGATTGAGATGGCACGTTTGTTGTTGAGAATCGCGCCCGTGTATCCCTTGCATGGCGGCTTGGCACAGGTCAGCTGTTTGGAAATGGTGTAGAACATTCCTCTTGGACGAATGGATGGAGGCAGAGGCATCAACGCGAATGCATGCATCACCTTGAAGCGACTGATGGCATGGCCACTCTCCACGACGGTCATGTAGTAGCCCTGGACCACGACAGTGTTCTCCTGGGCATGCTCCACCAATGATCTATTGCCAAAGGTCTTGTCAAATACAAAGTCGACGACCTCTGAGTCGTTCTTTGAAGAGTTGATCTCCCAGAGCAGATACTTGATACAAGTGTTGGCGTTGTAGCACTTCTCTGGTGATCGTCTGAACAAGTAAAAGGAGGAGTCATCGGGTACTCCAGCTGACATCACTGTCATTGATGAGACAAACACCAACAACAACAATACAATAATATTATTATAATTGATCATTTTAATAAATAATAAATAAATAATTATAGATGTTCCAAGTATGTTTGGAAGTGGAATTGAATGGAAGATGAATAATAATAGTCAGGTTTAAGTACATGTGACATTATGCAGATGTCCAATCCATCTCATGTTAACTCCGGCCTACATTCCTATTCCCATTCCCTTATCTTATGTTGATTGATCAATCAAATAAACTGCATTGGATAATTATCCGAATCATTATTATTAAGTAAGTGTCATCTGACATAGAGACACATTGTGATTGATCATCATGGTGTGTGTGTTAGTGCGAGTGATGACATCCTTCGCTCACAACCACCACCCCCCATCGTCATCACACTATCCCTACTGATTGATGATCACAATTGATCTTGTCAATTCCATCATACTTAAAAGGTGATATCGAAGTGACAATGCTGCCGGCATCAATTATTATTAAATATTGACAGAGTGTGGATGTTGTTGCGCCGCCACACCTTTATTAAATGGATGGAAGGATGAGTTGAGATACAGGTACATCACTCGGGAAATGGACATGTACAGATGGTGGATAGTGATGTGGTGATGGTGTTATGATGTGATGTTGGGTCTAACTCGTGGACGTCCATTATCTAGTCTATCAGGTCTGTCTAGCTATCTATCTACCAATTCGATAGTACTTCATCATTTGAACGAGCATGACTAGTGCAGGTGGGACATCACCCTCGCATATCCACTCGCCACCAGACGCACACACGAGGAAGTGGCGTGACCATGTCCATGTGAACTGGTTTCGCAGGGGATAACAATCGACGATGTAGTTGCGCTCCAGTGGCTGGTGTAGATACTTGAGATAGGGCTCGTTGGCACGCTCACCATACCACGTCAGCCACACGCCGTTCCAGCGTCCGTGCCCTAGCGACATCTGGCTATGCTGTGCGGGCACCAGCTTGTAGCCATCCCAAATGTACTCGAGCATGTCGCCCCACATCTGGTTGGTGAGGCGTCCGTCGCGATAATGCCACTCCTCGTCGCCAAACCTAAAGACACCGCCCTTGTGGTTGGTCTTGAACGTGGACAGCATCGCCTCCTTTGTGATCAGGTCCATCGAAGACTTGAAGTTTGATCGTGTGATTCCATCGATTGCCAATACCCATTGCACAACCTCCTCATTGTTCTCGCAACTTAGGATAATAGATTGTTTGGACTTGCTGCTGCCATTACTACTACTGCTACTGCTGTTACTGCTACTGCTGTTTCCGCTGCCAGTCTTGCCTGCGACCATGTATTTACCGCGGTGTGCGTCGTCCACGTGGGCCTGCTGCTCGCTGGCTCCATCGGCGTTGACAAAGTGAATAGTAAAGCAATGCGGGTAGTCCTCCTTTGGTGTGTAGGCTATCTTTGATATATTGAACAATGACTTGCGATGCAGAAGTCTGTCGCTCTGTATGAATGAGTGATGGAAATAGTGAGTGAGTGAGTCGGCGAGGAATGATTGATCGATGGTGATGCCTACCTTCTCGGATGAGTATATCAGCAGTTCAGAATGAGTGAGTACTATCCAGCGCTGGATAAACTTTGATACGATCGACCTGTCCTTCTTCTTACATAGTGCACCCTTCTTGTAGACTGTGCCACTGAGTTGTTGTTGTATGCTTGCCATTGAACCCATTGTGATGGTCATCTCTAGTGGGATGGCCTGCACCTCACTCGGTATAATGTCGGTCCTCAGATACTTGGTGATTGAATCGATGATGGTGAATAGTATATATGCTCGCTTGGTACTCGGTGTCTTGGTGATCTCCATCTTGAGGAACAGTATCTTCTTAGCCAACAAGAATGTCTTGCGCTCCATGTCGTCGTTGCTGCCAGCGGCGGCGGGTGTCACTCCGCCACTCGCACCAGGCGTGCTACCTGCGCTGGGGTCATCCTCGGCGGACTGTCCATCAATGTCCACAATGTCCATGGCAAAGTTGTACTGCTTCAGTAGCTCGAGCATGACGGTGACGTCACGCTTGATCTTGCACTTCTTGTCAAAGATCTCCAGCTCCATGTCGTCATAGGGCTGGTACATGTCCTTGGTGCGCTCGTTGAGCGTGCGCTGGCTCTGGCTGAGCGCGGCCAATACAAACTCAATCTCGCTGAAGGAGCGCGTCTTGATGATGTCCAACTCGGCGTCGGAGGGCACGTCCCAGGAGTCCTCAGTAGGCGCCTTGGACGAGATTATCGTGGAGGATACACTGCTGCCGCTGCTGCTGGTCTGCATGCCACGGCTACAATTGCGATTGAACAACTCTTCGCACTCGCTCTGCATCGAGTCGCCACTGTCGTCGTCGTCATCATAGTCATCACCCTCCTCGTCATCGTCATCCTCTTCGCCCAACGACGAGTTGGACGCCAGATGACCACTGGATACGCTCTGTGACGTCGATGAGAATGAGGACGATGAAGTGGATGCCGGTAAATCCTTGCGAGGTGGCGTGGCCACCTTGACCGATATGATTGATTGATTGGCACCATCAGCTGCAGATCTCGATGCCAGCGAGGTATGAGAGGTGGCCGGGCCACCACCACCATTTGCCAGTTTGTCTTTGTCCTTGTCCATGCCAATGCCCAATGCCGAAGTGCTTGTAAAGCTGGCACCAAACACATTGCCGCCATGAGTCAACGATGTCAATGTAGTAGTTGTTGTCGTTGATGATGACACTGCCATGTTATTACCAATAGCTGATCCATTACTACTATTATTATCCGATCCGAATCTCTTCTTTAAGAAGCTTGTCATTCTCTCAGTCTTTGTCTTCTTCTTCTTGTCCTTGATTGTGTCGTCACTTAGAGTACTATTATGTTGCTCTTGTTGTTGCTGTTGCTGCTGCTCTTGTTGTATACCAAAGATACTACTACCCTTTGGTTGAATGAAGCTTCTACTACTCTTTGTCGTCGTGCCAAGTGAGAACTTCAACTTGCCAATGCTAATTGATCTCTTTAGTTTAGTCTCTGGTGTTGTTGGGTGTTGGCGCGGTGTGAGTTAGACGTTTTTCCAACCAATCTTCCTTCCAAGGAAGACAGACAAACTTACCCTCTACTACTTTCAAATTGTCTGGCGTCAAGAGACTGTCCAATGTCGTGTGATGTGCTACCTTCTTTCTCTTGTCCTTATGTGATACGACGATGTCCTCGGGATCGATAGTATCGTTGTTGATATTGTTGTCACAGTTGAGGTTGAAGTTGAAGTTGAACTCGCCGTCGTGTTGGTACTCCTCTTCTTCTCCTGGTCCTGATCGTTTATTGCCAACAAGCTTTGATAGGAATAATGGTTTCTTCAAGCGGATACTACCAATACTAATGCCTCTATTTAATTGTTGTTCTTGTTGTTGTTGATGTAGTTGATGTAGTTGTTGTTGCGAATGAGGATGGTGAGGATGTGGAAGTGGAAGTGGAAGTGGATGTTGTTGAAATGAATGTGGAATGTGTTGTGTCGCTGTTGCTGCCGGCGGATATGGATAATGGTGTGGTTGTTGTTGTTGGAAGTTGTGTTGGTTGTGTTGGTTGCTATTGTTGTCGTAACAACTGATGCTCCTATTTAATATCCTGTTTGTGTAGCTTGGTTTCCGTTCAACAACTCTACCACTGCTCTTGTTTCTCTTTAAACGTGAGGTTGTCTCGGCAACAGGCTGATGTTTGATTTGGTTTGGTTTGGTTTGGTTTGGTTTGGATTGATTGATTGATTGTTATTAGTGGATGTATTAATATATAATATGTATGTATGTGTATGAATGTATGTATGTATATACGAATGGAAGGTATACGTGTGATCGATTGATTGATTGTGTTGTTATGTATTAATAATATGATAATGAATGATTGATTGTAATTGTACACTTAGGGCGCCTCGCTGCTTCAGGAGAGCGATGCCGTAAGTAGGTTGGATGGGGGATGGATGGAAACAGCCACTAATCCATCAATCACAAACACACAAACACACACATTACATTACATAACATCGATCAACAACAACAAGTGGCGCCAACTATCATTGATCAACTTCCACACACAAGTCACATTGCCCTACTTAATCATTCACTTTCATCCAACATCCACCATCCTTTCACCACCTCCTACTTACATCTTGGTAATAGGAGGTATGCTATGTTCGATGGATGCTCACAGGACACACCAACAAACAAAGAGTTGGCGCACTCCGACTCAATGTCTAGGAGTGTGTGTGTGTATATGTGTGTGTGGAATGGATAGGGTTGCCCTGATCAGGGCAAATAGGAGTGTACATTCGCAATCACACACTTAGTGGTGGGTATGTGTGATTGATCAAACACACATAAGTGTTGATGTTGTTGTTGTTGTTGTTGGTATTGACAATAAGTCAGATGATCGGATTGATTGATTGATTGACACTCTTCCAGTTCAGTATTCCAAGTCTTGATTCTTGTTGTGTGAGTGTGAACACCAAAAAAAAGAGTGAATAGAGCGAGAGATGGAGACTTGCGACGAAAGGATGGATGGTTATTACTATAATTACTATTACTACTTACTCTCTTCTTTGGACTTTCAAGACTGATCTCTTCAAAGTCCTTCCAATCAATATCCATATCATCAGAGTTGGTCGTCGTAGTTGTTGTGGTGGATGTTGTTGGTGGAGGCACCACAGCCACCTTTGTTATTGTTCCTTTATGATGTTGTGTGGCCATAGCTGTTGACATTATTAATAATAATAATAAGGCTTGTCCTGATTTGGTAAGGTGAGCCCAATGAGTTGATCTTAATGTTGTGCAAATGTGTGTGTGAATGTGTGTGTGTATCTCCAATCAGATAAACAAACAATGCTTCAATGGAAAACTGTCCAACATTGAATGACGGATGTTTGATAAATGGAACCACCCTTGGCCTCCAAGATTATTTACTTCATTCGTCTTTTTGATACTACTACAACAATGATTTGGCGCCAAACTTGGTTATTTGAACAACCAACTTTTCTCACAAACCCAAATAATTGCCCAATAAGGCATTATTACAATAATGTAAGAAAGACATAATGATTGAGATTGGGGACTCCCCCTGGTATTAATATCTTGAAGTTCACAAGTACTGTTTCGACATCAATTCAATAAATCGATCTCAATCTGTCAGTCAATCAATCTTGAATAGATCGTCGTTGTGTTTGCCCGCGCGCCCGAAATAACTCCCCCTTCAAGTTATTGACTTTGAAAGTCGATATGTTGTTCATTCATTGCAATGAGATAGAGATATTAATAGAGATAGAGAGAATAGGGAATGAGTGATATAGATGAATATGATGATGATGATGATGGTACGACTACTGTGATCAGTGAGAATAATACAAGTGTGTATGGTCAACAACAGGAACAAAGTCAATCTACACAGAAACATAATGATGGGTCTTCATCGTCGGCGGCGGCTGATGTTAGTCAGCTCACCCCTGCCATACTAAGAAACAAGTACAAGGACTTTCAAGACGACAGTAAGATCAGATCACACGACTATCTCAACGACGAACAGAAGAAGTCAAAGCTCGAACTTGGCCAGAAGCTTCATCTTGTAAGACCATCATGTCATCATCACGCCCACATCCGCATTCTCGAGCGAGACTAACTGACTCAATCATAGTATGCTAGGAAGGGACTGCTTAATGGAGTGATCAAGGCGATACAGGATGGCGCATTTGTTGATTATATCGCTTGTGGATACTCGGCATTGGGATACGCTGCGTTCTATGGTCACTTTGAGATCGCGAGATGGCTGCTAAAGATTGCCGAGGCATCAGTGGACTTGGTCATTCTACAAGGCACAACAGCACTGGGCGTGGCAATTACACAGCGTCAGCATGACTTGGTCGCATTGTTGCTACACATGGGTGCCAATCCATCATTCAAGAGCCCCGCTGCTGGCGGCAAGACAGTGTTTCATCAAGCGGTCGCATCAAACGACGCTGAGATCGTATCAATGATGCTTGGATCGGAGCGTGTCGACATTGAAGAGGTGGATGAAGAGGGCAATGGATGGCTACACGAGGCGGCCACCTACTCAAACAAGGCTGTCCTGGAGCAGATCGTTCATGAAGGTCTGCCCGTGGAGCTACAGAACAACCAAGGCAAGACTGCACTGCATCGTGCCATCATTGCCAAGAACATGCCCGCAGTAGAATACCTCGTGCACTTTGAACGATTGATCGACATGCCCGATGCCAGTATGTACTTTCTCGATTGATTGAATGAGGGACGATCACTAACATATAACAATGTAGATGGATACACAGCATTGCATTTTGGAGTGATTGGCTATCAACCTGATGTTGTCAAGCTGTTGGTAGAGTCTGGCGCTGATACAATGTCGACGGATTCAATCGCATCATTCACACCTAAACAGTTGGCAAGGTCTAAAGGCTATATGGACATTTATGGATTCCTGGATCGATATCCACCATTCGACAATGAGGCGGATACACAAGAGAGTCAAATCTCACTCAATGATATACTTGGAGAGTATAACAACAAGGCTCCAAGGACACCAAAGAAGAAGGCTTCATCATCCAAGGTCGATGGCGATGCGGGCAAAGCAAAGGACAAGAAGGACAAGAAGGACAAGAAAGAGAGAAAGAAGAAGGAGAAGAAGGACAAAGGCGATGTGGACAAAGAGAAGGAGAGGAAGGAGAAGAAAGAGAGGAAGAAGAAGAAGAAAGAGGAGAAATCTAAGAACAAGGACAAGGATGGCGAGGAACAGGATGAAGATGGAAAGCAGAAGGATGAAGCTGATAGCGAAGATGGTCCAAAGGAGGTGACAGAGGATGGCGAAGTGATTCATCTGACATTCCAGAGGGAGACATCAAAGAGGAAATCAAAGAAATCAAAGTCAAAGACAAAGTCAAAGTCAAAGACAAAGAAGAAGGACAAAGACAAGGACAAGGACAAGGACAAGTCAGCGAGTACTGCCAAGGAGTCAGAGTCGGATGAACCAAAGTCAAAGTCAAAGACCAAGTCAAGGAGCAGCAGCGCAAAGGAGAGAAGCAGACTGAAGAAGCTTCAGGAAGAGGAGGAAGCTGAACGTGAGGAATTGGAAATCGAGATGATTCAATCAGATCCAGTTGAACATGGCGCAAAGATGTCATTGGATGATGTGGACCCAAAGGTGCCGGCCAAAAGGAGGTCAAGAGCATCACGTCAATATTTATTGAGTGACAGCGAGGACGATGTACAATCACAGATTCAAGACGGGGATGATGGAGTCAAGCCTCAACAGATCTTCATGCGCATTAGGAACTATGGAAGAGCAATCCCTACCGACGACGAGGAAGAAGAGGCCAACAAGAAGAGACTGAGAATCGATGAGGAAGATGAGGAAGATGTCGCGGCCGAGTCTGCACCACAGGCAGAGCCCGAACAGGAGGCAACACCAGAGCCTGAGCCAACACCAACACACAGGAAGAAGAGAGCGCGAGCATCAAGACCCACTCCGATCTAAGGACCATGTCGTTTGATCGTCTGTCCGTGTATGGACAGGTGTAGAATAGTGTATAAACAATTGTCGACAACGTTTATTAACTTGTAACAAGTATGGAGGGAGGTTAGTGTAGTAGTTGGGGATATCGGTGGGTAGAAGGGAGTTGACCGTGTTGTCTGGATGGCGACATACTGTCAAGTATGGCCATTCGAACAAACTGTTTGGTCGGAAGTAGTACTGATGGATGGGGGAGTAGCCTGCTCCTGGTTCGCACTTTGAACACATGAAAGCAGCCAAGCTAATTGAATGAATGAAGTGATCTATATACATGTGTATCTCATCTTTGTTGATGTAGTACCGCTGGCATTGTACCTAACGATGATCTTGCCACGCTCGCACATGAATATGAAGAAGGCAAAGACCGCACCAACAATGAAGAATAGTACACCAGAGATGATGACAGAGACGGCAGCCATCATTGAGTAGCTGGGTGCAACGAACCAGATGATGTGTTGAAGATTGCGTGTGTCGTAGTAGCATGGGAACGACTCGCCCACTGGGTAGTTGGCCACGTAGCCCTTGACCCAGTCAAAGTTATCCGAGTACAGTCCGTCCACCGTTGAGTTGTAGGTCTGGCCGCGATGTGTGATGGCAACTATGTTGCGGCCACTATAACAGTTGTGACACAGGTCGACGGATGAGTCGTTGTTGCCTGGATTGCTGGGGATGTTGGGGCCCGAGTACTCGGTATTGGGCGCTCCGTAAGACACGCTGTTGATAAACATTCGCTCGGCATTGTCTCCGTAGTCCTTCTCAAACAGCTCGTACCACCATAGGTTGGTGTTGTATTCGGTGCAATCATCATCGCCGCCACACAATACACTTGTATATGTATTCTCCAACACTGTACAATTGCCAAGTATTATACTCTTTCCATTATCTATTGATGGTATGAGTATTGCTGACAATACAACAATGAATAAAACTAACAATGTCACAGAGATAAGTGATAATACAACATATAATATCCTCTTCTCTTTGATTATTGCTGTTTGGTTTGGATTGGAAAATGATGAAAGAGATGGAAATGAAGATTGGAAGATGGACAACTGGTGTGAGTGGAATGATTCCATGGTAGTCCTGGACCAAGGATTGAATGAACACTTACTCTGATCTACAGTGTCTCTATCCTGTTGGTTGAGAAGTAACTCCTCCTCATTGATACTAATAATTCTTAGACTCCTGGCACTCATTTTTCCTTGATCAATCAATCAATCAATCAAATATAAGTTAATATTTGTAATATTTGTAGTTGTAATAAGTTGTAGTAGTAGTATAGTCTGTTTGTTCAAACAGTGAGAGTAAGATAGGGTTTAAGTTACTGACTGACAGACTGATTGATTGAATAGGATGAACTAGAAATAGGATGGGAAATGAGGGCTTTGATGCCATCTAACTCCCGCCCTTCGCATTCTCTGCCATGATTATGACCACACAAATGTTTATCCTTATCCAATCACACACACAATCAACATACACATACACATTTAGACAGTACCAGCAAGGATTTAGCCCGTCATTATCAACACTCCAACAACTTTAGCCTCAACAACTCCATCAAACACGTCTCTCCATCCTTCATTTGCATCACACACACACACATCACTTCTAATCAATCAAACACACACACACTCACACTAATCAATCAGTCTGTGATCTTATGAAAAAAGGGTAACCACCTTTGCTGCGATGGGTGATCACTTTAACTCCATGTAGTTGGGACCCATTAATGTCTAAATAGATACTTCATCCTTTTCTTCCTTGTAAACTTCTTGTTTCCATTAACTATTCCACAGACTTGTCATTCAAGATGTACCTGTTGGTGTTCAAATTGGGAACTTGGTCCCTTTGATGGATGGTCCATTTATGGACCATCATATCTTAACATGGATATTGACTTGGTCAGTTCAATATCACATTCCAATTCATGATCATGGTATCACATGATTGTCAATGTTGAATTGTGAGTGGATGTGGTTGAGTGACCAGGATTGATTGATGGATTGAAAGAAAGAGAGAAGGCGATGATTGATTGATTGATTGATTATATATAAGTATATGGGTATAGTTTTATTGGTTGTTGTTAATTGGAGTTCCAAGGTTGTAGATCTTGGCACCCTCGCTGTAGTCCTTACCCTCCTCACGATCGGATGAGGGTGGGAAAAGACGACGCTTCTCATCATAGTACAGGGCATGCTTGTCTCCATCACACTCGGCATTGTATGTCAGGTAGATGGCGTTTCTGGACGAGGCGGTGGTGTTGGTGCCAGACTTGTGGGCAATGTACGAGCCAAAGATCAGCACGTCGCCAACCTCGCACTCAACGGGGATCCACTCCTTGTCGGAGCACCACTCGCGCGAGATGGTGTTGTCGGTCTCCATTGGCAGCATACCGGCCTTCTGCGAGCCTGGCACGACAAAGAGACAGCCGTTGGCGACGGTCGAGGCGTCGACGGCAAGCATGGCGGTGATGTGGTGCACTTGGCCCAGCTGTACGTAGGCAGGGGCGTCCTGGTGGGGTGGGAAGCCACCGCCGCCAGCCTGCTTGTAGTTGATCTTCTCCTTGAACAGCAGCACTGGCTGGCCAATCAGCTGGGAGAGTGTGCCCATGAGCTTGTCGCCCTTGACGATGCTGCGGATGCCGTCGTGGAAGGGGGTGAAGTTCTCAGTGCGGCACAGCTGCTTCTCGTTGGTGCTGGCGTTGATCTCGTAGTACTGCATCCACTTGCCCTTGGTGGGTGGCATGTCTCTGATCTCGTTGGTCCACTTGACCAAGTTGACCTTCTCCTCCTCAGTCAACAAGTTCTTAACGACCAAGAATCCCTTCTCATTGAATGAGTTGGCTTGCTCCTCGTTGATTATATATGGGTATGTGTTGATTGGTGCGTCCATTTCTTATTATATGTATATATTATATTTATGGGTTTGGGAGGGGGGGATAGTTCCGGTGGGGAGAGGGGATGGGAAAGAGAGAAGGGGAGAAATAGAAAGTTAGAAAGAAATAAAGAGATAAAGAGATAGAAAGAGAGATAGTATTTGTTTTATAACTTATAAGTTATATATTAAGTTGTAATAAAACTAAACAGTGGAGATTACATGGTTTTAAAGCCCAGCCTGCACACGACTGTGTAACCTAGTTTGGTTGCTATGATTGAAGATTCATTGACTAAACTAGCTAGTAGTGAAGTGATAGTCACTGAGAGTGAGTGTAAGAGAGAGAGAAGGTTACCATTCCTTGTTTAGGCCTCTATCCCTATCACCGCCTCACCACACTCTACACCCAAGATGCTCAAGCAAAGAATACCGAACCGAGAGTCCACTTTCGGAACTGGAAACCAATACCTGATCAACTCTGTTTGTGTGGATATTTCGTTATTCTTTGCATCATTTACAACACTACCCCACACCCTCCAACACACCCACTGTGATTGACTTAATGAAAAAGACGACTCGTCTGTGTAAATTGATCGAATCAGGCCCTGACCTTGACTTTGTTTTGAAACAAATCAAATTTCAACCCTACCCCCAAGACGACACACTTTGAAGGGAAATATCTTGATTAGTGGGGTAGTTGTTGTTAACACTACACTCTCTGATACCATCGGTGTTTCAAGTTTAACCACCTCAATGGCGTGAGCAACTTAATTAGAAAAGTAATAGGTGATACCAGTGTAGTGTGTATTAGTTGTCTGGGTGAGTCGATACCAACATCATCATCATCGGCAGTGACGACGCGAAGATTCAGTCTTGAGAAAACCCATCGCGCACACACCCGACGAGGTGGTATCCGTGTCCCGAATCACAGCGCCATGTGAGTCCATTGATGGACCCATCATCGAGTCTTTCATTCGTTCAGTCGGTCAGTGAATGTGTGTGTGCTCAAGTTCAATCTCATCACACACTCCACTAACTCAATCAAACAATCAATTCGTCATTATTGTAATAATCAAACATAACTTAGACAAAGATATAGTGATGGACGCTACTACAACAATTGAATCCAAGGCCACAGCTGTGGTCGACCAGATTTGGAGTCTGTTGGCAACTGGTATGGAGGAGGTATATATTGGCGAGGACATCTCGCAGTTGGAGCATGCTCTGCAGGCTGCCAACTCGGCTGCCTCTGCCGCATGTGACGACGAGACTGTTCTCGCCGCACTCTTGCACGATATTGGTCAGTTCGTCGTCGCCCACGATATGCAGCAACAGATGTTAATGACTGACGAGTCGGGCAACACAGTCAGTGTTGGCGCTCACGGCCACGAGCACATTGGTGGCAAGTACCTGCGCGACCTCGGCTTCTCAGACAAGGTGGCTCAGCTTGTGGAGGCTCACGTCAATGTCAAGCGCTACTTGACCGGCAAGGATGATCAGTATTACAGCTCGTTAAGCGAGGCGAGCAAGTCATCACTGCGATTCCAAGGTGGTCCATTCAATGCCGCCGAGGTCGCCCAGTTCGAGGCCTCCGACTACTTTGCACTCAAGGTTCAGCTCAGACGATGGGATGATGCAGCCAAGGTTGTTGGTATGGTGACCCCAGATCTCGCATCCTACCGCTCGATGGCCATCAATCACTTGATCAAGCAGCAGAGCGCTGCTGGTCTGGTCCAATAAATTGTACATAGTTTAGCGCTACCATTCATTGTTGATAGTATGTTGTCGATGTGGTCAGTGAGTGAGAGAGTGAGCGAGAGAGTGAAAGAGAGAGTGAAAGATTGAGTTATTGATTATGTAATGATTCCAAAGAGTGATGGAAGATTGAGTAATATATGTTACATTGGAATATGTTTGAATAATGGAAATGGATTGAATGTTGGTTGGAAGTTAGGAGGTAAATTGATAGTAACTCAATTGAAGTTAGAGATTCCAGAAATATTACTTTATTCAAGATGAATTTACATTGTTGTTTTGGGCATTATTACTCTCTATCCTGGTCGGCATTTAATTTAGGTTCTGATCCAGTTGGTAGAATGTTATTTGTGGAGTTTCCATTTTTAGAGGTTCCGTCTAGAATAGAAACTGTATTTGAATTTCCCGAATTTTGGTCTTGATTATTGATTTGATTCGTAGGTTCTTGACTAAATTCTGCTCTTCCTTTTTGTACAAAATTATTAATGTCTATCAGGTCGGCATTTACTTTCGGTTCTGATCCAGTTTGAAGATTGTTACTTTCTAAGTATCCATTGTTAGAGGTTCCGCCTGGAATAGAAACATTATTTGGAATTCCCAAAATTCGAATTTTGGTCTGGAAAATTGATTTGATTTGCTTGTTCTTGACCTCCTTTTTGTTGGACAAAATTATTTGATCCTTCCTCTCCAATACTAATTTATCAATCAACTACGCAGCTGACCCCTGGCCTGGGATCCTTAGTCCTTCCTCCCCATTGCCCCGTTCCATTCAACTGGTCAATCATACTTTGGAGTATGAAGGTTGGACTGTGGTTGCTCGGTGGACACCCTGTTTCATCTCCGTTGCCAATAAACAATGTCATCCTTGGATGCCACTTTATTGACATACTCCTTTCCGTCTTCTGTGTGTTTGATTGATTGATTGAGTGATTGAGCGAATGGATGAGTGGTGGACTTAGAAAATTTTCATATTATTTTTTGGGCTATTTCTCCTGGATGGGCAGAAACTTAAGTTGAATCTGCTCAATTATAAAGGCGACACACACACACAACCAATGCAACAATGATCACATTGTGGTGGAGTGGCATTCTACAAAGACAATGAAAGTCAAAAGATCTATGTCGGCGTGATACTTGGAGAAAAATCTAGTGGGACTGACAGACTGTTCACAGACGATAGAATGAAGACAAGCAGAGTTGACTTGATTAGCTGATTTGTGTCCATCATGCCAATCTTGATATGGAGCTTGTATATATATTGAATCATCTTCTGGTCGGGAACCAATCGATGACGATTCTTGCCATACTAGTTGATTGATTGGTCGAGTCATGACATTAGCCAAACGAGAAGACAAGTTCCATAAAGTAGTTATCACGACTCTCTGAACATCATCGCATCAATTGATCATTTGGTTGGAACTATTCACATTACAGATACAAAAACAATGCAAATTGAATATATATCTTTTTGTGCTGATGGCTGTTGTATGAATGAATGAATGAATGGATGAATGAATAAATGAAGTTCAAAATGTGAGAGTGGTGAAATTTGAATTTGAAATTCGCGCCCATTCGAATCGAAATAACGGTTGAGTTCCAAATGGTGGTTGGTTAGATGTGGTCCACATGTCACTGTGACACTGGGCCACTACTCATCTCATTGGCATTGCACTCACTCTCTCCTACTTGTACACATACACATATATACTTATTCATGCTTATACATATACTAATACATCAATAATAAACAACACATTGACATGAATCACACACCACGGTTGTTCTGCCTTGTTGTCTCACTACTGCTGATGAGTTACTAATGAGTTTGAGTTATGATATCAATCAATGAGTGAGTACTACTTGACTTCTAATTGCACCACCATCTGCTGCATGCTTACTTACACTATCCTCTTCTTCTCTTCTGCCTTCTCCTTGACCGTGTGCCTTGAAGCCCGCTTTGCGGTCCTTGTCAAAGTCAGTGTTCACCACCTGTATCTCAATCACGTCCGCCGTGCTGCCATGTTGCAATGAATCTCAGTCTCCATCTTGATAGACTGCCGTCGTGCTTCCACGTTGACCATGAACCTTTGTCACCATCTTGACAGACGTCCGCCGTGTTGCCACAGCCATGTTGACCACAGCCCAGAACCTCTGTCTCCAACTAGATTGACAGACGCCATGTGTCTAGAGCCTCTGCCTCAAACTTGACTGCCGCCGTGCTGTTGACCACAGCCATGAACCACTGCCCAGAGTGTACCTCTGCCAACAAGCTGCCTGACCACTTCCCCTAACCTCTGCCGCCATGCTGTCTGATCACTGCCGCCATGTTGCCTGAGTTGACATCTGCTGCCTGAGTCCATGAACCTGTGTCTCCAACTAGACAGACGACCGCCATGCTGCCACGTTGACCAACGCCATTATGACTCGGCCATGCTGACCGCGACCTGTCCACAGCCCAGAACCTCTGTCTCCAACGAAACAGCCGGCCGGACTCCACCATGCTGCCTTGAGTGACCGTAGCCCTGAACCTCTGTCCCTCAATGAGTGAGTACTACTACACCAATGATCGCACAGCTGCTCACCTATACTCTTCTTACTTACACCATTCTCTTCTCCCTTCTCTTCTGTCTTCCCTTGTGCCTTGAAGACCTCTGGGTAGTCCTTGTCCAAGTTAGTGTCTCCAACAAGACAGACGGCCGCATTTGTGACTCGGCCATGCTGACCACCGCCATGCTACCAAGTTGTTCACACCCCCGAACCTCTGTCTCCATCTAGAATGAGGTCGCCATGTGCCCTGACTGACCACAACCCAGAACCTCTGTCTACATCTAGACAGCCCCATTGTGACTCTGCCATTCTGACCACCGCCATTGTCCATGCCAAGCTGTCCACAGCCCAGAACCTCTGTCTCCAACTTGACTGACGTGCTCCCACGTTGACCACAGCCACGAACCTCTATCTCCATCTGTACAGTCGTCCACCATGCTGCCAAGTTGTCCAGAACCTCTGTCTCTGCTAGACTGAAGATGTCCTGAATGACCACGGCCTCCCATTCTGCACCGAGTCAACCTCTGTGGTCCGTCGCCGTGTTGCCAGACACGTTGATCACAGCCATGAACCAATGTCTCCAACTTGACTGACTGCCAGGCGTGCTCCCACGTTGACCACAGCCCTGAACCTCTGACTCCAACTAAACTGCCACTATGCTGCCACGTCGACCCGGCTCCATGCCAACAAGATGGCCACCGTCTACAACCTCTGACTCCAACCAGACAGACAGCCACGATGACAAAGTGCGACGCCATGCTGCCAAGTTGTCCATCTCGAGTTTACCAAAGTCCAGAAGCCTCTGTCTCCAACAAGACAGACGCCACGCTGACAACCGCCGTGTTGCCATCAGATCATTGACTAACCGCCATCTTGCCAAGTTGACGAGTGTATCCAACTGGAATGATCATAATCAAAGCATTAATAAACAATGAAGACAGGAGTTGTACAAGTGTGACTTGGAAGGAGAATAACAACAATTGGAAAAGTACAACTCAATGATGTCGCCTGGGCACGGTTGCTGCCCAACGGCTTTAAAAAAAATAAAGGCAGCACTTGTGACAATGAGAAGAAACTCTCAAAGTCAACAAAGTTGCTGCCATACCTGTCTCGACGATGCCCAAACGTCTAATAGCGACAGGTGTAGTCCCAGGCCGTGCCCACCCCTCTTACATGATGGGCCCACCCGTCCCTCTTGCATGACAGGCCGACCCATCCCTCTTGCATGATGGGCCACGGCCACCCCCTTGCGGAGATGGCCAAATGGTGATGGGAGGAAATGTTAGTAGTATTCGGTCCTGGAAAGGTCCACCTCGGCTTGGCCTGGCTTGGCTCGGCGGTATGGCACACGGTCTGGCACGGCACTGGCACGGCACTGGATGACTTGGAGGGAATAGACCTCGCAAAGACAGGTCATCGTGTGAATGAATCACAACGTCTCCACTGTGTCATCTGGGTTCGGGTGATGGATGTAAGACCACTGATTGGTGCGTTGGTAACTCGACTTTGATGTTGATAATATTGGTTGTTGTTGTTGTTGATGTTGGTGGTTGATTGGTTACAATCGCCAGCCGAGAGATATTTGGGTTTTACCCATCACTCATCTGCTTGATCGACGGCAAGATAAATAGATATGAATTACTGTTTGTTGAAAAGGTGAGGGACCGGAGGAGAGAAGACTGGCTCATCCACCTCATAATCTGGTGATGGTGGATATTGGTATCTGGGTTGTTGGTGGTGGCCAATGTCTGCTTGGGTGACTGGATGACTGGATGGTAATGTTGGATATAGTTGGTCTCCAAGTCTGGGTCGGAGGTCGGAATGTTGTTGATTGATTTCATTTTCTTGGATGAAAAGTGGACGAGGATGGTTAGACAGGCAGACATCACTCAATCAATGAATGAATGAGTTCATTTGATGTAAACATACGATTTGGTCCCATTTGATTTGGGGTGGATACTGGTTGCCTTCTGGGGTAGACAGGCAACGATCGTAACATCCTGAGGTAGAAACAGTCAATGAGTTGGACATTACTATTCTCCTGGTTGAGAGGAGCATATGGGACAGTATTCGCAATCACAAAGGCGACATCAAGGGGTACCCTGCGTGAGAACCTGACTCCATCTTCATCCTTTCCGAATAAAATCTTTGGGCGTCGGTTGTCGAACAGTGGTACGATTGGTTTGGCGTTGGGGAGTAGGATATAAGTGATACCAATGTCAATCAGGACCATGTACTTCCTGACCTTGTCGTTTTTGGTGGGCCCAAACAAGGTCTTGGGAACTGTCGGGTCAAACAACAGTCTAAGGGGCTTGGCTGGTGGATAGAGTGATTGAATATAATTAAATTGCATTGTAAGAATAATAATAAATCGAGTTGAAGAAGTCGTAGTAGTGTTGGAAAACACTGTTTAAAGTGATTTTATAGTTGTGTAGATTATAGTTTGGCAAAAGCCGAAGTAGAGAGTCTATAAATAATAATAATATGATTGATATTGATTGATTGATTGATGAATAAGAACGTTGGTGAGAGTGAGATAGAATCAATGTTAGTATTATGAATTAGAATGATGATAGTATTATTGTAACATTGTAATAATGTTTTATAAGTGTACATACATGTAATTAGGTAATATGGTAATGAGTGATGTCAATGCCCACTTGTCCAAGGACATTCACCGCAATGACAGAGTGTCCGTGAGTGGGTGAGTAGAAGCCCACACACACACTCACACACACCTATAAACACACATTTTGAATTAAATATTTAAATATTTAATTAACAGATTGACAATTTAACGGTCCATTTGAATTTGTATCACACTCAATACCATCTCAGTGTCATCATCAATGAAGTTCACGTTGATGAGTCTTGATTGAGGCTAGTGATCGTATTCCAAATGGAATACTCTATGTGATCAGTGGTGTAATATGTGCTTGCTGAGCATTGTGATGTTGATGCGGGTACTGAGTGATTGACTGACTGGGGGTGAGCGAGTGTTGGTTCTGAACTCTCTCTCTTGATCGTGATTGAAACTCTGTCTTGAGACTAAATGGTTGTTCACCATCCTTGAGATTCGTCCTGTCCATGTTCAATGTCGATTAGCTACTTCATGACATATATAGTCGAATGAACAAGTCAACGATCAAAGGAGGTGTGTTGCACTCCAGTGGTGATCTGATGATGATGCTCAAGTTCAATGCCACATCGATGTTCATTGAATCATTCGACAGTTGTACATATTGGACAGTCTGTTCTAATGTTGTTAACGCTGCGTGATTCATGGACTGGTACCATCTAAAAAGCCATTGTCTGCCCATATCGTCTTTAGGTGCTGTTCAATGTATGTGCAGTTTGAGAGACTGTGATGCTGGTCCATTGCTTTGAGGATCTACGGATGATGCTCCAACAACTTCAAGGCGACTAGAGCGTTGGTCCTGTCTTGACAATCCTTGCAGTTGGTGGGCACCGTGCCGTTCTGGAGACCGGTTCGTCATGATCGAGCGAGTCCATGCGATTGCCCTTGAGCTGATCGTTGAGGTKGTAGGTTGCAATGTAGGTCACGGTGTCGTCGATCACACAATCGAGTGAGTCAATGCGATTGATCTTGAGCTGCTCGTTGAGGTTGTAGGAGGCAATGTAGGTCACGGTGTCGGCGTTCAGGATGTCGTCCTCGTACGCACTGAAAAGCTCGGCCTCGCCCTGCTTCAGTTTGCTCAGGTTAATGATCACTTTGATTCCTTACTTTAGCAGCATCTCCTTGATGTGTGCTTGGAAGGCGGGCGTCGTCCTGAGCACAGAGATCTCCTTCCTGACCTTGCGAATCTTGGACATGTTGATCATAGAGTCCGAGAACTGTGTGGCGATGACTGGTTCCAAAAGACGGCACACTGCAGCGTAGCTGCATTAAGGAGAGCGTGCCAAAGTTCTTGGCGCATCACCCATGGCGACATTGGACAAGGGCAAGCCGACTGATCAATGATCCAGCACCTCAGAGCACGCATTGACCACATCTCCAGATGGCTCGACCATTTCAACTTCCACCTGATGGTCACAGTTGCGTATGACAGGTACATCTTGGCCACCATGACTAGAAAGCTTCAAGTACTTTGCTAGATCAACAGTACCAACTCCATCGGTTAGGTGGCTAACGCGTTCCATCTTCTTATGGTGCATAGCGGTGCTTCCCAGATCATCTGCTTCGTCTCAACAAAGTTAGCCACATTGCCATCGTCGTTGATGTTTCTAATTTTGAATCGCGTGCCCGCGCGGAAACGAGAGCGACGCGACACCATGATGACTTGAGGAGGTGTTCTCAGAGGTGAGCAGTCACTGTTTTGTGGAAGACGTCCTCGGTGATGGGGACCACGCTGCTTGTATCTTGGTCGAGTTGGTAACTGAGATTATCATTGATCTAATGGCTGATCCTGCGACCTTTGGGAGTGATACTTGGTGAGCAATCTGGTGGACCAACTGTCCTCAGCATCATAGTACATACTAGTTGATTGATTGGTCGGGTCATGACGACACCAAACGAGAAGACGGACCATCACCACTCTGGGCTGACCCAATCAATCGTATCAATTGATCATTTGGGTGGAAACGATCACATTACATATACAAATGCAAATTGATTATATATTATAAGTACTGATGGTCAGCTGTTGGATGAATGAATGAATGGAGTGTGTTAGTAATAATGATCATTAAAATAATATCTTGGGAATGTTCACGCAAGAGCACTGTTAAGGTTGAAGTCAAAATTACACCTCTTGACCAATAAAATAAATGAACTTCAAAGTGTGGGAGTTATGAAATTTGAATTTGAAAATAGCGCCCATTCGAATCGAAATAACGGTTGAGTTCCAAATGGTGGTTGGTTAGATGTGGTCCACATGTCACTGTGACACTGGGTCACTACTCTCTCATTGGCATTGCACTCACTCTCTCCTACTTGTACACATATACATATATACATACTTATGCCAGAACATATACAAATACATCAATAATAAACAACACATTGACATGTATCACTCACCACTTTGTTGTGCCTTGTTGTCTCACTGCTGATGAGATACTAATGAGTTTTAGAAATTATATCAATTAATGAGTGAGTACTACTAAACTTCTAATTGCACCACTATCTGCTGCTTACTTACACTATCTTCTCTTCTCTTCTGCCTTCTCCTTGACCTTGTGCCTGTGTGGTCCTTCTCCAAGTCAGTGTTCACCACCTGTGTCTCCATCGCAGCGAAGTTGCAATGAATCTCTGTCACCATCTTGATGGACTGCCGTCATGCTTCCACGTTGACCACAGCCATGAACCTTTGTCACCATCTTGATGGACTGCCGTCGTGCTTCCATGTTGACCATAGCCAGAACCTCTGTCTCCAACTAGATTGACTGCCGCCTTGCTTCCACGTTGACCACAGCCATGAACCACTACCACTGGTGCCAACAAGCTGCCTGACCACTGCCGCCATGCTGTCTGACCACTGCCTCTGTCTCCAACGAACAGACGGCAGCCATTGTGACTTCGCCATGCTGCCTTGAGTGACCTTAGCCCTGAACCTCTGTCCCTCAATGAGTGAGTACTACTACACCAATGATCGCACAGCTGCTCACCTATACTCTGCTTACTTACACCATTCCCTTCTCTCCTCTTCTCTCTACCTTCTCCTTGACCTTGTGCCTTGAACACCGCTGTGTAGTCCTTGTCAAGTCAGTGTCTCCAACAAGACAGACGGCCGCCTTTGTGACTCGGCCATGCTACCAAGCTGTCCGCAGCCCCGAACCTCTGACTCCATCTAGAATGAGGTTGCCATGTGCCCTGACTGACCACAACCCAGAACCTCTGTCTACATCTAGACAGCCGGCACCATTGTGACTCTGCCATTCTGACCACCGCCATGCTTGTGGTGGATCTCGAGTTGGACACAACCCAGAACCTCTGTCTCCAACTAGAATGCCACTATGCTGCCACGTTGACCATAGTCCAGGACCTCTGTCTCCAACTTGACTAACTGCCACGTTAACTACCGCCTGCCTTGTTGCCCGCCTCCATGCCAACAAGATGGCCACCGTCGACAACCTCTGACTCCAACCAGACAGACAGCCACGCTGACAAGTGCGACGCCATGCTGCCAAGTTGTCCATCTCGAGTTGACCACTGTCCAGACCTCTGTCTTCAACCAGACAGCCACGCTGACAACCGCCGTGTTGCCATCATTGACTAACCGCCATCCTGCCAAGTTGATGAGTGTATCCAACTGGAATGATCATAATCAAAGCATTAATAAACGATGAAGACAGGAGTTGTGCAAGTGTGACTTGGAAGGAGAATAACAACAATTGGAAAAGTACAACTCAATGATGTCGCCTGGGCACGGTTGCTGCCCAACGGCTTTAAAAAAAATAAAGGCAGCACTTGTGACAATGAGAAGAAACTCTCAAAGTCAACAAAGTTGCTGCCATACCTGTCTCGACGCTGCCCAAAGTCTAATAGCGACAGGTGTAGTCCCAGGCCGTGCCCACCCCTCTTACATGGTGGGCCCACCCGTCCCTCTTGCATGACAGGCCGACCCATCCCTCTTGCATGATGGGCCACGGCCACCCCCTTGCGGAGATGGCCAAATGGTGATGGGAGGAAATGTTAGTAGTATTCGGTCCTGGAAAGGTCCACCTCGGCTTGGCCTGGCTTGGCTCGGCGGCATGGCACACGGTCTGGCACGGCACTGGCACGGCACTGGATGACTTGGAGGGAATAGACCTCGCAACGACAGGTCATCGTGTGAATGAATCACAACGTCTCCACTGTGTCATCTGGGTTCGGGCGATGGATGTAGGACCACTGATTGGTGCGTTGGTAATCGAATTTGTTGTTGTTGTTGGTTGTTGATGTTGGTGGTTGATTGGTTTCAATCGCCAGCCGAGAGATATTTGGGTTTTACCCATCACTCATCTGCTTGATCGACGGCAATATATATAGAGGTAAATTACTGTTTGTTGAAAAGGTGAGGGACCGGAGGTGAGAAGACTGGCTCATCCACCTCATCATCTGGTGATGGTGGGTATTGGTATCTGATGCCTAGGTGGTGTTGGCCTGGGTCTGCTTGGACGGCTGGATGATTGAATGGTTTAGGTGGTTGTGGCATCATCACTTGGTCTCCAGGTATTGGTCCGAGGTCATGTGGCTGTTGTTGGATGCCAATATCTTTGAGTGACATGGATGAGAAGCATCAAAGGTGATGATTGAATGGATCGTTAGTATTATTTTTTGACAGTAGCATGCAAGTTCATTTGATATATACTTACCATTTGGAATTGGTTCCTGTTGACCATTGGGATGATCTGGCAACTGGTTCTCTGGTAGGTTTGTCCTCCCAATGAATAGAGTTTGATGGATCTCATTGTGTGGTGTATATGTTATCCTAATTGGATCATGGACTCCATCAGTGCGCACAAGAAGTGTATAAATCACCTTTTTAGAAGATTCCTCGCCCAATAACAATGTCCTTGGTCGACTATCGAATAAACTTAGAATTGGGTACATTTTGATGACTGCTGTTTTTTTGTCAAAGTCTATCCTTATTAGGGTGATGACCCTGTGATTTAAGTCGGCCAGCAACAAGTTCTTGGGTATGTGCCTGTTGAACAAAGGTCGAATGAGTTTGGCTGGATTGTATATATATTGATTATTATTATTATTATTATTATTATTATTCATTATTGATAGATTGATTGGTAGCGTTGGAAAACACTGTTGAGAAAGATATTCTTGTATAGCAGATAATGGTTTGGCAATAGACGAAGTAAAGAGTCTATGATATTGATGATATTGATAGATTGATATTGATTGATTGATTGATGAATCGTTGGTGAGTAGAGAGAGAATCAATGTTAGTATTATGAATTAGAATGATGATAGAATTATAATAACATAGTAATAATGTTATTTATGTGTACATACATGTAATAGTGTGATAAGGTAATGAGTGATGTCAATGCCCACTTGTCCAAGGACATTCACCGCAATGAGAGTGTCTGTGAGTGGGTGAGTAGAGACACACCCACACTCACACACTTAAAGACACATTTTGAATTAAATATTTAAATATTTAATTAACAGATTGACCATTTAACGGTCCATTTGAATTTGTATCACCCAATACCATCTCAGTGCCATCATCAATGAAGTTCACGTTCGCATCGTTGATGGTGTCCTCTGGATGAGACTTGGTTGACGCTGAGTGAGCCCCAACGACCTTACCACCAACTAGAATACTCTGATGAACGATTGAATGAATGAGTGTTGTTGTGACACTGCTCTGGTGTCCATTGTGATCTTGCATGTGATCTGTGTACCATGCGTTGTTGATGAGTGCCAAGTTGAACTCATGCTGTCGGTAGCGATTGACGAGGGCAGCGCCTCACGCCTCTGACTGAGATGTAATGCTCTTTCTTTCTTGCTGACTGACTGGCTGACTGAGTGCTAGCTGGGATGCTAACTCGCTGTGATGGCTCCTTGCTTTTGGGCCCGAGGTGTTGCAGCAGGTTATATACACCATCGTGATGTGATGGCTCTAACACCGACATTGATCATTGAGTTGTTGCGTTCTGCGTTTGGAGGAAGCCATTGGGATGATGACTCTCTGTGATTGCTCATTTATCGTTGCTGTGATAGGCACAGTGCGGGACTACCACGTTGAGTGCAATGAGGATGAATGAGCTCGATCTTGTTGGTATGACTGAATGTTGATCGTGATTGAAAATCTCTCTAACTTGTGACTAAATGGTTGTTCACTATCCTGCTATCTATAGTTGGTGAGAAAACATGGTTGCTGGTTGATGGGCAATGGAATCATGATGAGACGGGATTAGTGGCTATCACAACAATCAGTCGATCAATCTTGAATACCAATGTAATGTGTTAACTGTTACGTACTTCATGTATGATTGATTGAATGAGCTCGCCAGGTTGGTCTTGATATGTTTGCCTGTGATCAATGAACACCCAGCGCCTTGTTGATCAGTCACTTGGAAGTGGGCCTTGATGCCATTTGAATGAGTGCAGCCTCACCATCTTTACAGTGCGTCACCCAAAATTCCTATCGGTGAGCAGGCCCAATCCAACGTTAATCCCAACGCATGGGTGATGACAAGGCCTTGGCTGGAAACTGAGAGAGATAGTGCGTGGGCTGGATTAGGTTGGCATCTACAAGAGTATCCAGTTGGTGAGCAAACGACATTGGTTTGGCGATGATGTGTTCGGCCTGCTGCCAAGTACTAGATGTTGTCAAAGTAAGTGGGTCGCTCGACCTCGTCATCATGCATCTTGACTGAGCTTGCCCAATGTGAAGGGGGGATGCCCATGGCTGAATCAGCCCAGCTGATTGAAAATGGCGGTGGTTGCGAGATAATGTCCATGTTGCATGTTGTATGGCCCTGGCCCACAGGAACTAAGTTTGATTGATTGAATGAATGATATTGATGGTCAAGCAAGGAGCCTTGCTCAACAGCTCACCAGTCCAGATGATTGATCGAGCACTCGTGGTGTTGCAAGTTGTTCACCAAAGTCGACATGTAATTGGCAACTGTCTGTAGGTCATACACATTGGGTGGTGAGGCTGTTATTCTTGTCGGATTGATACATCTTGGTCCAACTGGTGACACTCCAATCTTGTTTGATTGAACACATTCATATATAAGATTGATTATCTGATTGATTGATTGATTGATTGATTGAACAGTTGGTACTATTGTCCTCCTGATTCAAGTTCGTGACAAACTTTTGAACACATTGCTTCAGATATTGATTGTTGTTGTTGTTTTGGGTTTTGTTGTGGTCCTCCTCTGTTTTTGATGAACTTCGAATTTAAAGTTAATCACGTGATGTTCACAAGTGAAAATGTCAGTTAAAGGGGGATGGATTTGAATTTGAATTCACTCACACACCATGTCAACGGTTGGGTTTCAAAATCCGTCACTGATGGTTGGTTGAATGGGACAGACACAATTATAAATAGCAGCTATCTCACTCAATCTCCATTCATTCCTATTCACTCTCTACTTATACACTTACATGTATACATATACACACAACCTCTGACGCCGTGCTGTCTGACCACTGCCCCGAACCTCTGCCACCATGATGCTGAGTTGACCTCTGCCGCTGTGCTGCCTTGTGAACCTCTGCCGCCATGCTGTCTGATCTCTGCCGCCGTGCTGCTGGCCTCTGATGCGTGTTGATGTCCCTGAACCTCGACCACCAGCTACACTGCCGCGATGCTGCCACTGATGTCCACTGCGAACCTGTGTCTCAATCTAGACCGAGGGCCGCCATGCTGACCATGGCCAGGAATCTCTGCCCCTGATGCCCTGAGTGCCGCTGCCACCAATCAGCTAACCTCAGCTGCCTTGTGAACCTCTGCCGCCATGCTGACTTGTGTAAACTTCAGACGCCATGCTGCCCTGAGTGGACCTCTGCCGCCATGCTGCCATGAGTCTTCACCATCCGCCGTGTTGTTGACCTGCCACGAACCTCTGTCCCCATCTAGACTGATGCGCTGAACCTCTGCCACCAGCTACCCTGTCGCAATGCTGCACCGAACCTCTGTCACCTTCTAGACATGCAGCGCCGCAGCTGCTCTCTGCCCCGAACCTCTGTCTCCAAGACCTGACAGGCTGCCGCATGCAGTCCGAGTGCACTGTTCATCGGTTGACCAGGTCAACAACATCTAACTCTTCTTAATAAACTTGATTAATACAAATTGATGTTGTCCTACATCTATCTTACTCCATTCTAAATATATGTACTTGATGTTAATTCAAGGTTATCTTTAACTTGTAATCCAATAATCCCATCCCAAATCCCATAAACCACCCAACTCCACTCGGGTGGGGTGTAGTCTTATTCAATTTATACATTCTCAACAACAATGACTCAACAAACAGATAATAATGATAATGATGATGAAGATGATATCGTAAAGAGGCTCATACTGGCAAATAAAAGAAAAAGCTCTCTTGAGCTCACAACAGCGTGCTGCGGCACTCTGAGCTCACACAGGCATTCATCCTGCCCCTCGCACTGGCCTACGACATTCACTCAATTGGTGGGCTCGTTGCTCGATTGAACAACGAGCAATTGGACCAATTGAGGCAGCACCTCAAGAGCTCGTTCCTCTTCACATCGCTTGCACACGCCAGACACCAAGGCATCACCATGGCCATCCCCCTTGATCTACAACTCGCCCATCCCTAATCGACCACATCCATTGATGATCAAACTGATTGGCGAGATTGACGTGGACATGGACAGGTTGCCACTGGCATCACCCTCTGTTGCCCCAGATCTGAGCACATTGATTCTTCAAAGGGTCGTGTCATACCTTGTGCATGACAAGTGCACACATACTCGTTGGAAGGTGCGTTCGCTTGCCACAGTGTCGAAGCTATTCTTCAGGACGTGTTCGAGTATCCTGAGCAAACAGGTCGTCCGATCAATTGGGATTGCCTCACAAATCACCCATCTGGGCGCAGACCAGTGTCTCTTCACACAGACGCCACTCCACCTCAAGACAAGCGACCTTGTTCATATACCCCCACAGCATATTGTGCAGTGTCTGGATCGCGTCGAATCTTTGGTCGTTCCGTTCTGCATTGATAACTCTGACAGCATGATCTACTATTGCAACCTGGTGCAGTGCCGCAACCTCAGACAACTGCGCATCATACAACAACAGGAAGACGTCTATGACCACCACATTCTCAACCGGATACGTGACAAACATGGGGAGTCCCCCTTCATTGAGGATATGGGAGTGAACATGGGTCACATGTGGCAAGAGGAGGACGGCGAATATGATCAGCGTGGCGATGACAATAACGATGGGCCATCATTCGAACAAAGAATAATGCAAAACTACATTGTTGGCAATCCCTCGCTCGAGTACGTCAAGATCCGAGTGTCCGACCACTCATCATTCGTTTGCCAGCGCTTCCTCGAAGTGCTCTCCAACACAGACGCCTCGATCAAGGTCTCAATAGGGATTGCTAGCTCGACATCACCTCCCGTCGCCCTCCCCGACACCATGGCATCCAAGGTGAATTCTCTCTCGCTTGTCCAACATGTGCAATCCCAACCACTCAACTTCTCCAACATCACCTCTCTGACGCTCTCGGACCGTCGTTGTTTATTACCGCTCGACGAGGACCTCAGAGTGTTCTATCAAATGTCGGCCAAACTGTGCAAGGTGACGCTGAAACTCGTGGACCTGAACCATGCACTGTTGTTCCTTGCGGCCACCTCGGCCAACACACACATCTCCTCCATCTCGATCAGGTTGTTCCTGTGCAGTTCCCGCACGTTAGCACGGTGAGCGACGACAACCTCTATTTCAAGTTGAACAATATCTTTAGTCTTTTGGACCAGCCCGAACATCGCTCCATCCTCAGACTGAAGCTGGTGTGTTGGACTTTTTAAGACGAGCTACCCATTGATCTCGAGACATCTCATCGAGAGCGGTATCATAGGTCCTCTCCAACTCCAGCCAATTGATGATCGAAGCCCAACAACATTCGTCCGACAATAATAATATGACCAAAAATCCATACCAAAAATATTTATTTGACCCTTCTCTCTCTTTCATTCATCTATGTTGCCGTCTCGTTCGTTTATTCATATAATTATAAAGGCGACACACAAACAACCTACCTACTTACCAACCTTATGTAGAGAATGCAACAATGCTCACATTGTGGTGGAGTGACATTCTACAAAGACGATGAAGGTCTAAAGATCTGTTCAATATGTAACACAAGACAAGAGGTATGTACATATCATACTCTCAACCTAACTCAACTCAATCAACTAACATGCGGGACCGCACTTATAGTCATTCATTGCTCAAGGAGAAGAGTATCAACGTGTTATCGGTGCTCAAACTGTTAGTATGTATTGATTGATTGATTGATTGTGATTGATTGATTGATTGATTGATTGTCTAACAACATATATGTATAACAGGGAAATCAAAGAATGATAATGCCAAAGCAAATGAATATAGACTTAGAAGAAAGGATAACAGATATCATATATTGCAGTTGTTGTTGAAGGATCAGGTAGATGCTCTGATACATCATTACAAGTATACGAAGCAGTTGTATCAAGTCGCTGGTGATCTGTGGCATGCATACCTATTGTGCGTACAGGACATCAAACAGGACGTAGATGAGAAGGTCAAAGAGATGGCACCCGGTGACAAGATTGACCTGGCCATGGCACACGTCTCACCAACACCCGCAATCACACTGGCAATCCTATTCCTCAGTCTTACATGGCTGAAGGAGCCCATCACAATCAGCGATCTACTGAACATGATCAACGAAGGACATCTCAAGTACACACTCTATGAGATCACCTGGACACATCCATCGGTATGATCATGAATGATCATGCGTGTGTCAATATGGTGAACTCGCGACTAACCTTTACTTTACTATGCTCGACACTCAAACAGGTATGGTGCGAATACGAATACATTCGCAATACAGCATTGGAGTTATCAGCACTACTCAACATCGATACAAAGACCAACATGAAGATGTTATTGATCAGATACTGCATTGAGTTGGAGCTACCAAGTATGTGTTGGACATTGAATGGACGCATGGATGGACGGTTGGATGAATGGATGACACAAGCGCACACACTGACCTACCTATCTATGTACAGAGCACGTATTACAACACTCATATAGAATGTTACAGATATTGGAACTACCTTATCACATCTCAAGAAAGATCAACAGCCCAAAGATGATCACTTACAAGAACATGCACAATAGTGTCAACAGTGGAGTGTTGGCAACGGCCATCATCATTGTCCTGCTCAACATGAGGTACAACTTGAGCAAGCGCATGGTCAACACTGGCTATCCAGAGTATTTGGAGCGATTGGTCAGGAAGGAGTTGCGGGGCGACAAATCAAAGATGCAACAACGTATCACAAGACATCTGGGCAAGGAGATCGTACGAAACATGAAGGAGGGCGATGACAACTACGACAGCTCCGACGAGGAGCTTGACAGGGTCGTGCTAATGGACCCCCCACTCGAGTTCCCCGAGCCAAAGTCAGTCAGGCAAATGGAACAGGACAACAAGTTCCATTTTGAACAATGGCTTCACCGTCGAGTTGAGTCGACACTCAAATCAATCTCGACTCCAAAGAGGTAGGTACATGTGTACCCATAACATCACACTCATGTTGCCAGACCATGTCGCTGACCATGTGTCATCTTTAGCTCGCTCTGGGACCTTCCTTTTGCATCCAGGTTCCCCTATTCGGTACCAACTACACAATTCAAACAGCATCTTAATGACTATGTCACCAGCAGATACAAGGTGTACAGCAAGGAGTTGGAGGATATGCAGGAGAGGATACACACATCGGTCCAGAAGAGACCGGGCGATGAGAAGAGAAACTTCTACAAGAAAAAGAAGAAGAAGTTTACCGATATCGATCAACTGGCTGCAGACAAGTACAAGGCATTCTTTGAGTCATCTGCAACGGATCCAGCTGGTGGTGTGGACAATGGTGGCGATGATGACATATTCTTTTATCTTCCAGCTAGAAGTACTAGAATCGACAAGATTCCAAATCAATATACTGTAAGTGAATGAATGATTGGATCGCATTGGAAAGGATTGGAGGGCACTGGCAACAACACATATTGACATGTCCCCTACCCTACACCATCGAATCAATACAATCAGGTACTTATCGAGATGTTTGTCTTATTGATTGGATGCAAGAAACATCACATTGTCAACATGATCAAACTGGTTGAGAAGTGCTACTTTGTATACTCGTCAAGCTTGGAGAAACAGGAGGATGGAAATTATAAGCTGAACTTGGATCCAAAAGGTTATGTTGACATCCCCAAGTCCTATGACCCAAATTGCGAAGAAGACAACGACGATGACGACAATGACATCAAGAACGATGAATACTCCAGTGATGAAGAAGACGACGACGACGACGACAATGAAGACAACCAAGACGAACAAGCCAATGACAGTGATGTGGAGATGAAAGAGGACGAGGATGATGACGACGACGACAATGATGAATAAAGTGATGTCATTTTTATTCTTGGTATCTACTACAAGTATTCGGTCAACCCAAGGGAGTGTAGAAGTCGAGTTTATGTTTAGTTTAATATCTCCATAGACTGAGGAGGAATCAGAGATGGTCATACTCTCAAACACTGGGTGCATATTTCAGGTATTAATAACATGATTCGATCGATCACCATAAATTAAAATTGAGGTAAATACAAGAAAGAAAAGTATATATATATAAATGGTTAAATATATTCTCATAGTATTAAATAATTAATTATTATTATTAATAATGACAATTATTTCAATTTAGCCGACTATAAATAATATTATTTGGTATTTTATCCATTATAAATATTGGTAGAATGGTGGGCGATCGTTCACATCGATCTAATGATTGGAGTTTCCCGAGATAAACTATCACTGATCAATGACACAACAATGTAGAGATCCATATGTATATATGGAAGAGGACGAGGACGCTGTAGATGATGAATAAAGTGAGTAAAGAACAAACAACATGGAGATAATGAATATAGATCGTTCGTTCATTGTTAAGAGGTTGTTGTCTGTTGTGTTTACATTCCCTTTGCATAATACATTGGTCTAACGTCTGGATGTGGCTGTTGGATATATATTTGTAATCAAATGGTTAGGGTACAGAACACAAATCAAGTCAATTATTCAACATTGATGTATACTTACAACTTCGGTGAATGTAGTGAACTTGAGATTGTCCTTGTCAAAGTTGATGTATGCACCAAGGTTACCAGATTGGTCACAGTAGTTTGGAGCGGAGAAGATTGTGATGATCGAACCATCATTGTCAATTTGGTATCCATTCTCCTTGACCTCATGTGATCTAATGACACCGCCTTTTGAGAGAGAGTTGGTGTTAGTATTACTGCATATCACAACCTTGGAGATATCGCACAACAATGTATACTTACATAGGTTGTTATCCTTGAGGAACTTCCTTGTCACGTCTGGACCAAAGTAGACACCAACACCTCTGGAGCTTGGTGCAATGCCCGGGCTGGTCTGGGGATCGGACCAGAGAAGACATTGGAGCAACTCATTGTCGTTGGCATCTGGTGAAGTTCTGTTGATGTTTCTGATGTCGTCCAGTGTGACTCCGTCCTTGCCAAAGAGTCCTCCGTGCACAACGAGGTACTCCTTGTCGAGACAGAACGCCAGTGGGAACCAGGTGAACAGCTCAGTGAACAGGTCGAATACCATCTCAGAGTACTTGGCCAACACCTCACCCTGGAATCCATAGAATCGGTTCATATCGATCGATTCGTGATTGCCACGAGTAAGATGCATGTGATCTGGATAGAGAAGCTTGAAGGCTAGCAATGCGAGGATGACCTCAACACTGAAGCTTCCTCTGTCGACAAAGTCTCCATTGAACAAATATGGCTTGTCCTGTAGTGGATGGATGTTAGATAAGAGATAGAGAGTGAGGGAATGAGGGAGTATGATTGAGTCGTACCTTTGATGGCATTCCATTCAACTCGAATATGTGCAACAGATCATAGAACTGACCATGAGTATCTCCACAGATAGTAATATTTTGAGTTGTCTCGTGATCAATGTCCACCAACGATGGCATCTTGGAGAATATATCAAATGACTTCTTGAGGATCTTGCAGACGTACCTATGTTGGATGGATGAGTCAGTCAATCAATCACTCTATGTGTTGTATCTTTCCTTCATTACATACTTCTTGTGAATGTACTTCTGTGCCTTCATGTGCTCAAGCATTTCCTTGACAAAGTCCAAAGTGATGTCCTCACCATGGAAGTGCGGTCCCTTGTATGACTCCTCAACAACTGATGATGTTGACAATGTTGAGTTAGTATGTTGATGAGTGAGTATACATGTTGACGAACATACTCATTGACTCGTAGTCCAAGGACTTGAAGTAGCTCTCATTGGAACATTTGATGGCGTCCTCAAAAGCCTTGGTCCTGATGAGAGAGTCGCAAGTCTTCAATTTCAGACGACCCTCAGCATCGTTGGGGAACTGCTTGACTACTGTTTGGAAGCATTGCTTGGCCTCTTTGTAGTTGCCCAGTGCCATCTGTGCCGAGCCCAATCTGTAGTATCCCTTGATATACTTGGCATCCAACTCTGTGGCCTTTATAGCGTCCTGTAGAGACAAGACAAAGAACTCCTTCTTGAAGTGGCAGAACGCTCTATTCGCATACAGTATCGCTGTTGGTTGATATGTAATTGCCTTTGAATACTCCTCCACTGCCTTATCAAAGTTTTGCTCTGTTGTCGATGTCGGTCAGTCACATGCAACATGAACGACTTGGCTGACTCATTCAATCAATCAATCAATCAAACATACCAAGGAACAACTTGTTGGCGATGGCTTTGTATTCATCAGACTTTTGAACTCTCTGCTCAGCAGTGAGTGACTCTGGATCGACATAGTTTGGATCAACTGGCTTGTCCTGTTGTTGTTGTTGCTGTGCAGCAGTGTCAGCTGCATCTGAACTTGCTGAATTAGCTTCCTTCTTCCTCTTTGGAACATTAACAGTGTTTTGAATTGGCATTGTTATGTAATTTTAATGTTATATAATGTTAAGTATATGTATATATATGTATATATATAATATATGTATGTATCTTATATCTATATCTATGTAAGTGAATGAAGATTAATGAATGAATGAATTGGTCCTGTTCATCGTTCACACGAGACCTCTAAGTCGCGGAAAGTGAATCTTTGGGTCAACTTCAAAGTCAAAGATGAACAAACACATTCATTCAACATGAATGTTATAGATACAGTACAGATAACAGATACATATACATAATATATATGTATTATGAGTATTTATAATAAAGTTTACAACCACTTTCCAAGGTTTAGTCTACGGTAGGTGGCCTTGTCAACATCTGTTTCAATTTTAGCTGCTGCACTCTCATAGTCCTCATCGTCATCCTCGTCATAGTATTCATCGTCGTCATAATCCATGTCGTCAAAGTCTTCACAGATTGCCTCTAGGATGGCCTTCTCGTCATCGACTGCCTTCTGATCCTGTTGTCCAACGTACTCTGGATTGGTCCTGAGATCGTTCAACTCCTCCGCCACCACTGCCTTTATATTGGTGTGACGTTGAGGTTGCTTCTCCTGACCAGGCTGTAATCTATGTGTTGTTGGCTTCTTCTTCTTTGTCGTTGGTTCAGATGTCTTGTCCTTGAGCAACTCTGTCATATCTTGCTCTTGTGGCTCTTGGAATGCCTCACCATTCAATGCGACAAACAGTTGGTCCTTGATCATGATGTCGCTGGTCGAGACGATCTTGTAGCCCTTGGAGCAGTAGAGATTGACCTTGTCCAGTGTGGCGTCAGAGATGGCGACCTGCGACTTTAGACATCTGTTTAGCGCGCTGACCACCTCGAACTTGAGGTTGTTGATGCGAGTGTTGACAAAGAGCTGCGCCAGAACATTGGTGTACCCATTCAAGCTAATGTCGCACATCAATGTCTTCTCCATCACGCCACTATTGTCAGAGGATACGCGGATTGATGGCTTGGCCTCGCGTCTTGCCACATGCTGAGTCTTGGAGTACAGCTTGCTAATGCGCTCCTGAATCTGAGCTGTGAGCTCTATCTTGTTGTCCTCGGTGCGGTTGGTATTGTCCATGCGCTTGATGAGCAACTCTAGAGTCTCGCGACAGAGTTGGAACAGCGGGTTGGAGTCATTCGAAGCGGATAGGATGGACTGTAGGATACCCTGTACCTTGCCCAGTGCACTGTGATCGCGACGTGCCTTCATCATGCGCAGCAGTGTCTGTGGAGACAGGCTCTTGCCCAGCTTGAAAGAGTCAATGACGTTCTGGGCGACAGAGGCCAGCTTCTTGTCAGCCACACAGTTGTGTGTATCGTTGTTGACGTTACGGAAGGAACCACAGGCGTAGCAAAAGGCGGTGTTGCAGCGCGAGCACATCATATGGTTGCAGCCAGAGATTCTCTCGACGGCCAGCTTGCAGCGAGGGCAACTGGTCGTGTTGTTGATTAGGTACTGGAAGCTGTCAAACTCGTTGTGCTCGTCCTCGTGGTAGCCGCTGCAGGGGATGGGCCAGTGGATGGCCGTGTCTCCACAGTTTAGACAAAGTGTATGGTTGCAGGCGCATGGCACGTATGGGTTGACCTTGGCCTCGTTTGGGTAGGTGTAGACCAGGCGACGGCATGGCTTGAACTTGCAGCGGTTGGTGTTGGTGATCTGGTAGTACTCGTTGAAGTACTGGTCGAGGTTCTGGGCAAGCTGGTGGGCGTTCATGAGTGTGGCCAGAGTGACCTGATCGAGCACTGCTTGGCAGTTGGCGGCGGGACATCTGATCGAGCCCAGGTTTCCCTTGCCCATGACCAACTCGTTGCCAACAAACTGAGTGATGCAGTCGCGGCAGTAGGTGTGGCCACAGAGCAGCTGCACGGCGTTAGTATCGTCGCACATGCAGATTGGGCATTCGTAGCCGTTGCTTATGTCAAACTTGTATGAGCGAAGGTCGGCCTTCTCGCGACGGATCTCCTTCGTATGTGTCTTGTTCAAATGGTTAGTGGACATACTGACCACTCCCTTGCTCCTCATCAATGTCTCCTTTGCCAACGACTGATGCAACTCAGTCTTGGTCGCGACAGTGTACTCATCCTTGTAGCAGTATGAATAGAATGTAGACTAAAGGTGATGGTGTCAGTGTCATGTGATTGATTGTTTGATTGAGTGATGGTATGTACCTCGTTGATGGTTGGGATGACCTTGTGTTCAGCGGGGAAGAGCTTGATGAGCTCGTCGTCCAGGTAGGGGGTGGTGGCATCATGTGTTGGCACCTTGGATGTGAACTCATCGACGAGCTTGAAACATTGCTCTACAACCTCGAGCAAGTTGGCTGGGTTTAGGTTGGCTGAGTTCAGATGATTCTGGATCAGCTCCTTGAGTGGTGCCTGCTTGGAGTGGACGACAAAGGAAATGGCGGTGGTGCCAGGCTGGTCCACCAGATAGACCCATACGTGGGCACTGCGAATGGCGTTGCCAGAGGTCAGGAACAGACGGCAGCGGTAGGGATAGGACTCGCCAATCTGGACGAGGTGATGGTAGCTCGACTGAAGGTCGAGACATGCGTTGAGGAAGTCGGACTCGGCCACGTAGTCCTTGCGCCAGAGCTCAAACTGTGTGGTGGGGGTCACTGGCTTTACCTCGACGGGCTTGACCTCGACAGCCACCTGGGCCTTTTGAAGAAGTGCCTCGACAACCTCGCGCTTCTCCACAACCAAGTGAAGAATGTGATCACGCACCAATGACTTGAGTGAGTGCACCAGCTTGCCGTCGGTGGTGTACAGCACTGGCATCAAAGTGTTGTTTGACTTCTTCAATATATCCTCCAGTTGGAATCTATGCACCAACACATCCAACATCTGTTGTAAACTCCATTGATCCTTTATGACCAATGCCTGTGGTTCATGTTGGCCTACTCCATCATTCTTCAAAGTTATATAAACTCTCTTTCTTGTGTCTGGATATGGTACATCCACGTAAAGTGGTTCCTCAAAGCTATTCAATAGTGGTGTAGTTGTTGTTGTAGATGCGGAAGTAATGTCCATTGATTGATATAGTATATGTTTTGTTGGATATGAATGAGTATGAGTTTGAGTTTGAGGTGTGAGTTTGAGTTTGAGTTGGAATGGGAGATGGGGAAGAGGTGGGTGGAGGCGAAAGGTGGTGAGGTGATAAGTTAGTTAGTTATAATATAACTTTGAATGAATATGATGTATGAATTAATGACAAGTTTGACGTTTAAATTGAACCACTTTGATCAAAATGTTCAAGAAACAGATCGGAACAATCAGATCTTTATGTTTTTTCATTCAAATTTATTTCTCGCTGTTTGACGCGAGAACACCAAATAGAGAATTGTTCCATTCTCAACTTATGTAAACATACACAAGTAATAATGTATGAATGAGATGATGTCATATTAATAGTATTTGTTATGTTTATCTTTAAGTTATTATTTGTATTTACATATAAAATGTACTAGATGTAATCAGTTCATTGACGACACGTTAACACTCAAGTGTTAAACATGTACGCATTAATAGTCAATGATCAGATCTTTCATCTTTGTAGCATTCTTGGGACAACAGCACTGAATCTCCGTAGACCCTACACAATGTTACATAATTTAGACCAAAATATCGATATTTCGCTTTCATTGCTCGTCTTTCATCACTTTGATTATGGTTCAGTTGTTTGAAAAACTCGAAAAAACACGATTTTGGCAATAATGTTTGAAGTCGATGTATGATCATTCATTCACTCTCATTTACTCATTCACATTCACTTAAATACAAATGAGTAGTAATAATAATCAACTTAGAGTTAATATCTGTTTATTATTATCATTGTTAACATTATTAAACTTGATATTATTACATAAGATTGACTTTAACTTCCAACCAATAGTACTTTACGAAGATCACATGTCTGAACCATCATACTGGAGACCAGAGGTCTCCTACTACAAACCATTGGCTCAACATAATAAGAAGAATAATGATGATGATGATCATGATGAAGATACAACACCATCACCAGCTTTACAATACGAGATTGCACCTTGGAACAAATGTACATTACTCAAGCTGTTGGGTGAGGTCACCATTGGATTGATACGCATCGAGTATGATAAGGTCAATGGACGCATGGTTGTGTCCAACCCAAACAAGGTCTACAAGAGGGAGGAGGGTGCCCCTGCTATGAACTCATACATCCTACCCATTGCACATCCCGCCACATGTCCATTCTCCATGCTCATGAAGTCCAACTCAATCGTACATCAAAGGCTTCAGCAAAACATACCAAGTCACATCCAGTTCAAGGTATATATATATACGTTCATTCATTCATTCATTCTATCGAATGATCAATCACTGACACACTGCTCATTCACTCAATCAAGGTCGGAGTCGCAATCATCATCGAAGATGTACACAACAGGATTTTCTTGACAAAGAGAGCGAGCTTGATGAGATTGTTCCCTGATGAGTGGGTCGTGCCAGGTGGACATATTGAGAAAGGCGAGAGCTTTGTGGATACAGCACGCAGGGAGTTGGAGGAGGAGACAGGTCTGAAGCTGGACGTCGAGATCTCAATGTTTGGAGCATTCGAGAGCACATATCCTGTCAATCTTGAAAAGGACAAGCTGCCCAGCGAGCATCACATTGTATTATATACCAAGGCCAAGCTGCTTCAAGAGATCGACTCACAATCATTGGTCAAGCTGTCGGACAAGGAGGTTGCCGCTGCAGCCTGGGTGCCAATCTCAGAGTTGGCCGAGGTATTGAGTGGACGCAATCGCAAGGAGTTTGAGTTCACCGGTCATCTACACGACTATCAATCACTGGTGGGCCTGGCTAGCGAACCAAACAGCAAGCCACTGGAAGCATACTATCACGCTACAAGTCCACCACTCGATCACACCAAGTTGAAGCAAGAGTTCACCAATGGCAACGAGAGGATATCGACTGGCACTGTATACATCCTCAAGCAATACCTTCACGAGCTTGCCAACAAGAAGCATTAGTTAGGTAGGACGACGACGACACTTTGGAACAGCTTTAGTGCTACATGTTGGTTTATTATATTATATTGGTAGTTCACGCATTCAAGTTGCATGGCTGTTCTAGCGAGCAGGTGATTGGTGCGTGACATGTAATGGAATGGAGTTGTAGGATTGATTGATTGATCGATTGAATAAACTGACTCGGGATGTATATCTGTATACATGCATGTGTTGTTTGTTTGTTTGGTTGTTTGGTTGCGTTGTTGCGTAATGATGTAGTTATTGTTGACTAAGCTACTCAAAGTTAATGACCAACAATGACTGCCTTTTGTCCTGGCGTATGGACAAATGTTAGTGACTTGAAGAAGATAAGAGTGACACCAATATCAAACACCCATAGAGCCACCAGTACAATGAACAATGGGAATCGGTTGGCCATTGTCAGTCCATACGAGGCCCACAGAGGTCCAACGATTCTGGCCAAAGAGCCCATCAGCATCTATATCAAGAAGTGGATGGATGTAGTTAGTATGGAATCATTCCAGTTTTGATTGATTGAATGTGATTGAGTGATGGCACATACCATGAAACCAGATTGGAAGCCTTGTTGAGCCTCCTCACCAAAGATGCGGTTGAGGAGTTTGGAGTAGAGTGAGTAGATGGAGGTGTTTTGGGTTGGGATACCAACGGTGGTGATGCCAACTGCAAGACAGAACTGCCACATTGGCACGTATTCAGTGGCAGGCACACCAAAGAAGAAGAGCAGCTGAATGAGACCGGCACCAAGGAACACCTGGCCAAACAGAATGAGGTACTTGTCCTGGATGCCATAGTTACTGGCAAACACTGTGGCAAAGATGAAGACGATGATCTCTGTCGACACCACCGAGTACATGATCGAGTTGTCCAGCGTGGTGAAGTTGTACTGGTACTGCGTGATGGGAGTGATCATTGTCTCGAGCGCGCCAAACACAAGGTTCTGTACAAAGTTGATGACGAAGCACGTCAGCAGCGACGCGTTGAGCAGCTTCTTGAAGTTGGTCCAGAAGCTGTCCTCCTTGGGCTGGTTGAACATCATCGCCGTGCCTGGGCGGCCCGAGCGCATCGACCTGCTGATCGAGCGGTAGTTGAACGACAGCTGATGGTTGGCCGCGGTGATCTGCGAGATGGACGTCTGGATGGTGATGTCGTTGCTGCTCGTGGGGATGATGACTCGCTGTGATGGAGCATTGTTGTAGTTGTAGTAGGAGCTGCCGGCGACTGGCATGATGGGCTTGGCGTCTTCCTCGACATTCATTCTCTCGGGCTCCTTGAACCAGATGAACGATACCAGACAGCACGTTAGAAGGAAGGCCAGCATGTAGCCTGGACTGTTGTATGGTGTGACCTTGATATCCATCTTGCCAATCTTGATGTCAAACTTGCAGAGCGCCAGAAGAAGATTGAACGCGGGTCCGGCCACCAAGCCGATGGCGTTGATACCGTTGATCTTGCCCATGTATTTGGTGCGCTGCTCTTTGCTTGATACGGCCGAGATATAGCTGGTTGTCAGTGCCATGTTGGCGCTGCCTATGCCAGCAATGACACGGCCCATGACAATCATGACAGGGTTGATGGCAGTGGCGTACACCACGTTGCCAATGATTCCAATCAAGATGCACACACTGATGGCTTCGCGGATCGACCTGCGATCAGCCCATATACCGACGAGTGGCAGAAAGACCAGTTGCGTGACACTGAAGCCAGAGATGGCCCATCCGAGATAGCTGTCGCTGGTGTTTTCGCCGCTGCTGTCCGAGCCAGTGGTGTTCATGTGATTGTATCGCGAGTCCTTGGACTCGATGAAGCCATTGATCGATGGCATCACAATGCCGTACTCAATGTTGGCGATGAATCCCACCGCCATTATACTGATCATACTGATCATGTGAATGGGTCTGTCTGGCTCGGACTGTTGTTGTTGTTGCACGTCATCCTTGATGATCAATTGTGTCTTCTCATCTGCGCCAGTGTCATCATCATTGATCGATACGTTTGGACCATGTCCACCACGGTCATTATTGATCGATCCATAACCAACGACTTGTTGGTCGTTGTTATAAGGGTCCATTTATAAAATATAAGTAGTTGATTGATTGATTATTTGTTTGATGGATAGAGATAATTTAGTGATGTGATTGGATGGGATTGATTTGAATGAATGAACGATTGTTTGTTTGATTGATTGATTGAATGGATTGTGATGCAAAAGTAAGTACAGCAACAAGTAGTTTGCCACCTTATCATGGCCCACAGATTGATGCATCGGTTGCCCGAAACGAACCCCACTCGTATTATGATCAGTTTTGCACCTAAGAGCCCTGATCAAAACTGTCAAAATAGTTTCGCTCACCCCTCTGAAACATGCCCGAAGTGCCCGAGATTGGAAAGTTCGAGGGAACTAGTCATGGACAAGTGCCATCAATCTGGTGTTTTATGGCCCATCACCTTGAGGTTGGATGGTTGAATTGATGGATGTTCACAGAACTTTGGAGTAGGGAACACACGAGTCTCTCTCATTCAAGTTTGGGATGTTGTCGACGTCGGGACACGGACCACAACTAGTAGACAGTGCAAACGAATGAATGAATGAATGATTGAAAGGTTTATTATGTTTGTGAGTGTTGCATTGTTGGCTCAACATGTACGAAGAAAGGTTATGTCTTGACTCGTCTGTTGATGTAGTATGGTAAGGTAGTGGTATAGTGTAGTTGATGTGATGGGATGTTGGAGTTGGAGATGGATACAATGAATGGATGAATACAGGTAGGTGATGGCTATGACAATGATGGATCGATTGATTGATCAACCCCACTGACTGGTGAGATCGAGTAGCAGTACGAAACTATCGCCATAGTGTGTGTACTTGTCCTTCTGTAGCGCCTCTAGACTGATGAAACGTGGCCAGCCCCATGCACTGTCGAAGCCCTCATCAAACATCTTCTTGTAGGTGAACTCTATGTTGTCCTGGAAACGGAATCCAATGATCGTGGCAGACACACCGACCGCCAGTGGCTTTGTCAACTTCTGGCCAAAGGCAAGGTACACTGCCAACTGTCCCTTCTCCCTCTCTTTCAGCTGGACAAAGAAGTCCCTGTCTTTAAATGTAAACCTGTATGCGTGTGGATGGAATGAGATGGTGAGTGATGGAGTCCTTCAACCTGGAAGGAGAGCCAGAACATACCTTTCCAAGTTGCAAGGCAACTTGATATTCTTCTTGATGCGATAGAGGAATTGGCAAGATGTCTGTCCAAACTCTTGGCATATTGGATTGAGTGGCATCAGCTCATTGCTCTGAGGTGAGTTGAATGGTTGGCCTAGTTGAAAGTATGAATGAGTTAGATTGATTGATTAAGTGAATGAATGAATTAATGAACTTACTGATGCCCAACAGGAATTCAAGAGGGTAGGTACGCTTCCTTGTGTTGCGTGGTCGTCTGTAATGATATCCAAGGAATTGGAATGGTTCTCCTCTGTTTGCTCTAATAATGCCCTGTTTACAAATGGTTAGATGAGAGGTTAGAGAGTGATCGGAGACCATCAAACATTATAGATGCTATACATACTCTAAGTAAATTGGTTATTTCTTTCTCTGGTATGATCTTGAGACAGTCCAATCTCTCAAAGGCCTCTCCAATGTTCATGTTCTCCCAACGAATCAATGGCAACAGGTTGTTCAGCAGGTTGCGATCGATTGATTCGTCCAACTCCTCTTCCTGGCTCTCACTAATGTTGGTTGGTCCGAGTTAGTCGCGCGCGTCACTTTATGTTTCGCGACTCTCGCAATCAATCAATCAAATAATTAATACATACGGCTCAGTAGAGTAGAAATAGTCATCATTGGCACTGTCCTCCTTGTCATCATCGTCTGTGAAGTCGTCATCATAGTCGCTCTCGTCTTCTAGGTCAGAGCCAGAGTATGAGCCATCGGTGTCGTTGTGTGAGTCGGTCCTGTTGGGATCACCGGCGGTCTCCCGCTCGTGGATGGATCCTCGACGACTGCTACAGCGACTACTGCTACAGCTGCCCGTGGACTCGTTGTCATCGTGCACTCCACGTCTCTGGTACATGCTGCTTCGCTTGCTCTGCGAGCCCGTGCCCGAGGCGGGGTCCTTTGGCAGCGGGGCCCCTGTGCTGTCCGTGCTGTTGGCGCGACACCAGTCGACGATGCACTCGAGGATGTCCAGCTCCTCCATGCGCAGACCGTCGTTTCGCAGCATGTCGCACACTGTCTTCTCGCTGATTGACGGGAAGATGTCGCTGTACATGAATATGGCGGCGTACTGTATGATGAAGGCGCGCATCTGTGGATGGATGGACTCGACTGGGATCATGATGGCGTTGGCTGCGTCCCAGAGCAGCAGAGCGTTCTCAACGTCCGGTGCCTGCATGTAGGAGATGGCGCAGCGCGTCATGATGCCGAGCGCCAGCTCTTTGCCACGCATCAGACCGAGCAGGTCGCAGTAGTTGTAGATGGAGCCAATGATGCGAATGTCAAAGTCGAGGTCGAGGATGCCGATACAGATGTAGCGCAGCACCACATAGAAGACGTCTGGCTCGACGCCCTCTAGCGTCACCTCTTTGACCGTGGACTCCTTCATGCTGTGCGTGAACATCGCCTTGAAGTACTCGCTTCGCGACACCAGCATGATCTTGCTGGCAAAGAAGCGACGGTCCTTCACACGGAAGATCACGTCGCTAAAGGGAGGTGGCGTATCGCCATCGCCGTGCAGAACGCCAAACGTGTTGGTCAGGTCCTTTGAAAGCTTGAATATATCCTCGTCCGTTGAGCCATTGTCCTCTGGTCCCGAGCTAAATGTGATGGGCGATCGACTTAGTTGAATATCTGCCAGTTCTATCGAAGATGAAGGTTTTCGTTTAGTTGTCGATGTCGTGGTCGTCGTCGTCGAGTTATTCGTCGATTTGGTCCAAGGTGTTGGCAACAAAGGTGGTGGTTTGGAAGTTTTAGTCGAAGTCATAGTCGTCATCGCATTATTGGTAGTGGTAGTCGCGGTAGTTGGTGTAGTCATAGTCATATTCGTTGTTGTACGAGTTTGGTTATTGATCGAGCGATTGAAAATGTTTGATAGAGTCGTCACATTAGTTGTTGGAACAGTAGCAGTAACAGTTGCATTAGCAGTAGTAGTTGTTGTAGTAGTAGTAGTAGTAGTAGTCGTCAAAGGAGTTGTTGATGAAGAGGTCGCATTGTTAACAATTGGTTGATTGATTGATGGACGATGAGGTGCGAGGGGGAGGCGGTGGGTGGTGGAAGTTAGTTGTGTGGCGGCAGGGACACAACGTGGCCACACATTAGGTTTGACCGCCATACTTGGGTTTTGATGTGGAGAGGGGACCACTCTGCTTCCCCTTGATATTATTACTATTATTACTATTGCTGATATTCCTAGAGCCATTGAATGATATCCTCCTATAAATAATAATATTAGTACCATAATTCTCCAAGTCAATCTATCCATTAATCAATAATCTAAACATACATTAATGAATCTGTTTCCATTCTTAATAATAGTAATTATTGCTGGCTGACTGGCAAGCTAGCTAGTTTGAATCGACAATCGCCTGAATGACTGAATGAGTTTGTATCTGGAAGGAAAAAAGGTAAGTAAGAAGGTATCAAATGGGATGATTCTTGAAGTGAGTGAAGTGAGTGAGGTGGAATATTGAATGAATGAATTGATTGATGGATTGAACAAAGTGGATTGGAATGATGTGGTGTAGTTGTTTGGAAGATGGTCATGTGATGTATGTATATGTTTGTACTGTTGGATTTGATCTTGATCACATGATTGATTGTTCTCTGTCGATTAGGTGTTAAGAGTGGTGATGATGGCGGGCACTATAACAAACAACATCAACAACAAAATGCTGTGGATGTTGATGATGGATGGAAGGATGGATTGATGGAAATACTAATGATTGCAGTCTATTATTCAGTGGATGGATGGTTGTATTATAATGGCGTCTAAAATGGACGTGGTACAAATTGATCACTACCACAGACACACACCACCACAATAGTGATTGACTGATGAATGGATGTATTTATGTGTGTGTGATAGTGAATGTGTGAGGTGTGTGATGTGATTGATTGGCAAACTATTTATATCTTTGATAATGATAATATGATTGTGTAAGTGAGTGACAGAGTGAATAAGTGAGTGAGTGATAAAGGGAGTGAATTATATTGGTGTCCATGATGGGTGGACATGACAATCTAGATGATGATTATAAAGGGGCATTCATTATTATAAGATGTCTCAACATAGGTACGTAATATTACAACAACAACAACAACTATATCAAATATTAATATTTGAGGTGATGTATTAACTATCCTTCCAGCGATAGTGTGAGTGATTGATAGAGTGAATGAATGTCTCTACGTTTGAATACGTGGACGAATGAATGGATCAATGACAAAAGACAGACTGTCTCTATTTCTTTAGTTCTGTACATATTAAATATTTGAAACAAAATCCAAGTTGCTAAGATTGATTGATTGATTGAAAAGATATATTATTATTACATTACTGATATCACTTACCGATGCAATAAAGATGAATTTGTCTTGGTCCTTGGATTTATTGATGGTTGATTGATTGATTGATTGTTTGGTACCTGAAACTGGATTTGAATGATCTCTGGAAATAAAATAAATAAATTAAATATATATAATAATAAGTTATAAAAAAGTAATAATAATAATAATAATATGGATGATGATTGTAATGATAGTAGTATTACTTCGAAAGCAATGATTCCAAACACTTTCACACAAATATATCTATCCTCTCTCTTTTCTTTCTCTCTATCTATCTCTGTCTCTCTATCACTATTCTTTGATAGAGCACCAAGTCAATCTTTACACAATTGGGTGGATTGAGGCATCAATCAATCAATCAATCAATCAAACAATGCACAACAACACTTACCACACTAACTATATTAGTTAAACATATAGGAGCTCCCATACCCCTTTGATAAGTATTAAACACACTACTCAACCCATCTGTGTGATGTAGCTGAGTGATCGATCACTCACAGTGTGTGTGTGTGTGTTTATGTGTTTGATTATTATTTGTGTGTGTTTGATTATGATGGTTGTTGTTGTGTTTGTTTGATTGTTTGAACGATCCAATGGTTTGGCCCAAACACACACAACACACTTACATCTACAATAATACATTGATGAGGAGGAAACTTGGCTGTTTGTGTTGACATCATGGCACATTGTCATAAACTACAAGAGGACTTGACAGGAAAGGACACTTCTGCACCTGATTGATTATTGAATTTAAATGTTATAACTTGTCTATTACTTGAACATCATTTTTATGTGTAAGTGTGTATCATTTAGATAAATGTAACTGGTTGACCATCAATCCAACTGGCCATCCTCACATGATTGTTTGATTGATTGATTGAACGGCCTGGCTCACACTTCCGTTACTCTTCACTGATCAGGTGATTGATTTTGAGTAGGTTGAGAGGGAGTGCGAGGGCAAGGGCGAGGGTAAGGGTTGAGGGTTAGTTAATTCGAAAAGAACAAAGAAACAACAAGAACTAGATGTATTCGTGTGAACATGAAAGATAGATAGATAGATATTATTGATGACAGATTGTAGTAGTAGTAGTAATAGTACAATAGTAATACCTCATGTGGTACATGTTGATGTGGCCAGAACGTTGATGAATGAGGGCGGTGGAGCATATGTGAGGAATTATGCGTTGGTCTGTTGGCGTTGGTTCAAGGTTGTCAGCGAAGCACGTTCTTACGACTACACCGCCACTATATCCAGCGATAATGACATTGTGGAACTGTCACGCAAGATAGCTAGCCGTCACCACTTGCTCAAGTACTTCCGAGGTCTAAACATCTTTGTTAGACAACGCGGCGAGACGATCACCACGATAGCCAATGCACTACGCTGCGCCAACGTCGACCCGGCACTGCTACAGGTCGCGATCCACGGGTTCTACTCGCGACTCGAGAGGGTCAGCGTGATGACCAAGGGTGCGCACTACGACCTCTATCCATTCTTCAAAGAGATGAATGATTCAGCGCGAATGATCACACCACAGGCCAGGTCCACTTATCGTCCGTCAGAGTTTGACGGGCTCTCAAAGATCAACTTCAATGTGATTGAGGCTTGCTTTCCCAACAACTACATGTACACGTTCTGGCAGTCGATCATTGTTTTCTCGCGCTTCCTCACGCAGCTGACCATCAGTGACACGCACTTCAGCACCATGGACATCGCGGACTATGCTTCACTGTCGCGCTTCATTCAGTCGACGTCGTCTACACTGCGCATGCTGTCACTGCAACTCGATCGACACAGCACCAAGCTGTTCAAAGAGGTGTTTGATGGCAGTACAATATATTACAGCCTCGCTGAGTTAGAGGTGGGCGCGCCATCCTCATTCCCATGGGAAGCGTTGCGCGTTGCCGCGCCCAAACTACACTCGCTCACAGTCAATGGCAAGGTGGACAATGTCGACGAGTACCTCGCATTCCTCAAGAGCAATCACTCAATCAAGTACACAAACATTGACCTCACGACAGAGACTATCGGCGATCTGGCAAAGATTACAGGCATCCCCAGTATTAAGCTAGTCCAGCTCACAACCAACATTCCATTTGGCTTTGATAGCTTTGACATATCGCCTACACTGCAGCGTCTCTGCATCTCCCAGTTGAGTACACAGCGCTCTATCACACGTATTATTAATGGCATATGTCTTCACGACCACTTGCAGCACATCCAGCTAACATGGCCGTCCAACGAACCCTTGGAGCCCCTCGTCAACATGATCAAAATGACCGTCTCGCTTCGGTCACTCAGTCTCACAGCGGGACACGCGTGGTCGATGAATGCCTACATCCTGTCCGACCTCTACGATGCACTGCGAGACAACACAACATTGGTCAGTTTCATATTCAACTTCCAGCATGGCGACAGTCAGCTCAAGAATCTTCTTCCACTCTATCTGCTCAACAACGACGTGATCGAGTACCTCTCCTTGAGCCACGTCTCATTGTCCACACGATACACCCACGAGGCCATCAGCGAGCGATTCAATATCGACCCAGGTGCCATCAGGACAGTGTTCACCACCAAGCGACCCATCACAACATATCAACAGTATGATGACGCGGTGCTCTACAAGCTGGATCACCCATGCATCAACATGTAAAGTAGTGTAATAGTATCTATATCAAGTTTGGAATATATTGTGTAATATATATAAGCAAGAGCGAATGACATCAATTGATTGACTGGCCAAGTGTTCAATCATTTCAAAGTCTTCTTGAAGTTGATATATCTCTCTGTGATGGCATCTCTTGTCTCTTGAGTGTACACCTTCCTTGCAAAGTATGTAACATAGGGGAAGTCCAAGTCCTTGATGCCCACCTCCAGTCTTGGGTTTGCCCATGGAATGTACCTGTAGTTATAGGCTATTCATTGAATGGTTAGTGATTGAGTGGAATAGTTCCAGTGAATGATTGAGTGATGGAAACATACAATCCCATGGATCTTCCAGGTTGGACTCTGAGTATGCCAGCTGGAAGTAGGTCTCATCTGGCACAAGGGTGTACTTCATCGAGAACAATCGTTCAATTGACTTCATATTGGAAATAAGATGAGTGGCGAGATGTAGATTGATAAAGTGCCACTGTGAACCATCAGTGTACTTGGTTCGATCGATTGACTTGTACAGGTTCTCATTGTTTCCACATATATCTTGTGTATCATACGACAACGTGAACATCTGTCGTCCACACTCGACCCAGTTGCTCTGTATCCACATACGTGCGCGTTAAGTTAAGTTAGTTAGACAGTGGACAGAGAGACTTGTAGTCCAGCTACATCGGGAACATACCGTTATACGATCCTCCCTCTTTGGTATATCTTGATCGATGAAGTTGCGTTCTGTGTTGAAGCCAAGGAATCGTTCCAGGTCGATGATAGGCTTGGTGGGGAAATCATTGAGACTGAGATTGATGACGTGACTCCATGACTGATCCTTCTTGCCAGTGTCTTTCTCTCGTTTCTTTATCATGTCCACCAGCGTGGCGTAGCCGGCCAACTCGGCGTAGACCAGGGATATGGCGCCCCAAGTTCCGAGGAATCGCTTCTCCAATATGACCACGTTGTTGTTGTCGTTGTACTTCTCCCTGATCAATCCCTTCAGCTGATCCAGAGACTCATCGTTGACATGCCTATCGACATGTATCGCGTAATAATGTTTGGCACGATAGATGTTGGTCATTATCGTGTCGATCGCTTGCAGGTCGACATGATGGAACATCAGGAAGAAACCAAGGTTGGGTCGCTCGGTCTTGAGCGTGTAGGTGATGGGCGAGTACCTATTTCGCAGTCTAGAGTCCTCACCATATGCAAAGTAGTAGTCCATCATCAGCTTGTCGTTCTCATCCCACGGGCCATACTGATTGAGCATCCTGCTGACGGCCTGGTGCGTGTCCTCGTTGCCGTTGCCAAAGATGGTGCCATTGGTTCGTCTATGTTTGGCCCAGCAGCAATGCACGGGATGCGGCATCGCGCACTTGGGCGGGACAGCATCGGGCTCGACATCATACATAAATCCATTCTTTGAGCTGAACTTGCCAGGCACCAGACATCCATCCTGGTCCTGCACCGTTTCGCACAGCGGGCCGGCGAATGGGTATGAGCAGACGCATGCGCCGTCCAGGGTGATGCCACCATGCTTGCACTCCAACGCATTGGTCGACAGCAGCTTGACTGTGCTGTTTGCCATTCCTGATGCGCTATCGCTCGACACCTGGTGCTTCTTGTTGAGATCCGCGCGTTGTCTCTGCACGGGCTTTGAGGCGGGCTTCCTGTGCTCCTTCTTGTTGGGATGGATGCCGTCGCCCTTGACCTTGTCGTCGTCCTTGTACGTGTCGACGTACTTCTTCCAATCGTACTCCTTTAGCATTCGCTGTGTCTTTTTTAGATTGGCGTCAGACCTGTAGCCAGATGGCATCTGGTATATCGTGGTCAAGGACACAATCACCACCACGACGACACCAATCAGCAGCATCCATTGTTTCCTCGTCGCGCTCTTTCGCATAATATTATTATTATTATTATCCTATAGTCTATATTCCTATTTGTATATCCACTCCCTATCACTATCTATCTATTCCTCTGAGCTTGTTAACTTGACTGATTGGATGTAGTTGATTGAATGATGAAAGTAGTTGTGATGAGTGAGTGAGTGAGTGAATGAGGTATGTCTGTCCATTCATTCAATCATCCATCCATTGTTGTTCAATCCAATCCATGGATACCATTTGTGGTAATATAGTTGATTGTGTGTGTGTTTGAATGTGGTCTTTGATCATCATATTCATTCTGTCGTCTGATTGTGAGTGTTTGTGTGTGTATGATCAACCACTCACACACACGAACATACTGATTGATGTAGTCGGTCAATCTGAGCATGTGTGAATGACATAGATCGGCGTCAGGTACATCTGAAATGACACTTGAGATATTCATATCTGATTGAATGGCTTGTTTACAAAGAATATTCCGTCACTCACATGTGATGTACACTCAATCAATCAATCAAATCCATCTTGACTGACTGACGACTGACTGATTGACGATGATAATGGTTTAATCAATCAAATTGATCAATTTGAAGCCTTGGCCTTGAGGTTGGTAACCAAGTCTAGTATGTTTTGTCGCAGACCAGTTACAGATTGTGGCGTCAGTGTTGATATCATATCTTTCTCAATATCATCAGTGAACTGTAGTGATTGATGTTGGTCGACCATTCTCTTGACAATGAACTCTGTGATTGATAATAGATACAGTCCACAATCATGTCCATTAGTCTGCTTTGGTGCTTGTCTAATGTTGATTCTCTGTTCCTTCGAAGGTACACCTGTCAACAACATTGATAGTTTACGTGCAGCAATCATAGCATAATGACTGTTTCCAGTCTGTCCAACAATCGAATCATAATAATAGAACTGCTTGCTATTCTTTACAAATACAAGTATTGACCTGTCATGTGAGTGCACGATCGAGGGTCAGGGTCAGACTCCAACGATGCACTCCAACTACAACATACCAATGTGAGCCACCAGCCACTGTACTTGGGTCACTGTTATCATTGATTGGGATGAAGATGCATGCTTTATCAGGTAGGTTCAATGGTCCAAGTATACTATTGATCTCATCCAAGTTATCACTATTCTCAAGATAACTCAACATGAATACTGTAGTCGGATTCAAGAACGTTATCTCTGTCTGTTTATCAATTGGTAGCTTGTCTGACAAGTATCTGTTTGTTTATCGTTGAGGTACTAATCAGTCTCTATCATCCCCTGTCCTAGGTAATATAACATACTCAAAGTAGAATGATATTATAGCATCATTCAACCATTTATATCTATTCCTAAGTATATCCACATCAGACTGATACAATGTAATATCTTTGAATGAAAGTACAATGGGATCGTCACTCATTGTTGATTGTTGATTAATGTTATCTGTTACTAGATTGGTTGATTGATTGATTGGTTGATTGTCGAATGAATAAGATGACAGCAAAAGGTTCAGGCCACATGTCTTTCACTTGGAAACAGAACTTTCAAATGAGGCAATCATTCTTTCAGGTTCAGTGATGATTAGTCTACTTTTAGTCGACAACCATCACCATTCAAACAGGCAATGATCGAGCCACAATACCTCATGCTCAACCATGTGCATGCCACTAATAATGGAGTCCTTGGTATCATATCCATGTGCGAACGTCGCATTGCAGCCATGAGCCCAAGTAAATAAATTGTATTATAATTGACGATCAATGTGAAGATGAGTTGTCTGATGATCCAGCTGGACGTGATCGCTTTAGGGTCTTCCAGCCTCTTTCCATCGTGCCAGAGCCACTGTTGTTGACAAGTTCCAGCTTGAGATATGGTGTGAGGATTGATCCTTTTGAGGTGACTGTCAGTGAACTCTCTGGTGACATTGATATTGATCCCTTCAATAATATTGAACATTGTTCCAATTGATCATGAGGTATTGGTGTCAATATAAACAACAGTCTATTCTCCACATCTATTGATCGCACAACTCCAAGACCCAAGCACTCCACCACCGGTACATCCTTATGATGATCGATGAATGTTGGATACTCAGAGTTGACTTGGTACTGTGAGTGCATGATTGAGTGATTGGGTCAGAATAGGAACATGGATGGGTGAGATGTTGTGGATACTTACATGGACATCATTTAGTTTGGAATTGTGATCGGAGCATATACCAACAATGCTGGCGTTGAGTGCATATAATGATTGACTGTAGGGTACTTGGTGATTGATGATTCCAATCTTGACTTGGTTGAACTTGATGGCGTAGGGTCGTTGTTTGATCAATGGCTGGCGTTCAATGTCAAAGTAACACTTCATACTCAAATCCCTTGTAGCTGTATTGTTCAAAGGTATCAATGGATTGCCTTGTGACACTGCCGACTCGATTGTGAACAGCTTGGTGATGCCCTGTCCATTGACCATCTCATCTATACCCTGTTGATTGAATATACAATATGGAGGACGTTGAGGCTGTCCAATCTGTGGTGGCTTGGCGTGATATAGGTAGACTACATGGGATGGCCGCAGATGTTTGACGATCTCCTCTTGTATGAGTAGGCCAAGTCCTTTGATCCATCCCAATGTGTTGGTAACGACTGGTATGTTGAACTCTTGATGCAGTACCATGGCATGGTCCAATACTTCCTTGGCCAGACGAACGTAGTACTCTGGATTGTTCTTGGGTGATGTCTCGCCAAAGAAGTATGATCTAATTGGTGTATGCTGATGTGTGAATGGCGGTCCAAGCAATGGCGTGTCCAACAGGTTCAATGTGATCAGTCCACAAGGTGCAAATTCACATTGACCTACATCCAACTCAACGTATAAAACATGACCATAACGTGATAGTAGACGATTGACCAATGTACGATTGAATGTACTCTTTCCAACATCCTTTGTTCCACTCGTCACTACCACAGGTGCTCTCTCTCCAATCACCTCCTTCTCAATGAACACATGCCAATGTGGAGGTATGATCAATGGTCTAACGTTGAACCTAGGTTGGAATAACTTGATTGTCATGGATGTTAGTAGGCTTGTTGTTGTCGTCGAGTCCATTCATTCAATCATACGGGATAGAAGCAATCAATGCCAGACAATGAGTTGAGCCAATTATCGGGATCATTATCCAAGTTTGTTGGCTTCTTGTTGTAAAGCGTTGGGTTTTGGTATTGATTGGTCGGTGTCTTTGAGAGTAGGATGACAGATGATGCCAAAGGGTCAAAGTATAATGAAGGTTGTTGAGTGATATATTGCACCAATGCTTGTCGTTCATCATTGTTCAATGTAACACCATCATCGCCATTGTTGTTGTTAAGAATTGATAGTAGACCATCCAATCCAGTATGTTGTGATTGTTTCGTTGTAGTTGCCAATGAATCAATGTATCCTTCACTCATTATTGATAGAGCCACTGAACTGAATGGAGAGTATAATGTTTCCTTCTTCTTCTTCTTATTATTATGTTTCATTGGATAACCATGTACATTGATTGAACCATATAGTACTTGTACATCCACTATACCATGGAAATATAAACATTGTCCTCTTTCAATGATCATCAACAATATTGTAACATCGCCAATCATAGCTCCAATAGCCCTTGTTTTATCCTTTGTTATATTAGATATCGAATAATTATATTGCTGTGGCTGTTGTTGTTGCTGTTGTTGCTGTTGATGTTGATGTAGTTGTTGTTGTTGTCCATCATCATAATCGTCATCATCATTGTATTGTTCATCTTCCAAGTCTTCAAGATGTTCGGGTAATGTGAGCAATTCATCAACTACAACATTTGATTGAGTGGCTGTTGCTGCAGCTGATGTTGATGATGAGTCCACAGTGTCTATCTTTAATGTCTTGACAATTATACCATCATTCTCCATTGTCTACTCTTTATCTCTTTCGGTCGACTCGTCAAAAACCACAGAATGTAAAAAGACGAAGTTTGAGATCTTTGTTTCATTCCACTCGCCCTCATTCAGACACACACTGACAGGCACAGATACTTAAACTACTTGTAAGAGCATCAATGTATTGTAATAATAATAATGGAATCATTCAGTACATTCTTGTTTCAGATATACAAGGACTTTGATCAATATATTGATGAGGAGTATGGTCAGCAATCACAACAACAACAATCAAAGACATCAACTTCATCACCTTTGATCGATTCATTAAGTAGTAGCAACAGTACACCAACAACATCAACACAGACATCAACATCATCAACATCATCTACATATAATGTAGACTTCCTCAAGGTTGGAAGAGACTTGATCAAACATATTGCAGCAGCTGAACAGGCTAATGAACATGAGGAAGTCAATCAATACTTGGAGTTCATAATGTGCATGTGCTTCTTCTCGGGCAATCAATCAGTTTGGAGACCATTGATCGTTGAGAACATACAACTGTTTGCAAATAAGATTATAACAAAGGATTATGTCGATGGTATACCATTCTGCTACGCCATCCCCTTTGGCAGTCGCGAGCTTCTCGAGCTGCTGGTGTCCCACGGCATGGACCTGGCCATGGAGCTGGACAATGGCTACGTCATGACATCGGCACTCTACGGCAACGTGGAGGCGTACGACTTCTTCCACGCGCGAAACGCACGACTTAATCATCGCAACAACAATGGAGACACGGCACTATTGTTCGCGGCAATGAATGGCGAGAATGTGTTGCTGGAGAAGCTGGCGCGTGGTGGCGAGGACCTGCGCGCCGTCAACAATCATGGCTTCAACGTGTTCATCTGTGCTGCATTCCACAATCAAGCCGACACCATTGTGTTCCTGGCCAAACTGGTTGAGCGCATGCACGGCAAGAAGCAACTGTTGACCATGATCAATGCCAAGGATAAAGAGGGCGAGACGCCCATGCACATTGGCGCTCGACTAGGCTTTACCAAGACCGTGCGAGCATTATTAACGCATGGCGCTGAGATGAACCTGGGCAACAAGGCCAAACAGACTCCACTGGATCTGGCACGACGTGCACTGACATCAATCAAGAAGGATCCAAACTACTTGACACCGTCATCGGCAGCTACAGCCACACCAAAGTCATTGATACAGCATGAGATGTTTGAACCACTGCCACACATCAGACGTCTACTGCCCGACGACTTTAAGAACAGACTGGTCAGCAAGCTCAACCTAGTGCGCAAGGTGAAGCGATCTATCAAGTCGTACCAAAAGGTGATCAATCTATTTGACGAGCGAATCAAGCAGCGAGAGATCGAGATCACCAAGAACCTCGAGGAGTTGCTACTCCAGGAGCAACAACAGAACAGCAAGAAGAAGGGTGGCGGTGGCAAGAAGGCCAACAACAAGCAACAATCAAAGCGAGACAAGGCAAATAATATTGGACGACCAAGTACACAGAGTACGGCTGCCACTGTGGCAGTGCGCGTGGACAAGATACAACAACAGGCAGCGGATCAACTTGCTCAGGCGAGTGTAGAGAAGGAGCTATGCATATTGGAGGAGCAAGATCAAGACACGCCCATTGATACCTCATCATCCCCGACCCCATCCGAATCAACTACATCACCTCAACTTCAATCCAACTCGATCAATCAATCACCTGATGAGCATAAACCGACACATCATCAGTCCCATCATCACCATCACCATCACCAACACACTCAACAACAACATGATGATTATAGAGACAAGTATAGGGATCTTGCGATTATGTACTTGGAGCAGTCGGCAAGGTTGAAGGAGACTTTGGAACAGCTGACAGAGATAGAGAACCATTTCATCGAGTACAAGGAACAGTTGTATGCAAAGAATGAGAAGGCAGAGGCGTTGGGATTGGGCGTATCAGAGATACTTGGCACAGGACTAAACTATCTAAGTATGGAGCAACTCAGTGTTTTGGCCAGCATCCACAGTGACTCTATCAAACAAATATATGAACAACAAGACAAGCTAAAATTATACGAGCGAATAAATGATCCAATTTAATCCCGATCATTCATTCATTCATACATAATATACCTTGGTAGATTGACAAACCTCGAGTTATCAGACCTCATTAAATGATTCGTCAGCTCTTCATCTTATCTCAGATTGGTGGGGGAATGTCCAGAGACCCAAAAAAAACAATCAAACGAACCTTCATCACATTTTTGTGAAAGATATTGTTTGAATTTTGCCCAACCGCACACACGCACTTTGAAAAAAGACACGAGGACCTCCACTGTAGTGTCATTCATTCATACAACTACAACTACTACTCATCTAATAATACATTTACATATATATACAAACTACTACTACTTTTCAATCATATTATGACATTGCACTAGATCAAGACACTGGACGATCGATCTCGACAACAACCAACAGAGGCAACAGCCAACAACATCAATGATCAACGACAATATCACAATCAACAGTAACAACAACAACAACATTATCAATGTCAATGGGTTCATTAAGAGGAAACCATCAAAGGATGATTTGTTGATTGAGGATGATAAGGGTGATGGATCGACCACGCTTATCGATATGGAGAGTGGACAGACTGTGCCGGTGTTGCCGGCATCCGGTCACTTCCCACCAACAAAGCAGCCATCTGGTCTGGACACGTTTGTTCATGTGCTGGGTTGCGACCTGCGCAGTATGGCCGCGTTGCGCGTGGCAATGGGCATACTGATCATGAACGACCTACGTGTGCGATCACTATACCTGCACGACCACTACACCGACCTCGGCGCAGTGCCCACCCAGGTAGTCATTGACAACAGCGCGTTCCAATGGTCGTTCTACTTCCTCAACTCATCATTCACTTACACGGCATTCCTTTTCACAATCAACCTGCTGTCGGCATTCTCCATGACGATTGGATATCGCACGACACTGTCCACATTCATCACATGGGCGATGATGCTGTCGATACACGTTCGCAACCCATTGGTCCTGAACGGTGGCGACGACTTCTTCCGCATCATCCTCTTCTGGATGATGTTCCTGCCGCTCGGCGCCAAGTTCTCGGTCGACTCGACCATCAACGTCGAGCTGATCAACAAGAAGGCCAACGTCAACAGTCCCAAGACGGTGGGCTACTCGCCCGTCATCTCGACCAACCCCACGTTCCCAACGACCGACTCGCAGGGCAAGTACTTCCTGTCGTTTGGCACCATCGCCATCATGGCGCAGTTCTGCTTCATGTACCTGTTCACGGCCTACCTCAAGACGGGCATCGAGTGGAACTCAGAAGTATTCGGCCGTGTGGTACGCGCTCAACCTCGACCAGTTTGTCACGCGCACCGGCGTCCTGCTACGCCCCTACATCAAGATTGGACAGCTGCTCACATTCCTCACGATCAACTTTGAGTGGTACGGCTACCTCCTGTTCTTTGTACCATTCAAGAAGGTGCACGGACCCTTGCGCGCGCTGGGAGTTATCATGTTCTGGTGTCTGCACATGGGCTTTGGCATGTGTCTCGAGCTCGGCTTCTTCATGTACATTCCCCCGGTGGCCCGCGCTGATCTTCCTCCCGTCCTTCTTTTGGGACAATGTGCTCAACTATATCTACACGCCCGAGCGCACGACAGCCATCTTCTACTTTAACAACAATCACGATGGACTTCGACGCGTACTATCAATGTACAAGTCGTTGTTCCTCATTCACTCGACACCTTTGGTGGCGGCACAGCGCGAGGATCATGACGACGACCATGCACCACCAACACTACAATATAGCGACTCGATCTATGACGAGATGAAGAACAAGGATACATGGATAGCGTACGAGAGCTCACACACGATGGAGCGACTCTATGGCTATGATGCATTCGTCAAGTTGATCAAACTATCACCTATACTACGTATACTTGGACTATTCATTACACTTGGAGTGTTCAAACGATTCTATTTATGGTTGGTCAATCGTCCACTATTCATCAATGGACAGAACTGGTCATTCCTTACCAAGATCTATCCGACCAAGCCTGTACAAGTCTCAAGAGGGTAAGTCCAATCTCACACTGAATGGATGGAACTATTCCACTCAATCACTCATACTCACTAACATCAATCAACCTTTAGATATGTCAAGGAGATTTGTATGTTCATGCTATTAATCTTTGTACTTAACTGGAACTTTGCAACAGTATGGCATTACTCGGTACCAGAGTCGGTTCGTTGGCTTGGTCCTGTATTCAAGATTGATCAGTATTGGTCAATGTTCAGTCCCTACCCATCAAAGGACGATGGCTGGTTGGTGATGCCAGGCACACTGGTCAACGGATCAGTGGTCGATGTTTATCGAGGCGGTGGCGAGGTCGACTATGAGAAGCCAGAGATGGTCTCCAAGATATTCCCAACACAACGATGGCGCAAGTATCTGATGAACTTGGAGGGATCGGGCAACAGAGACAAGCGACTACATTATGGAAGATATCTATGTCGTGAGTGGAACTGGTATGGAAGACACACTGAAGAGGGCACACAGCTAAAGTCATTCAAGATTATATACATGTTGGAGATGACGCCCAGCATGCCCAAGGATGGGGTGATGCCCATTGATCCCAAGCCCAACCCTTTGGAACTCTGGTCTCATCAATGTTTCTAGATGTCTTCCAGTCATTCCTCACAGCTATGTATACTTATTATTATTATTATTATAATTAAACGAAGATGCTATAACTCGCTCATTCAAACTCATACTCCCGACTCAGTCAATCAATCAATGAATGAACCCAGTATCAATCTGTTAATGTACAATATGACTTTGATTTTATTTAGCTGGATGGCTGCGTTGCCTTGCTTGAGGTCATCAGATAACTTCAAGATGCGATTAATCGTCTCGGGGTATGAATCGACCACCTTTGTAGAACACTCCATTGTGAGTGACTCCACCTCTTGGAGCTCTTGGGTGTAGACTAGGATCAAAGTCATGAGTAGAGTATGATGAGTAGGCTGGTGGTGAATAGTCTGATTGGTAACCAAACATTGGGGCAGAGTATGTTTGGTATCCATAACCAAAGAATGGATAACCATACGAAGAGTAGCTGAACAGATCTTGGAAAGATGGATAGAAGTTGAACTGAGGTTGTTGGTAGTAGGTTTGACGGGGTGGCGAGGTATAGGAGGGGCCAGAGTAATAGGAATTAGGTAGACACTGTGGGGCGGTATTGAATGTGAGATTGATCTTCTTTGTCTTCCATATTGAGTGTCTTGAACATGTTGTTCAAGTCTGTTGTAGATGACTTGGATGGTCCACTGTATTCATCAACCATTTTTTTGAAAGACTTCCAGGGGGTGGACGGGACTATCTTCTTCATTGTCTCTTCAGACAGAGTGGATTATTAATTACCTTAGGGTTCTTTGAAGTGGACTTTTTGGCTAGATCCATCTCGGCTGTCACACCTTCTCTTACATATTCATCCAGTGCGTATAATCTTCGGTTATCCAATGTGATGTACTCTCCATTCACCTTGACAACTTTGATAATTGGGATCTAACTCAACTTTAGATCACCTTTTTTTATTTGATCAACTGTATTGCTTATCGACCTTCAATCAGAAAATTGTGGAGCAATGCTACCCTGAGAGAACAGGATATCACGAGGGTCTAAGTATATATATTGAGGCATAGAATATTATTTCTTTCTCTATTTATAATAAATATAATGAATTCTATCTGTTTGTTGATTGATTGTTTGATTGATTGATTGATTGATTGATTGATTGAATGATGGAGGTAAACACTCATTCACTGGCTTTGACAAACTCTGTTTACTCCACCCATCTTCAAAACTCCAATTTTCAAGTTCTGGAATTGGTGATACATCTTCATTATCCTATTGCCCAATCGTATCATATTATTGGGGCAGTTATTTATGGAGTATCTTGGGTACGTTTAAAGTGACAAATGGTCTTGAACATTTGATCTTAATATATCCAAATTTATCTTTTCAATCATAAAAACCTACTATTAATATCAAACTATTTATTACATGTTAGTAAGAACTCTGGATGTCTTAGAAGGGACTCAAAAAAGGGGGGAATAGTTGGATGTTGTTCAGTGACACAGCTAACCCACACATACACGCATTATAAGCACATTCACACATACACATAAACAGAACACACACTTTCAAAGGATCTCGAATGACATACACACACTCACTCACTTCTCAAGACACTTACTCATTCACTTACTCACAACCTACTTGGTCTCTCGTGTTGTAAGGTAAGACATGGCCCAACCTAACTAAACCACTTACTTCTACAACAACTTATATAATATGTATACAATTACTATCTTTATGTACATACATAAGTAGTTGTATTTATTAGATGAGTAGTTGTTGTTGTTGTTGTTGTTGACAACATTACCAATATATTAGTTATTTTTTTATGTTTTTATTTATTATTATTAAAGATTCTAGGAGAGTGAAAGGATGAGTCTTAGAAAGGATATAGCTAATAAAAGACGATCAAGTCTGACCTCAGCACATTCAAACATACCAATCAGTGCAACAATGGCAGGAATGGCTTCAATGCCAACGACAATAATCGAGAATGATCATCCACCAACATATAAATTCAACGATTATGAGACAACTAATATGACGACCACAGGAACAAATAATATTTATAATAATAGTTTACATGTTCCAATTAAACATGATATTAATATTAATAATAATCAAAGTAAATATGATCCACCAATTGGAAATCCAGTTGCACCAGGTCATTTGGCACCATTGAAGAATGATGAAGACTATAATCTTTTCAATGTGAACCCTCCAACACCACCACTACAACGAAAGAATGACTTGTCAAGATCATTGTTATCAAGTTCAGTATATATCGATACAACTCATGCCAACAAGACAACGAAAGACAGCCACCCTACCCTTTCCAACAATGCAGACAACAAGGACAACAGAGTGTTTGGAGATCAACATCCAATGAGGAAGAGTACCAGTGGTGCGGTCGGAGTAGGCAATATGATCACCAGCAGCGCGAGTCCAATGGTCAAGACAACACCTGTAGTCATCAAGACAGTCAAGAAGCCCATGTGGACATTAGACAAGAACAATATATTCGACTCGGACATCCCACCTCTGAGCGAGAAGGCCAAGATCTTCCTCGAGAACATCAAGATCGTGTGGAAGGAGAAGGAGCTGATACTGAACCGCAACCACAACTCACTCAGACACTTCCTGTCCAAGCTCACCAGCACCATTGGCAACATGATCCATCAGGGTGGTGTGCGCGACATCTACGAGAATGTCAAGTTGTTGGTGGAGATCACGATAAAGAGTCGTTACTTCATTGAGACTGTGCGCTCATTCATCAGCATGCTGCTCTACCTCAAGGAGGCGGACGAGTCGATCACCTTCTTCCTCGAGATGAAGAAGATGATTATGATCATCAGTCGTATATCGCAGGCGATCACTAATGAGACACAGACTTTGGAGATGTTCAAGATCGAGGAGAAGCAGAGTCGCAAGCTGATCACACTGCTCAAGAACATGATCACATTCGTCATGCGCAGTGAGGAGTTTGTTGTGTTGGTCAAGAACATCGAGAGTCTCAAGAAGCAGGTGCGCATCGCCAAGGAGGAGCAGGACCGCATGTTCCCCATCAAGGAGAAGTTCAAGGCCATCATGAAGGACGCCCCACTCAAGCAAGATCTGATCCAAGGACTGCAGAGCATCATTGGCGAGAAGATAGACATGCGCATCATTGTCAGGAACATCAGAGAGGTCATCAACTTTGCCAAGAGTAACAAGGACTATCAGAATACCATCAGAGAGTTCACACAACTTGTGAGCAAGATCTATTCAATGGACGAGTTGTACATGGATGACAATCTGGAGCTGCACGTTCAGCAACTCATTGATAAGTTGGAGAAGATCATCATTGAGATATCGTCCACACCCTCGATCGTTCAGCTGCGTATCCAGTTGTCACTGTTGGCCACGTCCATCAAGAAGGACCCCATCAACTCCAAGTTCCTTTCGGACATCAAACAACTCTTCCAAAGCTGTTTGAAGCAGGTTGGCACTGGCAACGACATGAAGATGAGACTAGACATCCCAATGCTCCGTGAGATCAGAATGATGGTGTTGCCATTGCTGATACAGAGGTTCAAGACCATCCCACTTCCAAAGATTACAAACATGGATGATGGTATGTTCATTCATTGCTGTCCTACCCAACCTTTCTAACATAAATTAATCGTCCAGAACAACGAAAGAAGAAGATAGACTTCTGTTTGGAGGATGTCAATATCAAACTTACTTTCCTAGATCCAAATGCATTCCAGGTTGGAACCATCACTCACATCAAGACCATTCCATTGGCCCTCAAGGCTTCACTGGCACTGGTATTGACACTTGAGATGTATGTTCATTCGTTTATTCAATCAATCAATCATTCATTCAAAGTACTTACCACCACCTTTACGTAGCACCAATGTCAAGTTCAGGATAGACAATATGAAATGGTTCGTGAAGAAGTATACCATACCAAAGCTGAAAGACTCTGGCCTGGCAACCATTGTGACAGGTGACAAAGGCATTGATGTAAGTGTAGCAGATATACACCATCGGAACATGGTCCATAGACAACTAACAAGCTTGACAACCAGGTACGCATCAAACTCGCAATATCCCAAGCACTGTTTGACCAGAAGCATGCATTTAGTATTGCCAAGGTGGCCTGTAAGATCCATGACATTGGTAAGTATGGATGAATGCGATGAATGATTGAGACCATTACTAACACTAACATCATGGTACCAGACTTGACAATTGTACAGAGTAAACATAATGGATTGTATGAGAAGTTGTTTAGTTTGTTCAACAAGAAGATAAAGAAGGCATTGGAAAAGGTTCTGGTCCAAAAGATAGAGGAGGCACTGTCAAAGGCAGAGATGTCATTGTCCAACTCACTATTCAACACAGAGTCCAAGAAGAAAGAGACAGACACGAGAAGGGCACAGAAGAGGGTCAACCGAGAGAAGATCATGGAGAGGATTGTCACCGAGATACCGCGTCCACTTGGCACTCCAAACAAGGGCCTCTCCAAATCATCCGATAGCGTCAGACGACAAAAGGCCACAGAGACTGCCACAGGACGACCGCCATCCATCGTCGTCGAAGACAGGAGCAAGGGTGGTAATGATGACGACGACTTTAAGCCTCTGACCTCGCATCCAACATACTCTGACAACCTTGAGGACATTGAGATGCTGAAGGAGAGAGCAGCCAACCATCGACGATCAAGTCTAAGTGGAAGAGTGGAGCAGAACCGGTTCGACCGATCACCAGAGGCCATGAACAAGTTCCAAAAGTTCCTAGACCTCCATCCATCACTAAACGATGATCTTCAAGAGTATCGCTGCGATGTCTATGGTATACCGCCTGATCAAGTCAACACCAACATGCCACAAATCAGAACATCAACCGTCACCAATGATATATTCCTGTAGTCCTGTCCTGCTGTCCTGCAGGTTGTCAATGAAGATTGGACTGGACCCTCTTTCAAAGGGGTGTCCTATCCTATTTGTATATTCATTCATTCAATCACTTAACAACCAATGAATGATGTTGTTGATGCGATGTAGCGATATAATTGATCAATCATACTACACTTATTCATTCACACACACACAATCATTAGTTAGCGGGGCTCGATTACTTTTGTTTCACACTTGGGTGGCCCAACAATGGGGGTCGTCGGGCCGAAAAGTAATCGAAGCCCAGCGAGCTCACACCTCGATTTCTTTTGATGTGGGAAGGACCTCCCGCGAACCACCTAATTAGGTTGTGGTGATCATGATGATGTTGAAGAACTCTTTCATTCACATCACTTCACCTCCATTCTCTCTCCTCTTCACTCATTTGACATGACTTCACAATGTGATCGCCTCATTTATTCCCTCCCCTGCTTCCGCAGTTCACCATCTAAATGTTCAACAACTTCACAATCCTGTTTAAAATAACAGCGCTGAGTGTAAATAAGTTAAGTTGTGTTTGACTCGTATTGATTTCTTGCCCTTGTGACCGCTCCAAGTTACACACCGATTTCTTTTTGTTCCTCCCCATGCAACCACGAGCTTGGCACCATCATCACATGGTCCGACACACATGAGCATCAGCCCCATCCATCACCTTCCATACGGATCACTGATTAGTTGAGTGAGCAAACACAAGAGTGAGTGATTACGAAGAGTCCTCATCATTCCATTCCAATCCCTAATTGTACCATACATACAAACATATATTAATATTTATTCAAGTACTGATTGATTGATCATATTATATAAAATGGTACATCATCCAGCTGAAGTAGAATTAGAATCAGATGTTGTGGATAAAAGCACTGGTCAATCACAACAGCAGGTGGAAGTGATCTATGATGATCCAGGTTATTTACAGACAGTGTTGAAGCAGACTAGAATCCTTATAATTAAGAACTTCAAACTATCATATCGCAAGAAAGTCACAACAGCCATCCAACTCACAGTGCCCTTCTTCTTTGTCTTTGGTCTATACCTCATTCAATTGGCTGTGACCAATGCACTTGATACCAACCCACATTATAGAAATGGTAAAGTCCCCAATGATCCCATCTCATCACACTCAATCAATCAATCAATCAATCTCATACTAATAATAACTAGTCCCAATATCATACTCTAATGAGGTACCTAATATTCCAAAATGTACTCCACATCCTGGAAAGGGATTCTCTTGTTACTCGTTCATTTATGCTCCAGATAGTCCGGTCGTAGTCCAACTCGTTCAGGGCGTGATGGCGGAGAACCCTCATCTAGGACCCAACGATATTAAATCGTTTAGTTCAGCCGATGCCCTAAACAGCTTCATTCTAAACAATGCCAACATCACCCAAGCCGCCTACGTATTCAACTCTTTCGACAATGGCCAGTTCAACTACGATGTCCAGTACAACTCGAGTTGTATCGCACAGTGGGGTAACACTGATGGTCTTTGTGCGCCACCCGTTGAGAACATCATCGCTCCAATGCAAGTCGTGATGGACCGTCAGATTATGCGTTACCAAAACCAACTCCAATCACCCAATGCCACCAACGAAATCGTCGTCAACTGGAACAGTGGAATATTCGCTCATCAGAAGCAGTTAACATATAATAGTATGTATTAATCCTCCCTGATCACGAGACTGGCAGTCAGTTTTAACACTCCCCTTGCCGCTGATAAGTTGTCACTGACCTTGGAAGCATCTTCTTCTTTGCTTCTTTGATGTTCCAGTTTGTTCTGATGCTCCAGGACATGGTGCTGGAGAAGGAGACCAAGCTAAAGGAGGGAATGAGAATGATGGGTTTGAAGGAGAGCTCATACTACTTATCGTGGTTCCTCACCTACATGGTCTTCATCATACTCAATGTATTCTTGTTGATTGCCGCTGGATACATATTCCAGTTCTCATTCTTCAAGTACAACGACTTTGGCACCTACTTCTTCCTGTTCATCTTCTTTGGATTCTCCATCATCTGCTTTGCCTTCTTCCTCAGTGCATGTCTTGCCAAGAGCCAGACCGCCACATTCCTCGGCTTCTTCCTGTTCATCCTGTTCTCCATCTTGCAGGCATTCATCCCCAACCTGCTCTACATCCCCGGCAAGCCCCTCTCGCTCCAGTACTTCTTCTCTTTGTTCTCGCCAGTTGTGTTTGCCAAGGGTATGACCGACCTGGCCATTGCCAGTGATAATGGTGGCATCCGCTGGGAGAACATCTGTTGCAACTCATCATTCCCATTAATCTTGGTCTACCGCTGGGTGTTGTTGGACGGTGTGATCTTCATCATCCTCGGTTGGTACATTGACAATGTGTTCCCAGGAGAGTTTGGAACACCCAAGCCATTCTACTTCTTCCTCATGCCATCATACTGGACTGGCAACACTTCGATGAAATGGTCGCCAACTGACTACCGTCCAACACCCGTCGAGGACGAGGATGTTCGCAATGAAGAGGAGTTTGTCAACCGTCTACAGAACTCCAATGATAGTGCCGTTGTAATCAAGAACCTAGTTAAAGTGTACCGCAGCAACATGTTCTACCGCTCCAAGAAGGACTTTTATGCCGTCAAGGGCCTGTCCCTAACCATGGAGAAGAACAAGTTGTTCTGTCTACTTGGTCCAAATGGTGCTGGCAAGGTATGTGACTTCATTCATGTCCAATGATCGTTCAATCACTGACAACTCCTTCCTCCCTTTAGACCACCACACTGAGCATGTTGACTGGACTGTTTGGTCCATCAAAGGGCGATGCACTAATCTTTGGCAAGTCCATCATGACTGACATGGTCGCCATCAGAAAGTTCATGGGAGTGTGCCCTCAACATGACCTGCTCTGGTCTCATCTGACTGGAAGGGAGCATCTTGAGCTGTACTCTGCCTTCAAGAATGTCCGTGTCGATCAGATCGCCGATGAAGCCAACGAGAGATTGAATGAGGTGGGCATCGCTGATATTGCCGACCAGTTCATCACGGTGTACAGTGGTGGCGAACGCAGGAGACTGTCGGTGGCCATCGCCATGACTGGCAATCCCAAGATCGTCTTCCTGGACGAGCCAACCACTGGCATGGACCCAGTGGCGCGTCACCAGGTCTGGGAGATCATCGAGCGCTCCAAGAAGAACCGTGCCATCGTGCTGACCACCCATTCAATGGAGGAAGCCGACATCCTCTCGGACAAGATCGGCATCATGGCCATGGGTCGTCTGCGCTGTCTGGGCGACAACCTCCACTTAAAGAACAAGTTCGGCGCCGGCTACAAGGTGACTGTCTTCCTCAAGAACATGGGCGGCGGCAGCTTTGGCTCCATGCTCAACCTGGACGTCGTCAAGAACGTCCAGAACCGCATCATTAGCTTTGTGCTTTCAACTTTGGAGGGCACGACCGTCGCCAGCAAGACCAACGAACAGATCATCTTTAGTGTGCCGCGCCAGCGTACCGACCAACTTCCCTACTTCCTCGAGACGCTCGAGGTGAACCAATCCTCGCTACACATCCACGACATTGACGTCAACCTCTCCACGCTCGAGGAGGTGTTCCTCAAGATTGCCGAGGATGCCGAGAGTGAGCGCAAGTCCAAGCTCTAAGACATCATCATCATAGTGTGTGTATGCTTCAATAAACTGGCCAGCCATGGTTTGGCTGGCCATGTGTATATTTCCAAGTAGTATCCATCCTTGTAGTTGTTGCGCCATGTTTATTTGGCTTCGGCCAGACATCCAGATCAAAGTAGTGATCAATCAATCAGAGTTTGTTGATCAGTTGACCGACACCTCGCCCATCCATTTGAGCTTGGATGGACTGGCAGGCCGGCAGGTAGTTGTAGACAATCTCCTCAGGTCCAGAGAGAATATGAATTGAGTCTTGCCGACTTGTATCAGATCAAGGTTGATGGGCATTGAGGCGCCATCTAGTACATTATCCTCATCATCTTGGTCTTGGGCTTGGGTATTTACATTGGTCGTGGTCGTTGTAGTTGTTAGTGTATAGATGCCATTGAGTTGATTACGAGTGAGAGTGCATTGACCTTTGAACAAGGGCAGCTTGGTAGTATTGGACTCATCCCCGTTTGGTGTCTCCTGGATTTGCCAATGTATCAGAGATGCATCGTTGCCTGGAATAGACTTTATAGTACATTGGGTGAATGGTTGGACATCTCCATCATTAGCAGCAGCATTAGATGATTGTTGTACACATGCGAATATGTTTACGTCGTCTTTGTCTTTGATTACAAGTTGATATTGTTGAGTATGTTGTGATTGGGTGAGTGATGAGTTGTTGGAGTATACATCTAATCTTATGTCAATAACTGATATGTTGTTGTTGATAATAGTGGCATTGTCTGGTGATGATGATGATGTAGTTGGACCGCTGTTGATTATTTGGTATCTTGAGAAGTTGCTTATTGATGGCAGGTCTGGATAACGTCCAGGATGGAATATATGATGTAGTCCACCGTCTGGTTTCCTTTTGAGGTATGTTGGATCTGGTATTTCATAAGCAATCAATAATGTACCATTGTCCACTACCACTGACTTGAACCTATGTCTCTCCTTCAAGTCTGCCTCATACTTCCATGAGCACTCTTTCTCAAACACCTTAGTATCACCAGTGAAGTCCCTTCCTTTAAAGAACTGGACCTTCATACTTATACTTATATATATTGTTACTAATGTATATATATCTAATATAAACAATATTGATTGTTAGATTGATTGCAATCAATGCAATTCAATTGAATTGTTGTTGGAGTGAATGACGGTGAACCTTTTGATTATCTATCCATTCAAAGATTCGATGTGATTGGAACTCAATGAAAGTGTGTGAATGAGCACTTTCTAGAACTTGAGTGTGAATGAAAGTTTGCGGTTAGTGTGTCAGGGAACAAAGGGCGCACTTTCAAAATGAGGTCTAGCCCATTATGACTTTGAGAACTTAGTTTGTTTGTTGAGTAACATAGATAGAGATAGAGAGACAGACAGTAGTGCTTATTTATTGTATATATAGTAAAGAGGAACAATAATATATATATAAGGAGAAAGCACATGATATAAAAATGTCGTCTATGCTAGTCGCCGAAGAACATCTGGACAAGATCAGAGGCAGTCTGATTATGAGCTCAACAGAGTTTAAAGAGAAGATCAGAGAGTATGTATTTGGATGATCATCATCATCCATTCATACTTTAATCAATCAATCAATCAACCAACTAATCAATCAATCAATCAAACAATCAATGAAGCCGCGATTCACTCAGGAGATTACATGTTGAACAGTTGAAGAAGATATTAAAGTATTTAAAGTATAATGTGGACACTTCGATATCAATGACGGGTAATAAGCCGGATCTGGTGGAGAAGGTGTTCAGAGCATTTTATGTACCTGGTCCATTCAGAGCTGGTACAGGCTGGCAAGCCACCGGTGTATTGTTGGCAAATACTGCACCTCCAATACTCAGTACAGTTCTACAGCCTGCATCATTTCATTTCCCAGGTTTACAACAACAGCAGCAAGCATTATCGTCGACATCATCAGGGCAGCAGCAACAGCAGCAGAACACTGCATCATCATCGACAACATCGTCGACAACAACATCTATACCAGCGATCTTTGGTGGCGGTGGTGGCGTCGCTGGCAATCCATTTGGCGCATTTGGCTTGAACAACAATCCTCTACGGACACCAATACAACACGCAACAAAGCCACCAGCCACTGCTCCGACATTCGCCTCAACAGCGCAGAGCCAACCTGGGTTCCCATCGCACATCGTTCAGCCTCCTACATTCCCGCAGAAAACTGCACCAAAGCCTGCGCCAACTTTGGGGCAGCATCTGGCACAACATCCGCCGCGCCCAACAATACAGACATTAAGGAAGACAACTGGAGCGCCGACCTCCCCTGCAAAGAAGACCGGCTCGGCCATCAGCAACCCCAACAACATTTACAACAATGCCCAGCAACAAAAGATCGACTGGACAATCGTATCGAATGGCCAATCACTGCTGTACGAGTCGATCAAGTTGTTTGCCGAGTGTTGGATCACCAAGGGCTCGACGGGACAGCGCGACTTTGAAATCGACACGGACTCACACAGCAAGATCACCTTGAAGCCCACCGACCCATTGAGCGACGAATACCTCATCCACATCAGACTGTTGAACAACTCTGTCAACATGCTCTACAGTCACGACATGAGGTTGTTCATCAATGGAGTCAATGTACAATTGGTAAGTGATCACAAGTGCAATGGGAGGGCAACAACTATGCTGACATAGTCCACTCAATCAAACAGCCAATCAAAATCAGGAACCCATCTGGATGCATTGCCAACATCATCCCCAAGCCAATAGACATTACACCATTCGTCAAGGAGAAGAACAAGATCATCTTCCAGACAAACACTCGAGTCGATGGCTTACTCATTGTACAACTTGTGAAGAAGGTGCCCATGGAGAAGGTATGTGTTATGTTTCACAACATCATATTGGTCATTACTAATGATCAACTAACTGATCATACCTTGCGCGCCCACAACTATCTAGATTGTTGAGAGGATGGTAAAGACAGAACTGAAATCACTGAATGCCAACAAGGATAATGATATTGAGGAGCTATGCTATGACATGACCGTTCGATGTCCACTCAGCTTTGTACGAATCTCCCAACCAGCCAAGACAGCATCATGTACACATCTTCAATGTTTCGATCTAAATGTATGTTCATGGTCCATCATCATCATCATGGTTCGCGCTCAATCAACTAATATCCAATCAATCAAAGTATTATATCCAGTTTTCATTCCAACAACAGTTCTGGAACTGCCCGATATGCCATAGGGCAGGCCCTCCAGAGAGACTGGTTATTGATAAGTTCACAGAGAAGATATTGACAGAGATACCAGAGGACTGTTATAATATCACTGTTCAACCCGATGGCACATGGGCAAAGAAGAACGATAAGGTCAACGGTCAAGCCAGAGCCAAAGGACGACGATGGAAGCGGAGGCAGCAGGACAAAGGAGAACAACTCGTCGTCGGCCACCACGACCATCGACATCTTTGACGTGGACTCTATGCTCTCACCGACGCCACCTCTCGTCGAGGAGTCAAGCAACGAATATGACTTTGACTTCAACTCGAATGACGCCAACAATCCAGCTGTACTGGTGGAGGAAGTTGAAGCGGATGAAGACGATGGAGGTGGATTCTTTCAAGACGATGATGAAGAAGAAGACGAGGACAATGACAATGACAATGACGACGAAGAAGAGGATGAGGAAGAGGATGCAGAGTCCTTGGAGAGATCGGGCTCGCCCGAGATAGACGATTCGATGGAGGGAGATATAACGACAACGACTACAACAGATGCTGGAGTAGTGGCAGCAGACAACGGACAACAATCAGAACAACAACAACTACTACAACAACAGACACTAAACAACAGTGGCGGCAATATCAGTGTTAATAGCAATTGTGGCAGTCCAGACGATATGGACATTTCACAAGATCCCTCTTTCAACAACAACAACAACAACAACAATAATAATAATAATAATACAACAACAACAGAACAATCACTTTCATCATCAACGACCACGACTCCAACAACGACAACAACTACATCAACATCAACATTCACAAACTCTTCAACGAACCATTCCATGCCCACATCTTACAACAGCTCCTTTGGCAATCAATTCGACGACGATTGTATAGTCATTAGTGATGATGATTGATTGATTGATCCACTGTCTAATATATAAATATATAGTGATCACCTGCACAGGTTGGTCAAGATAGTCAGTCCTTCCAGTCGATTGGCGGACTCCCATCCATCCAACATCCAACATCCATTCACACCATGGGGAGCATTTTTTTGTTTACGAGGTTGTTGCCACACAACTCTTCGTGTTTCTGAGTCAGCACAACTTGTTTAGTTTGGAGCATTTTCTCTCTTTTTTTCAAAGTCCTTCAAGACAAACCCCCAACACGATTGTCAATTCATTCATTCATTCATTCAAACAAACAACTATTTATAACATTTATAACAATATATAACAATTGTATCAATCAATCAAACATGTTGAGACAACCTACATTCTGGGAGGACGAATTCAAGCAACCTCTATTAAAAATGGATCGTGGATTCATCAAGGAGGAGGGAGTTGACAAGGTAATGAATGAATGATTACTATTGCAATGACAAGAACACAACAAACTAACTAAAGTAATGTAATACAATACAAACGACATGTCTGAACAGATCATTGAACGCATGGCAAACTGGAGAAAACAGTTGAACATCATCGACGAGGAACTAAAGCCAATTGATTATGGCACTGAGGAGCCACAGAGAATATTCGTTCTCGACGCTGAGAGAACTTTCGAAAACGACGAGAGCAAGAAGAGACTCGTCAGAATATTGACATACTTGAACAAGCAGTATGTAGAAGATGGATGAGATGGATGAAGACGAGGAGAAGGCCGCAGTAGTATCACTCACTTACCAACATCACAAACAACCCAAACCAACCACAACGAACGAACGAACCAATCAATCAATCAATCAATCAACTTAACTATACAAGATTTGGAGACTATCAACAAGGAATGTCATTCGTCACAAGTTTCCTCATGTTGGGAATGGAGGAGCACCAAGCGATTGCAGTGTTGATAAAGATCAACGCACTGTTGCCAGGATACTGGAAGCATGAGGCAATCAACTTTGGAACAGAGGCCTTCACATTCTATCATTTGTTGGGCGACTTCCATCCAAAGATCAAGGCACACCTGGCTGCCAATCTCATTGATCCAGCCACATTCTGTCAACGTTGGTTCCTTGGTCTGTGCGTGCACTGTCTGCCATTCAGACAGCTGTTCCGCTTCTACGACCAGTTCTTTGAGGGCGGACGCGACTACCTCTTGCGCTTTGGTCTGGCATTGTTTGGCGCGCTCTCTGACCTGGTTCTCGCCACCACCAATCCCAATATGATCTTTGGTCTGCTGCGCTTGGACACGGGCGTCGCCACGACCCTGACCGAGAAGCACTTCGACGAGATCCTGGACACCACCGCCAACTACGACATTAGCAAGTACGACCTGGAGGCCATCCGCAAGGAGCAATACGACCTGAAGCTCAAGAAGCGTATCGAGTCGGCACACAAGGTGCACGATGCAGTCGAGGAGATCTCTGACTGTCAGTGGTGCATGGACAACCTGCCCGAGCTGTACTGTGTCGAGTGTGGCAAGGTCGTCTGCCAAGACTGCGTCGACGACGGCAAGGGAGAGAACCACACCGAAGACCACAATCTCATCTCACTGGAAGAGTACGAGGATCAACTCGCACAGGCCAAGAAGGACAGAGAACAAGAAGCCCTCACAACCAAGTTGGCCGAAATGAAGGTTTAAATAACATAATAATTAAATAATAATAATCACAATCAATCAATATATCGTAGGGAATCGACAAGTTGATGGGATGTGTTTACTGCTTGAGTATATTCTTGTTCTTGCTCTTCCTCTTCTTCTTGTCCAGTTGGAATGCTGATTCTGTTGCTGCTGCTGCTGATGGTGAGGTGGCTGATGATGTTGTTGATGGTGCACCAGTGGCAACCTTCTTGACAGCAGCTGGCTTACGGAATAATGGTCTATTGGTACCCTTCAAAGTAAATGTCTTATTCGACCATGTCTGGTATTTACTGTTGGTGTTCTTCTTGACTTGTCTCTTCTGATATTGCATTGCCTCATTGTAATATCTACGATATGTTAAGTTAGTTTACAGTGTGATTGATTGAGTGTGGATGAGGACAGAAGACTTACGGTGCTAGCTTATGTAGTGGAGCAACCTTTTCCAGCTCATTGTCATCCTTGGACAGAATGTCGTCCAGGGACAGGCCGTAATCATTGGAGTCGACATTGACGTACTTGAATCGGACTGGTGTATCGCCATCAATCTAAAGGATTATGGAACATGTTAGAATATGATTGATTGGTGCAAGCTCCATGAATGATGACTTACAATATCTTGATAATCGACACCATAATAGTTGTCCAACATTGCCTCCAACTCTTTCTTTTCCTTGAGCAGTCGCTCTTCGGACCATTCCTCTCCATCGTCGTCTTCGTCGAAATAACCAGAGTCCATGTAGTCATCGAGTGCCATCTGTCCATCTCCTTCCTCGCCTTCATAGTCACCAGCACCCTCTTCATTATCCTGCTCAGCCTGCTCGTGCTTCTGACGCTTCTTTGACTTGCTCTCCACCAACTCCTTGATCATGATCTCTGGATCCATGCTCCTGATGCTCTCTGGGTCCATGTCCAGTGCTGTGCTGCCTGTGATGCCATGGATCTCCTTGACCTTCTCGAGGATCTCCTTCTTCTTCTCGTTCTTTAGACGCTTCAGTACGGCCTCCTGCTTCTCGCGCTCCTCCTCCTTTCTCTCTTTCTTGCGATCGCGTTTGGCCTTGCGCTTGGACTCCTTGCGACGGATAGAGTCGCCCGGGTTACGCGGGTTGGTGATCAGCACGCTGGAGCCTGGCTCTTCGAATCTAAAGTTGAATGAGTGCTCAAAGTTGTCCTGACGGTCGAGGTCCTCGCGGTCGCGGTCGATCTCGTCGATGATCTCCTCGTACGTGGGCAGCTTGGTTGAGTCGGACATCCACTTCTGGCCAACGATGTAGTCGCGCAGGAACTTCTCGTCCTCGTTGTCGATCTTTTTTGACTTCCAGTAGTCCTCGATTGCCAGTGCGCTGTCCTCATCCTTGTTCAAAGTGACACGCTTCTTGAACTCCTCAAACTCCTCATTCTCGCGCTCCTCCTCCTCCTCGGTCCTCTTTCTCTTCTTGAGCAACTCGCCATCATCTTCCTCGTCGCTGTCCTGATCGGCGTTGTCACCATCGTTCTCGTCATCATCGGCCATGGCCATCTTGAATGCATTCTTTAGATGCTCTTGTTGCTTGACATAAGGCATATCGTCGAATGATTGTGGACGTGCGGGCATGTCCTCGTCATCCTCGTCGTCGTCCTCCTGGTCGTCATCACTGCCCTCATACTGATCCTTGTCCATTGAAGCCAAGATCTTATCCTTCTCAATCTGTCTAAGTGTGATCTCCTTCTTTTTGTCTTTGTTCTTGGCCAACGATGATTGCTTCAAACTCTCCAAGTCCTTCTGTCTCTGCTCCTCACTAAAGAACCTCAAGTCCTTATCATACAATGACTTATCCTTATTGCTCAACATTGGCAACAATCTAAGGAAGTCATCATTCCATGATCTTGAATCCATCATTGCATTATCATCGTCATCACTCTCATCACTATCATCCTCATCGTCCTCAATTGTTCTATTCTTTGGTTTTGTTGATGTTGTTGTTGTTTTTGTTGTAGTTGTAGTTGTTGTTGACTTCTTTACATCTTCCTCTGACTCTGACTCTGATGACTCTGACTCTGATGATGGTGATGATGAATCTGAGTCACTATCACTTTTTGATGATGTTGTTGTAGTCTTCTTCATCACTTTATCATCGTCAGACTCTGCCTCTGATTCAGATGATGATACACTTGATTGTTCAATGTTCTTTTCATCCTCTGAATCTGATGATGATTCTTCAATCTTCTTATTCTTTGGCATTTTATGTCTAATATATGTTTGTGTATATGTTCAAGAGATATTATAACAAGAAGAAGTTAAGGTGAAATGAGGGCTCGAGGGATGGTCTCGCTCGTCTTTGTGACAAAACACTCAAAATTCGATAAATTAACAAATTTGTCAAAAGAACGACCGAGTCGTCTTGATCTCACACAAACAACTCATTCATTTACAAACAACAAGTAATATATACTTATATAAATATAGATATAGAGAAAGAATGAATCTTTTAACAACGAATGGTGTAAAGATATATAATGTATCAGCAGGTAAATCACTACCTGAATGGTTATCAGAAAAGAAACGTGATCAATTGAGAAAGGATGAGGAGTTTAGACAGAGAATAGAGTTGATACAAGACTTTGCATTCGAGACTTCATCACGTCGTGTAAAGATCACTCCCGATGGCCAGTACCTCATGGCCACCGGTATATACCCACCTCAACTCAAAGTGTTTGAGCTGAATCAACTCTCATCAAAGGTCACCAGGACACTAGATTCACAGATCGTTCAATTCGAGGTAAGCATCCATCACTCAGGTTTAGTTGATCAAGTTGATCAAGTTGATTCACGGACTGACTCGTACTCCACCAATCAATCAATAATTTGGAATGATTCCTTCACTCAATCTCTCGCTCACAATCACTCAATCAATCTTTTGGAATGATTCCTTTTCACAACAAATCATTCAATCAATCAATCACTGGTTCGATCACTCTCACTCATGATCAAATAGGTATTATCTGATGATTATTCAAAGCCAGTGTTCTTGAGAGAGGATAGATATATAGAGTTCCATGCAAAGTATGGAACATACTTTAAGACTAGGATTCCAAAGTTGGGAAGAGACATTACATATCATAGACCATCATGCGACTTGTATATTGGCGCAGGCGGCAACGAGGTCTACAGATTAAACTTGGAGGAAGGACGCTTCATGACACCACTGGTCACCGATTTGCCAGCTGTCAACGTCGTGGCCCAGAACCCCGTGCATCAGCTGATGATGTTTGGCGGTGAGAATGGCGCCATCGAGTGCTGGGACCCAAGACAGAGGACAAAGGTGTCCGCGCTCAATGTGGCATCGTCCATCCCAGGCTACAACATCCAGCAGGATGACGTCGAGATATCCGCCGGCAAGTTTGGCCCCGATGGCCTGCTGCTAGGCCTCGGCACATCCAATGGTGTGGTGATGCTGTACGACATGCGTGCGGCCAACCCCGTGATGACCAAGCATCACCAATACCAGCTGCCCATCAACTCGATCAACTTCCACACGTACGCCGGCGTCACCCGCTTCATGTCGTCCGACTCCAAGATCCTTAAGGCATTCGACAAGGACACGGGCAAGCTGTTCATGGTGCTCGAGCCCAAGAGTCCCATCAACGACGTGCTGTCCATCGATGGCACCGGCCTGATAATCATGCCAGGCGAGACCGAAAAGATACAATCCTATTACGTGCCCTCGCTTGGACCAGCACCCAAGTGGTCCTCATTCCTCGACAACCTCACCGAAGAGTTGGAGGAGGACAAGCAACTAGTCTACGAGAACTACAAGTTCATTACAAGAGATGAGGTCGAGAAGTAAGTCGTGGGACACCCGTATGGAATCATTCCCATCACTCACTAACACACTCAATCAATCATCAATCAATCAATCAATCACTACAGACTGGACATTGAGAAGATGATTGGTACCAACTTGTTGCGAGCATATATGCATGGATTCTTTATTCATATCAAGTTGTATAACAAGATCAAGGCTGCACAGAATCCATTCGAATACCAAGAGTACAGGGCTAATAGGATAGAGCAGGAGATGAAGAAACAGACTGGCTCGAGAATCGCCGCAAAGACTGCTGTTAAGAGGGAGACACCCAAGGTCAATGCCAAGATGGCCAACAGAATGCAAGCCATCAAGTTTACACATTCGGAGGACGACAAGGAGAAGAAACAGAAGGAGAAGGAGGCTGGCGCCAACGCACTGCACGATCCACGTTTCGCCAAATTGTTTATTGACCCCAACTTTGAGGCCAAAGAGGATTCTGAAGAGTTCAAGCGTCTCAATCCACGTGGCAAGCTTGCAAGATTGGACTCAGCCATCGCCGAGCACTTTGAAGAGGTGGACTCTGATGACGAGGATGATGATCAAGATGTACCAGTGTCCAATGGCAAAGGTCGTGGAACCAACGGCAAAGCTGCTGCAGCTATCCAAGATGACGAAGATGATGACTTTGATGATGGCGAGGATGATGCATATCCAACTTCAAATGGAATTGGCGGCGATGATAATGATGTCGATTATGATGATGGAGAGGATGATGATGTGGACTCCAAGAGACCAAAGAAGAAGGTTAGCATGTATGAGATTAGAGCAGGTCATTCAGTGTCATCACTAAACAAGAAGGGACAGAACACCAAACTGCTGCAGAATGCACCATTCTCAGTACGTGTGGACAAGGAGGAGAAAGGAATCAATCCACTCAAGAACGCCACAGTCGTCACCAAGGATTCTGGCGACCTCGAGATATCATTCATTCCATCAAAGGTAAGACGTCCAAGTCACGTGGAACATGGTCCAAAGTCCAGTTTGACTAACATCCACTCACTCACACTGGAACTATTCCAATCAATCACTCACCCAATCAATCAATCAATCAATGGACCAACAGCAGACTGGTGGAAAGAGGAAAGGAAGGAAATAAAAGGATAGCCTTGGAACAAATAACCAAACTTTGTTTAGATTGTGATGATTGACATCTGCTTGCCAACTGTGCCAATTACAAGTTGGTTGGCCTCTGACTTGTTCCAATCCAGTGCACGGATACATGATGTCTGTTGTACTTTCTTGACAATGGTATCGTTCGAGCTGTCAAAGATGATGAGACTGGCATCGTCCGAGACCGTGGCGAATTGATTGCTATTGTGTGGATTGAGTTTGATCTGATTGATCATCAGTTGATGATGACCCTTGTATCTCTTTGATGGTTCTGTTGTACCCATATTCCTCGTGTCCAATATGAAGACATCACCATTGTCTCCGGCGCATAGCAACTCGACATTGCCATTACGCCAGCATACTGAATGTGATCCAATGCCATTGGACACCATGTGATTAGTCACTGTGCTCGGGTCCTTTGAGCGCGTATCTGCAATCACCACTCTATTGCCCGATGACGATGCAATGAGTGGTCCATTGGCCACGACGCAGTGTACGGGCGATGAATGTAGATTGAACTGATTGAGCATTGTTCTCGCGTTGACATCCCATAGTTTGATCGAACGGTCCCAGCTTGCCGACACCACCTTTGAGTCTCCCATCACATCAATGCTACTAATGATATTGTCATGTGCATTTGTGAACAATGACTCTAGTATGTTTGTTGAAGGTGTCGACCTTGGTTGTACAGGTGGCTTTGGCTTTGACGTCGTTGATGTCGTCGATGTCGTTGATGTTGTGTCTGATTGAGTGTGCGGCTGAGAATGAGATTGAGAGTGCGCTGCAGTGTAATCGATCAATGTCTTGGCAATATCGTCTAGTTTGACGAGGGTCAACTTGGCATCGTCTGACGAGACGATCATAGAGTCATTGGTCAACCACTTTATACAAGTGTTACCATGATGTGTACTATAGTTGATAGAGTTGGGTGTTGTGGACTTTGAAGCTTGGTCTACTATTGAGACCTGTCCATTCCACAGTGCACCAGTTAGACTTGATGCTGCAGCACCAATGTACTTGTCATCCAATGAGTAGCACAAATAGTCTATTGAGTATTCCTTTGTAATATTGATCATTCTCTATATATCTCTCTTTCTTTGTTTAAATGAATGATTGAATGTGATGTGAATGTGTTTGATCAAAAAGACTCAAAGTAGGCCAAACCCCCACTGGAATTATCCCACTCACTTAATCAATCAATCAAAGATATATAATGATAATGATAATGGAAGGAGGGGTTGTGTTATTAATTAATATATATGTGATTAATTATTCGTCTCGGACAGAGATGGAACCAACGTAGGTGGTCTCGCCAATGGGAGTGGTGTTGTAGTTGTCAGTGTTGATGATGACCTCCTCAACGACGGGCTGTTTACGTGGAGCGAGCTTATGGTAGAATATACACAAGACAATGAAACCAGAGGCAGTCAAACCTGCAGATGTAAAGAACAGGATATCATCGGCAACGCCAAACAAGGCGTTGGCCCACAGTGGTCCGAACATTCTAGCCAATGAACCACCAGAAGTCAGCCAGCCCATCATTGTTCCCTGACTTGATGGGTTCAGAATCTTTGAGTAGATGGCATACATCAATGATGATGCGATTGGATATCCAATCGAGACGAACACTGTTTAGAGGGGGGGAGGGGAATGGAATGATTCCAGTTAGTGATTGGACATTGAGTGTGACTGACGATCTTTAAGACATTACCTGCACCAACAAAGAGTTGCCACATGGGTAGAMCCCTTCTCCCAATGGAAGGGTCCATTGTCGTAGGAGGCCAGGAAGAGGAGGGCGACGAAAAGGTTGGCAAAACCAAAGAGGGCCATCTTGCGATCCTCAAACTTCTTGACTATGGGCGTGGAAAGGGCAACAAACACGGCGACACTGAGTATACCCGAGCAGGTCATGAGCAGTCCATTCTGACTCGTGCCCCATTTGTAGTAATAGTTGGTCATCACCGTGAGGATGGACTCGAACACGGCAAAAATCGAGATGACCACGGCGAACAAGTAGATCGAGACAAACACTGGCAGCAAGGACTCCTTTGGCTCGTCCTTCTTGACGAGCAGAGTCTCTTCCTCCAGTGGGCTGTTGATCAATGATGATGGTGCTGCTGGCTTGGCAACGACTGGCGTCTCTCTGAAATAGAGGAGGATCAGAACAAGATTGACCAAACCGAGGATCACCGAGACAAAACCTGGCGCAGTGTACTCGCTAACGACCACACTTCCAATGTTGAAGTTAATCTTGCTCAATGCAAATCCGATAACTAGATTAAGAAGGCAAGAGCAAGGGGTTAGGGTCGAGGGTCGAGGGTAGAGATGATCAACATACCTGGTCCAATTACAAAACCTGCACCTTGTGCGCCAGACATTTTGCCCATGGTCTGGGTCTTGTTGCTGGCATCGGTCCTCTCTGAAGCGAATGCACGACAGACGGCAACGTTTCCAGCGCCAACTCCAACAAGGAATCTTGCGGTGAAGATCATTGGGATGAAAGCCTGGCCAAACTCACTGGTGAAGGCGTAGATGCCATTTCCAATCATGGCCACCAAGGTGGACACGATGATTGCCTCAATAGTTGGTCTCCTGTTTCCCCAATATCCAAACACTGGCGATGCTACAAACTGACCGAAACTGTATATTGCTACCAGTGGACCGTTGTATTTAGCATCCGCTTTTGCTTCCTTATTCATTTTGTTATGTTATGTTATGTTAGTTAATCAATCAATCATCTTTGTCTGTTTGACGGCCGGCCGTCCGAGCCGATGCCACACGCATAGCCACAACCTGCGCAGCAACCAGTCCATCCGCGATTCCTTACACTTTTCAAGTAAGGATACATGGATGGCATCATCAGTGTGAAACCAATCGAGGAGAGGAACACTGTGAGCACCATCAGATTGATGTTCTTGGCATTCATTGCTAAGGTTTTTGAGCTGAGTTGGTTGCCAGCTGTTGCTGGGACTATCAATGGAGCATTCTCCATCAATGAGCTGGATGATGACGATGAAGACGATGACTCTCCATCACTATCATCATTGTTGTTATTGTCAAGAGACATTTGTTGATCTTTCTATTCTATCTGTTGGCGTGTGTGTGTGTGTTGGTGTGAGTGTGGGTGATCGAGGCTGGGCTGAGGCTAAGGCTAGTCTTTGGGGCCTAATAAATAAATAATAATAATACTACAACTACACTACAAAGTGATAAATAGGTGAAAGAGATAATGAGGTGTAAGTGTAGTGCCGCAAAAAAAGTTGTTGTTATTGGGATGGTAGTGTTGTATTGTGGTTGGTTGTTGCAGCGGAAGAAGAAGAGGCGGAGTATGTTTCTTACTACACTATCTCTCTGGTATTGTTTGTTATGTGTTGTTGTGTGTTTGTGTTTGAATAATATCATCTCTCTCATTCTCTTCTGTCTAACCCTTCTTGTTTTGTGACAGTGAGTGCACCATCAACTCGAGTCTCTCACTCACTCCAATTGGAGATGATACCACGGGTGAGTATTTGTGATGCAAAATTGGAAGACAAAGGCCCAATGGGCCTCAGACCCCACCACCAAACGACAGCAAAAACAGCAAATCACTCAGTGCTGATTTGGTGATCGAAACTTCTTTGCTCCAAGCACCAGATATCTATTTGTTCATTGGACTCTTCCTAGATTAGTCATTGGACTGCTCTCCCTCTTCTCTGTGCGGTCGAGTGATGAGAGAGTGATAAACATGGAACCAAAGGCCTTGGAAACGTGGCGAAATGGTCGCGATGGTGCACCATCAAATCATTATCATCAGTCAATCAATCAATCAATTATTAATTATCCAATCCAATAGTAAGTTATGTGTGTTCGAACGTTGTAGTAGTACCAGTACGTACTGGTACTATCTCTATATATTGTATTATTATTATTATTATTATATGTTGGTAGTAGTAGTTATTACTGTGATATCGAAAGGTCATCGTCACGGACATAGATTGATCCGCCATGTGGTGTAGTATTGTAATTCTCAATATAATCGTTATAATCATCATCGTGTGACATATCATCCTGTTGTTGTTGCTGTTGATCTTTCTGTATCTGTGCATTGATGTAGTCGGAATGTGGCGCCAGTCGCTTGTAGAATATGCATAGCACGATAAAGGCAGAGGCAGTGAGGCCTGCACACGTCAGGTACAGGACATCATCGGCGACGTCGACAAACAACGCTGTGGCCCACAGTGGACCGAGCATTCTAGCCAACGAACCACCCGATGTCAACCATCCCATCTTTGTTCCCTGTTGCTTTGGACTGAGAATCTTGGCAAAGATAGCGTACATCATTGAAGACGAGATAGGATATCCAATCGAGACGAACACTTTTGATTGATTGATTGATTGATTGATTGAGTGATGGTATGTTAGCGAATGAATGAATGAGCGAGTGAGCGGTGAGCGCTGTAACATTACCTGCACCAATAAAGAGTTGCCACTTGGGCAATCCCTTCTCCCAGTTGAAGGGTCCATTGTCGTAGGATGCCAGGAAGAGAAGTGCGATAAAGAGGTTGAAGAAGCCAAAGAGTGCCATCTTGCGATCTTGGAACTTCTTGATGAGTGGAGTAGAGATGGCAAAGAACACGACAAGACTCAGCACACCGGAGCAGCCCATCAGCAGACCATTGGCGCGTGGACCCCAGCCATAGTACTTGTCGGTCATCATCGCCATGATTGATTCAAACACGGCAAAGATCGAGATGACGACGGCGAACAGGTAAATCGAGATGTACACCGCCAGACGGTCCTCCTCAGGTCCCTCAGGTTTCTTGATCGCAACAACCTCCTCGTCTTGTACACTGTTGATCGATTGTACAACTGGCGAGCTGATTGGAGTCACTGAACTTGGTTGATCTCTGAAGAAGATGACCACAAATATGATGTTGACGATTCCAAGCAATACAGACACGTAGCCTGGCGATGTGAATTTACTAACTGGGAGACTACCAATATAGAAGTGGACATATGTAAGTCCGAATCCCAATGCTACATTGTATATGTATGTGTGTTAGCAACTGCATCTGCATGGTATCCCATTCAATCAATCGATCAATCGTCTGTGACATACCTGGTCCAAGTACAAAGCCAGCACCTTGTGCACCAGACATCTTACCCATGACCTGGGTCTTGTTGGAGATGTCTGACTTCTCAGAGGCGAACGCTCGACATACTGCGACATTGCCAGCACCGACACCAACGAGGAATCTTGCGAGGAAGATCATTGGGATGAATGCTTGTCCAAACGATGAACATGTGGCATACAGTGCATTTCCAATCAATGCAATCACCAATGAGAAGACCACTGGTTCAATCGTTGGTCGTCTATTTCCCCAGTATCCAAACACTGGCGATGCCACAAACTGTCCAAAACTGTATATAGCTGTTGCCCATCCATTGTATCTATCTCCATATTTCGGATTCACCTGGTTATCATTATCAAGTTGATTGATTGTGGAGTGAGTGAGTGAGTGAGTGAGTGAGTGAGTGAGTGAGTGAGTACATCATTCAATCAATCGTTGATTGGACATTGACTTACAGAGTTCAAGTAACCATACATTGATGGCATCATCAGAGTGAAACCAATAGAGGAGAGGAACACAGTGAGCACCATTATATTGATGTTACGAGCATTGTTGCTTGTAGTCCTTATACTCAGTTGATTGGCTTTTGGTGGATGTGGAGCCATCAATGGTGCTCTCTCCATCGCTCTTGCCTCTTGAGATGAAGATGACCCATTGTCACTATATCTCGAAGACATTATTTGTTTGTTTGTTTGTTTGTTCGTTATCACTGTATCTGTTGTTATTGACAATCTGGTAATAATAATAATAATAATAAATAATGTTGTAGTAATAATAATTAATTAATTATATAATTATGATGTAATGGTATTATGTATATATATATATTGAGCCAAGCTATTATGTTGTTGATTGATATTGTTGAAGTTGAATTGTATCACCTTTGCAGATAGACCAAGACCAAAGCAAGCAAATGTTTGAAATGGCTGTTGGTAGTTATGCAAAGAAATATTGGACTCTTTGCTCTTTGTTTGTAAAAAGATAATAATGTTAATGATAAATGATAATACAGCAGCAGGCAGTAAAGTTAAAGTAAAGTTAAAGTAAAGAAAGGGAGAGAGAAGGGGAAGTTGATGTAAGTGAGTGATGTGAGTGAGAGAGTGATGTGACTTAGGGTCTCAGGGGTTGTTGTTGGTGTCGTTTGTTTCTCTCGTTCAAGCTCACTTCACTCACACACAAACACAAACCAACACCAAACAAGTAGAGGTAGAGTTTGTGTGTGTGTCGGTTGTTGTCAAGAATGACAAGTCATTTTTTGCAAGTATTTCTATCAATGGAAATTTCTTTGTACACTTATTTCATTCATTTCTTTCATGGATAATAACCTCACAAGCATACAACACTTGTAATAAAAAGTGTAGTTTGGGTAGGATTGTGGTTGTGGTGTTGGTGTGGCGGGATGTTCTATCGTTCAGTCGGTCGGTAGTCTGGAAACGAGAAGAGGGAGGTGAGTGAGATCCGTCGTCTTCATTGTCGTCATTGTCACCGTCATCGGGGTATTAAAAATTCGAAAACTAGACGTCGGGGGCCTTCATCGATTCCCTCCCATCACCCCCCTTAACATTCAACGACAAATCATGATCACATTATGCGTCAAGTTCACCTTCTGGTTGGGTGTCGCTCGCAAGGTTAGACAAGCCCACGCATGTGTGTGAGCGTAGCCTTTATTTGTTGTTGAAGGCTTCTATCTCTCTATCTCGGATGTTGGATGGACACTCCTTGCCCTGTCGCCTCTTGATCAGACCAGGTTGATGATGTTACTGATGTTACTGTTGTTGTTGAGGTTGCTTACTCAGTTGACTGGCACATTGTCGCAGTATTTGAATCCATCTAAACATCTCCTCGCCAGTGTTGCAGCTGATTAGGTAACGACGCTTCGGTGTGGAGATGATGAAGCAGTATGGCTTGCTGTCCACCTCCGACACTGAGTCGATCTGACCACTCTCGCGCAGTGATATCGTACCGCACTCAACCTTATCAGTGGTGCCCTTGTAGTAATAAAGGTACTCGCCGTCCACCAACCTAAGCCATCTCTTCTTCCAGCTCTTTACCACTTCTCCCTTCTTTGTTATCCATCCCTCCTTTACATCGAACTATTGATATTGATTGAAAGCGGGTAAGTTAGTGGATGTTATTCGATCGACTATGACACTCTCTCGAGATCTTTGAATGACCTACATTTATCCTCTTTGCATCCTTTGTGTCTGGAGGTGTAAATGACTTGTTTAAATACTTGGCAATTATCCATTGCTCCTTAAGTCCTCTGTTTATGAATGGTGAATGAATGGGTTTAGAGGTGTGAGTAGACGATCAAGACATGGATGGTGAGCTCTGAGTTACCGTACATTGAATCACCAAAGGTTGGTTTGATAAAGTCCTTGGGCAGAGTGTTCTCATATATCTCTCTGTTGGACTTTGCATTGTTTGATTGCTCCATCATCTCGACCTCAGTCTCCTTCCACGAGTCCAAGTTGGTTGACTTTACTCTTGAGATGTGCACTCCAAGATGTCGATGCACTCCTGCACATACTATACAAATAAATACTCCTAAGTTGATACTTGCCCACTGTACATCTATTGTTGTTGCATAAGTATATATATGTCAGATAATGAATGTATACGTCATACTTGATTTTAACCAACATACCTGGTGAGCCACAATCTGCACAGACAGCATTCTCTGGCTTCATTAGAAGCTCCTTTAACCTCTCCTTTTGTCTATCGTCTGACATTATTATGTTTGTTTGTAGTTGTTGATGTCGTTGTTGATGTTGATAGTGATGATATTGATGCTGTCAACTAGGTAGATATAAATAATATATATATTTAATAATACAACAAATATCTATTTCTCCTTTTTCCTTTGTAATATAGTACAATATGTCTGTTCTCTGTTCTCTGTTCTGTGTTTTGTTTATATGTATGTATGTATTTCTGTATGTTTCCTGTCTTGTGTGTGTCTGTATGTATGTCTGTCTGTTTGTTTTATTGTTTGTAATTGATTGAACGATGTTTTAATGAATGAATGAATGAACAAAGATTATCTCACATTAATTAATTTAGTTTTGAATAAACAACTTCACATAATGACTGACACAATGGTGGTGTCCTTGTGCCACAATGTCATTGATTTTGGATGGGTGGATGTCAAATCCATTCATTCAATCAATAAAATGGTAGATACTACTTATTATATAGTTAATATATCTAACATAAAAGGTTGTAACAATGAACTATTTATTACTATCTGAATTGAGTGTACCCAGATATATAAACAACAATAAGATTGATATCAACATTGTTGTTGTTGCAGAATCTCTTACTTTTTGAAGATAATTAAACAAACATGTCAGACAGCTAACAATCTTTGCCTGATCAGAATGACATTCAACAAGAATCTTCCAAACCAATTTTAATTAAAATTAAATAGTCGTGTATGAACTGGTGAAATGAGTGTTATGTGTGTGTGTGAGTGTGTGAATGTGTGTGTTCACATCAATCAAACTCAACAATAGACATTCATTCATTCATTATCTCTTTATCTCTAGTATATATATATATATATATTTGTTTAGTTTAAAGTTTATGTTGTAAATAGATAGATAGAAACTAAATACAATGTCATTCAATCAATCATTGGCGGCAGAGGAAGAGGAATTTGTTTCCCCATTCCAATCCTCAAACACCAATACTACGTCATCCCTATCATATCCAACATCATCAAATGATGATTCTTCAGATGTACAACAACATTCCACTACTAGTAGTGAACAACAACAACAACAACAACAACAACAGACACAACAGACACAACAGACACAACAACCAAGAAAGAAGAAACCACAACAGAGTTCAGATGATGTCACTACCACCACTACAACATCGACTACATCGACTGATCCAGCATCACCTCCAGCAATCAAGAAGCCCGAGTGGGTACCAGACAACTCATCCAACAAGTGTGAGATGTGCGCTTCAGAGTTTACTCTCTTCAACAGGAGTATGTACGCGCTGTCTATCTGATCAAGTTGATTGATTGATTGATCGAATGAGTGATTGACACATACTATCTATCTATCTTTAGGACATCATTGTAGAAGATGTGGACACTTGTTCTGTGGAGAATGTTGCTCATTGAATGTTTCATTGCCTCAACAGTTTGGATATACTACCAGAGTCAAGGTGTGCTCAAAGTGCTTCACCACAACACTCAATGAGCGAGCCCGTGAGGAAGAGACCATCACCGTAAACATTGGTGGTGTCAGCAAGGAGACCAAGGTCGTGTCAGCACTACACAAGGTGTTGCTATGGTAGGTGTTTGTTTGTTAGGTTCAATCTGATCTTATTGTGCATGCACTCACTCATCTATCATTCAATCAATCATACATACGACAACAACAGGAAAATGGGAGCACATGAGGATGGAGACTTTGACAGGAATGTCATTGATTCATTGGAGAACTATCCATCCACTGCGATACCAGTGTCAAGAGTTCAGGACTTGATGTTGGAGGCTGGTGATCTTGATGTACAGGGATGCACTGGATTCAGAGTCAGGATCTACAATCCATCATTGGAGCCAGGTGAGAAGAAGACAAACTTCCCCATCCTAATGTGGTTCCATACTGGAGGGTATGTTGTATGATAAAACTGGACTTGTCGTGGCTGCCCAATCACTCACTCATTCATTCATTCATACACAATCAGATTCGTCACCAAGTCAATCGAAACACCATCCGTCGATGGTCTATGCCGTCTGGTGTCCAACCAAGCTGTAAGGAAAACGACAATTAATCAATCAATGCCGTCTACCATCAGTACTAACACTCAAACGAAATGAACGGAACTATAGGGATGCGTAGTTGTATCCGTAGATTATAGATTAGCTCCCGAACATCAATTCCCAGCAGCTGCCTTGGATTGTTATGCTGCAACATGTTGGGCAGTAAAGAAGTGCTCGTCATTCGATGGTGATCCCACTAGGATCGCTGTGGCAGGTGACAGTGTTGGAGGCAACCTGGCGGCGGCCGTCACACTGATGGCACGCGACAAGCAGACTCCAAAGCTGTGCGGACAGGTGCTCATCTACCCCGTGTTGGACATGAAGCGTAACGAGGAAAAGTACTACTCGCGAGTGGTGAACCAGGAGGGCTACCTCATGCCCATGAGCTTCTTCCGTTGGTTCAGCGGCAAGTACTGCCACCAGGACGACGTGGACAACATATACGCCAGTCCAATCAGAGCGGCCAGCAGCTCCAATCTGGGCCTGTCCGATCTGCCCCAGGCCCACGTCATCACTGCGGGCCACGACCCATTCTGTGACGAGGGTGAGCTCTACGTCAAGAAGTTGCGCTCATCTGGCGTGCACGTCAACCACACACGCTACACCAACTCTCCACACGGATTCTTTGCCATTGGTCTTGACGAGTCGAATGAGGCAGTAATGGAGGTGTCCATTGCTCTCAAGTATATGTTCCAAAAGAGAAGATAAGATCTAGATCACCATTATAGTCACATTAAAGGTTGTCATCACTTTCATTAAAGTCCATTAGCTCGGTGTCGCTATCACTCCAATCATCCGCGTCTTCTTTTTGATCAGGATCGTCGTGCTGTTGATTGTTCACGCTAGATGTGTTGCCCAAGTCCATGATGTCATTGATTGTGTTGTTGCCACTCTGTTGATCTTGATCATCGTCGTCGTCATCAACGTTTAGGCTCATATTGCTATTGTCGTTGAGTTCGGTGACCTTCTTGGCGATCACTCGACCCCTTGGTGTCAGTTTGTAGCGTTCAAATCGGCCCTTGCCAGAGACCATGACCATTTCACGTTTCACCAGCTGTGCCATGCCACGCCACAAGGAGTTTTTTACTGCATGTCGATAATACTCCTTGGCCTTGACCGTCAACTCTGCTCGTGTGGGTGCCGCGTAGAGCAAGTGCGATGCGGCAATCTCATCTTTGTACAGCGCAACGAGCAGTGACCACGCGCCGTTGCGGAAATTGGGGAACCATTTATCTGCATTGTCTGAGTCCATTCTGATCTTGGAAACTCTGGTGCTAGTCCTATGCTTCTTCCTCTTCTTGGTCATCTGTTCCACATCGACTTCATCTACAACCGCCCTTGCATCCATGTTGCCATTGTTATTATTGTTGTTGTTGCTGCCGTCGCAGCAACTGGTGCTATTCATAAGACCGTGGTCGTCTATTTGATCCTTCATTGGATCATTCTTAAGCTTGTTGTTGGATAAGTTGATCAAAATGGCAATGCGATGCTGACACAATAGTTTGCCAGGTTTGTGTGGACACTCGCAGGTGGACTCGAGTACCGTGCCGTCGGGATGCAATCTAAGCATAACATTGTATGTGGGCTTCTCTCCAGCAGTGTTCTGTGAACCTGATGCACTGATTTTCCCAGTGACGACAACTGTTCTATCCACTCCTATAATGCTGTCAAACATATCAGAGGCACGATCAAATACATCTATGAGGAGTAGTATGTGTCGTGTCAGGCAGTCAGTGTCATCTTGGTCCTCGCTCACGCAGACACAGACACATACCTTGTGAGCATAACTTCCTGATTTCGTCCAATTCAATGAGCGGCTTCAATTGTCGAGGCTCCTCCCATGTTGCACGCCCAGACGGCAACTTGATATTCTTTTCCTGAACGAATCGTTTAAGCTTCTCAACTTTGTTCAGGATGAACTGTCGGTAGCTTTGTGGAAAATCAGAATTAAAGTCAGCAGCTTCCATCAACAGAATGCTCTCAAACTGATCGTATCCATTTGTTATGAGGTATTTCTTGAATTGTGTTAGCTTTGCAATGTTGTCTATCCAATCTATAACCGACAATGGTATCCTTTCTATTGATCTTAATGATTTGATGCCTGATTGATTGATTGATTGATTGAATGTGCTCATTCATGTATATATTATATTGTATTATATTGTATTGTATTGTATTGTATTGTATTGTATTGTATTGTATTATATATATCACTCCTACCTTCCTACCTTCCTTCTTCTTCTTTGTTGACTCAAAACTACAATGATTAATCACTTTATTGAACATCATTGTGGTCCATTTTCAAACATTAATAATAATAATACAAGATAAAGATGGAGTCATTATCAATGTTAATGTTGAAGGAGATAGTATCATGTTTGGATGATAATGTTGATAGATTGACGTTGTCATTGGTATGCAAACGATTCTATCAATCAACATGTAGTTATATGAACTTTAATACAATGAACTTATTGTCAATTGACTCATTACATAGAGTTAATAGTACAGAGTATAGTCTAAAGCATTACAAGAACATTGTTTTCAATGATATGATGAACAAGCCACATAGACTATACATGCATACCAGTTCCAATGCTCCACTCCTTCGAAACAAACATGACAAGACAATATTTGTTGGTAAGAATCCTCACTCCTCTTAATTGAATGGTATGATTCCAACAACTAACAATCTCATTCAATCATTCAATCAATCAATCGAATGGTCCATCCAATCAAAGGCAAAGAAATATTGAACAACTCTGAAAGAATGAGTCAGTTGACCTGCAAACTTGCTGAACTGCCACAAGTGGAATCAATCCATTTGGTTGATTGCCCCAAAGATATTGTCGATCAGAACTTTTGGACAATAATGAATGAACAACACTTGATCAATAGGTCAAAACCAATCTCACTCAAGACCTATACACAAGGCTCATCAACAGTCTATCCTCACTCTGTGACCAACATTACATTCATGCAATTTGATGGCAAGCTCACTGGAGTCCTACCACTCAATCTAAAGTCACTTAAACTTGGATGTGAGTTCAATCAAATGATCTTACCTGGTGACCTTCCACCTAAAATAGAGTATCTAGACTTGGGCCAAGCATTCAATCAACATCTCACACCTGGAACACTACCAACATCATTGACATGGTTAGTGTATACTTGCTCTGAGGTCAGTGTAGGCACACTACCATCATCATTAAGGACATTGGAGCTTGGTCCAAGGTTTCATCAATCATTGGATAATGACATTCTGCCTCAATCACTCACATCTCTTCGATTCCCATACTCTGATGGTATCGTACCATTTGATTATATGCCAGGAGAGGTGAATCTCCATCATCCAATGGTCAATCTCCCACCAAGTCTAACAGACATTAGATTGTCTGGCCACTATAGACACGAGTTGTATCATCAAACATTGCGATCATTATATTTGTCGGCCGCAGACCTACAATGTATCTTCTCCAATCATACATATCCACAAATGACCAAGTTGAATTTGACTGATATAGTGGATATCACAATGATCACATCACAAACATTTCCATCACTTTCCTCACTTTCTTTATTCCATGACACTGGGCTTGGCACTATCTTCAACAATGATATTGAGTGCGATTTATACAATTTACCAAACTCATTGGAATACCTTTCAATTGTGATCAATTCATCAATATTGATCAAAAGATTTCCACCAACAACAACAACATCTAGATTGACAAAACTTGAGATATGGTGCGATACTGTTGGATTCTTTAGGATAAGGGCTGCCATGTTACCAGACTCTATAACATCATTGACATTGTATGATTATATACATACAATTGATATTGAACAACTACCCTCATCACTCAAACAATTGAGTCTATATGAGTACAGTGGAAAACTCAAAGCAAAGTCCATACCAAGATCATTACACTCATTGATGTGGTCTTCATACATTGATCAACCCAATCACTTGTTGCGATTTATGAAGAAGGTGCCCAAATGGATAACAAGTCTAAAGGTGACTACAAAGAATGTAAATGTCAACCTACGTCGAATCTCTGATGATAATCTATTCTTTAGACATTGTGAGGACTTGTTCAATTGTGGATTCATTTCCTTGGACACCATTAATCAACATCTACTATATTTAAATGACAAATAAAAACTTGATTGTTTTTTTTATAACTAGGTCGAGGCTTATTATTTACTAATAAATAAATTAGTTGGGCGGTAATTTGTCCCTTTTTTTTTTAATCGAAACATCGAAGTTGATTTGCGCCAAAAAAAAATCTCTTTTTTTAAAACAAAAATTTCCGACTTGCCAGAATCGAACTAGCGACCTTTTGATTACTTTGTTTACACTACAGTCAAACACTCTACCAATTGAGTTAAAGTCGGTGACATTATGGGACAACCCTATTCTCTTGACTTATCCCGGAAAATTTTTATTCGGTTTACATTCCAAAAATACTTTACAACAATAGAGCCTCACCTTGATAATCCAGATTAGATAATATATCATTGTGTATAATTATTAGTTATTAATTTTACTTTTGTGATTACATTCTTGTTAATCATTCGGGAAACGAACAGCACTACATTTTTTGGTGTTTTTAGAAGGTCCAATTCTTTGATTAAACAAACAGAAGTTGTTGTAAACTAATGATTACACTTGTAAAGGTTACACAAAAGGGAGTCGGATATCATCCATTATGTCTTTTTGAAATTAATCAAAGAATACATAATAATTGATTGATTGTATTGAAGGGGTGTCAAGTGATAAAATTATAAATAACACTTTCAATGATCACTCAGTCAATCAAACAATCAATCAACCAATCAATCAACTACATACTATTATTAATAATATTTACAAATGTCTTCACTTGCAGTCGATATATCCACCACTAATTGCAACAACATACCAAATATTGACCATGACAAATACAAGCAATTCCTGACCAATCCTAAATTCCATATGGCCGGTTGGATGTGGGCACATATGTGCGTCTATCGTTTGTTTGAAATGGCCGATACACGATTGTCTACTTGGCATCCAAAGTCAAAGTCAGAGATCACCAGTGTGTTGCGTGCGCTCCGAGCAATCTCCAATCTGTTGAACGACCACCATGATCATGAAGACCAAGACGTGTGGCCAGAGTTGATCGCCTTTGATACCGCCACCAAAGAGCACCTTGATTTCCTTGACAAACAACATGCTCAATGGCATCATTTGTCTACTGAGCTAGGAGCACTGATGACCAACCTCGAGCAGTATGATCATGTGGATGAAGAGACACGTCCAGCCATCCAGGCCACATGTCAGCAACTGTCGGCAAAGTTCAAAGAGACTAGAGAATGTGTTGTCTTGCACTTCAATGATGAAGAGCGTCTGTTGATGCCAATCGTGTTGACAATGTCGAAGAAGGAACAGGATAAGATCACCAAAGCTATCATGGAGAGAGGCAAGAAGGAAGGAAAGGCAGCTGGCACTGACAAGTTTGTCTTTTGTGCCTTCTACGACACATCACTACATTACAAAGTGATGGGTGATTCACTCAACAAAGAAGTGCCATGGTTGGTCCGAAAGATAGTATCAATCTTCCTGATGAAGAAGGAGTATCAATGGTTCATTGATGCACTGGAAGTGAAGAACTAATTATCTATCTTGTATTATTTAAATAAATTATATATCATTATTATGATCAAAGTGAGGGTAAGGGCAAGGGTAAGGGTAAGGGTAGGACAGGGGATGTTCTTTATTTAGATGATGGTCACCAATGATAATGGTGATTGTGGTTGTGGCAGTAGTAGATGTAGGTTATATCGTGAAGCTTGACCTCCCACTGTTGAGGACAAAGTTGATGTTGGTCTTGGATTCGTTCGATGAAGATGAAGATGAAGATGAAGTTGGTGCTTGGGTCCTCTGATGAGTTTGCAAAGAGGTCTCATTTTGAAGTACGTCACATAGTAACGATAGTGGATGATTGACATTGATGTTGTTGGTGTTTGATTGTGGTGACGATTGATTGGATGTGGATGTGGATGAAGAGGATGTTGATTTACAGTCGGCCAGGAGGGAAAAAGAATTGATCGATTTGGTTGTTGGAAGAGCCGGCTGATGTTGTTGCTGCTGCAGCTGAATGTGTTGCTGCAGGTGATGAAGTTGTTGTTGTTGTTGGGGCAATAGACTCTCGGGGACTAAGCCAAAGCTGTGTTGGGCTTGCAGTGAAAATGGAGATGACACCATTGTGGACGACGTCGGCGTCGATGGCTGATGGATGGACAGTGATGGCATTCCAGTGGAGCTGTTCAATGTGAATGGAGACGAAGGGGATGTTGGTGTGAAGTGGAGGCTTGGGGATGATGGTGGCGAGGATGAGTTGTAAAGCTCAGTGCTCTTTCTATATGATGATGTTGATGTGATGTTGTTGTTGTTGTTAGAGTTGGCCAAACTTCCGAGAGTATGACCATTGGAGGAGAGCGAGTGCTGCTTGGGAGAAGGGGATGGTGTGCTAGAGGCAGAGGACAGCGATGGAGAATGTCCATGCTGTTGCTGCTGCTGCTGTTGAGCAACTTGGAAGAAGGATGAAGTGTTGATTGGGGAGTTTGAGCCAGACGACGATGGATTGGCAATGGAGTGAATGGCATTGACCAGTGATTGATAGGCAGTGGCGACAGAGTCAGCCTGCAGACTAGAATTGGCCGCGCTGACAATGGTGTCAAGCTGGTACTGCTTGGCCTCCAACTGGCAGTGCTTGGCGTCGAGTTGGTTCTTGAGTGAGGCAATGTGGTTGACAAAGTTCTGGGGCGCACGGCCCTCCTGCTCGTAGAGGGACACCTTGAACAGAGCCTCCTTCAGATCGGTCTCGAGCATCTTGATGCGATACTCAAAGCCGTCGACGGTCTGCTCGAGCGAGCCGATCTCAGACACCTGTCTGATCGACTCCATCTTCTTCCTCTTGCGGTACTCGGCGTTCTGTTGTCTGATCTTCTCCCGATTCTCTGGCTTGCTTCTATACTTTTGCATATAGACTCTGCAAGCCTCACGATGTTCCTCTGACGTGAGCATTTCTGATTGTTTTAAATGATTATCCGTGATTRATTATTTAATTATATCAAGTTGAGTTTGCTTGATATTTAATTGATTGAGTTGGTTGGAAATTGATTGGATTGGGGGGGGGGGGGGGGGGGGGGG